GCAATTTCCGAAATTTCCGACCGCCCAGCGAATTCGCACTTTTCATTCACCGACGTTCCCTCTATCGCGAAACGACGTACCCCTAACATGACAGAGACTAAATCTGTCACTAACACCACTGCCACGCCCAACCCTTTTGATTTCGGACCTACTGGTCTACCAGTTGATCCCAACCATTTGCCGCCTGCCCTGAATACATTTCTTGAAATGTTCAACTCCCGCTTTGCTTCCCTGGAAAAACTTTTTCAGGAGGAACGTGCTCGTGCCATCCCGTCTTGAGCAAGCCAACGCTGAGTTACTGCAGCAAAATGCTGCTCTGCTTCAACAACTGCTCAGCTTGAAAACAACACCAGCCCAACCAAAGCCCGCTCCCAAGTCCAAGCAGTCTACACAGACACCTACTTCCCCGATCCCAGCGCATCTAACAACCGCCGCTTCTAAGCATGCGCCTAAACCCACTACTGAGGCAAAAAAACCCACCTGGGCTGATAAAGCCAAAATCCACCGCCCTGCTACCAAGCCCAAAAACAATAAGGCTAGGCGTCCTATCACCTCTGCAACGATGCAACGGTTGTTTTCCGCCCCCACGGGCGCATCACAGTATACTTTCGTATACTTGAATTGTAAACACCGCCTCACCCACAGTGAAGTCAGAAAAAATCTGGCTACGGCCAAAGTTCAGCAATCCCGAATTTTGGATGTCCAATTCCCCGCTCGTAACATCATCGCTCTACTTGTGAACCAGGAATATAAATCGGACCTCATCACGCTACTCAACAAACAAGGTATCCAAATCAATCCGCACTTCAATATCCTCGACCCCAAGGTGATTGCCGATCCTATCCATACCACCAAAACCAACGCCGAAAAAAGCGACCTTGCCCAATCACTTGTTGCCGATCGCCTGTTGCGGCTGGGTTCCCGGCTCCCTTACCACTTAATGCTCAGCATTCTCCGATCATTTACCCAGCCTAACTCCACTGTGCAACTCTCTGAGACCATCATCCAACGTTACCTTGATTCCCGCAAACCAGCCATAGACAGTGAACCTGTACAAACCAGTGCTGCCGACCAAAGCGACAACACCGACAACAATGACACTGCCGCCCATATCACCACTAACACCCAGTCTTCGTCAAATGATGGTCCTGAAATGGACGAATCTCAATGAGTGCTGAGCGCCTAAAAATCGCTACTTTTAATGCCGCTGGTCTTCGGACCAAACACTACGAACTTTTTCAAGAATGCACCGCTTCCCAAATCGACATAATCCTCGTTACCGAAACATTCCTATCAAAAGGAAATATCCACACCAAATGGAAACAATTCCACAACTATGGCCAGGTATCGGCTCATCGACCATTCGATGGGCTGTCCCTCTTTATCCGTCCTGACTTTCCACACCATGTTCACCTTCTGCCAATCACTGATCCTTATGTTATTTCGTGTAGGATTGGTCCCTATACCCTGCATGGCCTGTACCTCCCTCCTCGACTTTCTCTTGCAGAGGCCGAGAAAAGGTGGCGTTCCTTGGAGATTGACGATCACACTATTGTGTTTGGAGATCTGAACGTACGTCTGGGCAGTGATACTGGAGATCACCGTGCCAACGACAGAGCCCCTGCGCTACGCAACTGGATCAGTACATTGGGTTTAACCTTGTGGAACTCAGAATTGGCGTATGGCATACCCACTTTTGAAGGTCACCAAGGAACAAGCATCATTGATTTTTTTATCTCGATGCACACAAACATTCTGGACGTGCAATTGCAAATAAGGAGTGACTTGTCACTTAGTTCCGACCACCACTTGTGTGAGCTATCCTTTGTACCTGTGCCCATACCACAGCTTCCCAGAGCAAATGCTGCCCGACGCCACTGGAAACTTCAGCGATTCCAAGATCCTGAGGTATTAGCCAGGTACGCTGACAGGCTAAAAGATCTTACGGGTGATCTTTTAGAAGGGATCTCAGTTGCGCTTTCCGAAATTGAAAACAACCATGCGTCGCGCGCTTGTAAACTGGAGGGCTTTGTGAATAAACTCATTGAGTCTATTTACGCCGCCTTGGATCACAGCGTTGGACCATCCGATTCCCGTGATAAAACCTGGAAATGGTTTTGGAACGCCAATTTACAAGCTCTAGCCAACCGCCGTCAAGCCCTCTACCAAAGGTGGAGACGGTCTGGCCATGACTTTGAACGCCTTACAATTCGTCGCCGGTATGAGGCGGCTTGTGCCGAACTGACACAAGCGATACGAATTGCGCGACGCATCACCTGGCGACAATTTTGTCAAAAGATGGACCAAGACCCTGTGAACATGAGTAGTGCGATCAAACGGATGAGGCTTCGGCAACGTTCAAATGTGACCCTCTCATCACCAGAAGGACCACTCCATGATGCTAACCGTATGGTGACCCATCTGGAAAGTGTGTACGGCGGCTCTGTCGACCTACGTTCGGAACCCTCACCAGAAATGGATGATTTCCAGGACAGTACACGAATCCCATGGACTCAGGCCACTGTTTATCAAGCGATCCGGAACTTGCCGTCCCGGAAAGCACCAGGTATTGACCACATACGAGCAGAAATGCTCAAACCTGTGGCTGATCACATGAGCGTCATTCTCCATAAGCTTTTTCACTTATGTTGGAGGTGGTCGTGGACCCCAAGGCAGTGGCGAACTGCACAGGTAGTCCCGATCTACAAGAATAAAGGTTCACCATCGGACCCATCCAGTTATAGGCCCATCAGTCTTACCTCGGTTTTCCGAAAGCTGTTGGAGCGTTGCCTGGTACCTGAGCTTCTCTCAACGATGCCTCAGTTAGACATTGCGCAAGGTGGTTTTCGTGCCTCTCGGGGTACTCTCGACCAAGCACTTTGTCTCGATGAACTCATGCGGCTTTATACTCGTGTCCAAGGGCAAGAGCAGTTGCCTACTCCCCCGGTGGTTGTTTTCCTCGATATTAAAGCTGCATATGACAGTGTCAATCGCTTGATCATATGGGAACTTTTGGGACATTATGTATCCCAACGACTGCTTCGCTTACTGCGTAATCTCTTTGATGACATTGTCGTCCAAGTCATATTACAAAACGTAGCGTCCCGGGAAATTTCGCCAAAGCAAGGTGTTCTTCAGGGCAGTATTCTTTCTCCTTTTCTTTATTCTATCTTTATTGATACGTTACCCCGCTTATTGCGGTCCGTATCTTCTTTTCCACAACTTATTCGCATACCTAAGCCAGCCACTGGGCGTTCGCTCAACCTGTGCTCAAGGATGCCTTTTTCTTATTCTTCCACTCATGCGAACCCGCGTTCTCTTATTGATGAGCTGCGGTCTAACCATGATCCTTATTCTGCTCCCCATGATCCTCGCCGATCTTGGGCCCCCATTAATAGTTTGCTGTATGCAGATGATGTGGCAATTATTGGTTATCCAGTAGATGTCCATCGGATGCTTGCAGTAGCTGAAATTCATTCTTATCTGTTTGGATACCGTTGGAGTCCCACCAAGTGTGAAGTCCTCAACGCTCCGGCTGATTCTTCTTTTTTTCTTTACAACAACGAACTCCCTGCTTGTACTTCTTTTAAATATTTGGGGATTCCTTTTTCTCAGTGGGGTATAGATCGTAAGTCCTTACTCGCGCACTCTAATCGCAAGACAATCGCAGCAATGCGGGCGTTGAGTGAGTCAGGTGTGCACATGTATGGCTTTGGTCTCACTGCCTCACTTCGGGCTTACAAGATTTTTGCGAGACCTATTCTCGAATATGGTTTAGCGATCTGTATCCTTTTCCGAGCTGACTTGAAGGAACTCGAGGACACCCAACGGTGTTGCCTACGGATGTGTCTCAGGCGCCCTGCTTTTTGCAAGGCAATAGGGACCGCCACTGTGGCCTCACTCGCTGCTCTCCCTTCTATGTCTTCTCGTTTTCTTATTCTACAGGCCAAATTTGTTGGTCGTGCTCATACACTCCCTGCTGATACACTCTTGCGCTGTATTATCCCGCAGCTTCAGACTCGCCGAGGGAACGCGACATGGAACAGGCTACGTCGCAACACCCTCTGGAAAGAAGTCAAGACGATCCAAGCTGAACAAGCACGTTCGTCTTCTCGGAACCAGCCATTGGATCCATTTAAAGTAGCCATCCGAAACCATCTTCAAGGGGAAATAGACAAACGTCTTGCTAGTCGCCACCCACCAGTGACGATTTCACGTGGACTTTGTCGTCCTGTATGGGACCCAATCCTGTTATTGCCGGCCACCAGCAAAGAAAGACATCGTCTTATCCGTTGGCGTATGGCCTGGCTCCCACCCACTCCTTCTGTTGCCTGCCGATGTGGTGAGCCCAAAGCCCATCGTGCTCATTTTCTGGTTTGTCCGCGCACGGATTTCTTTATCCAAAGGATCCTGCAAATACTGCCATCGTCACCGCCCGACCAAGTCCATCCCATCGATTTTACCCTTAATCAGCTCCCCCGCCGACCAAAGGTTAATCTCCGTTACTGGCAACAGCTCTGGCCGATCCTCTTGGAACTTCTCCGGGAGATCGATATTGCAACATCCGACACCGACTTTGAATCAGAACCTCCACCTGGTGAACTACTCCTTAATGCATGTGTGGCACGTCAACAGCCCACATTGCCTCATTCCAATCATTAGCGTACCTCTCATCCTTTTTCCTCGTCATTATCCTCCGCCCTGGCCATTAATTTGTGCGACTTCACTCCTTACTTTTTTTACCATTTTGGTTTTTTTTCCCTTTTTCCTTCGTCGATCCTTTCCTTTTTTAGATATTTTTTATTTTTTTATTTTCTTTTTTTCCCTTTTGGGGTTTGCCAGCTATATCTTCCAATAACCCGTAAAAACGCCGAGGCGGCTGAATCAGCCCTAGTGCGGCTGGCCATTGTCTTCTGAATAAAACGTTTGAACTACACTACACAACCCTTTTTGGGTGGAAAACCAAATTTGTATAAGCCTAGGCAAACTGCCGTTTTCGGATTTCCCTTGTTCTGTTTATTTTCTGTGGTTGCCTGAATTCTTCGGTCTTCTCCCTTCCTTTTGGTGTTTCTCCCGTGGTGCTATGATGCTTGGGCGATGAATTATCGATCGATTTGTCAGTTCCTTCTTTTCGGAAGCGGAGTGGGAATTGGAACTCCCGTTCGGTTTTTCGTGAAGTCCGTTTACGATCTGAAATTATCATGGTCATTACGCGTTCTGACGATGAATCAAACCATGATCAGTTCTACTGTTCTTACATATTATGTAATCCCTTAGCTAGGAAACTATAGTATGGTTAAAAATATTCAAATGTCTTTTAGAAATTTCTGTATCATTATCTTTTTGAGCTTTGTCTTTTGAACTCTTATTCTTTGGAATACATCCTTTCGAAGATATACTTTGGACTAACGCCTACTTTTTTTTTTTGGAAGTTCCTTTGGAATAGTCTGATAGGTTTTACAGTCGGCTATCACCCTATTCAGGATTTACAGTAACAGGAAGTTAGTATTCGGAGGAAGAACCATGGAAGTTCTGAAGCTAATCCTCTCCGTTCTGAATATTCTTTCTTTGGGCACTCTCGCATCAATTTGGTTACCACTCTCCCACCACCTTTCACGTGAGAATCTTACATTCATAAGTATAATGAGTCTGGCAAAGTGCGGGCTCGAACTTGATCTTTCGTCCGGTTTTGTGATGGGCATGTGGGCCGGATTTTCAGAATCTGGAATGGAAAAAATTGGCGGCATACGGGCAACTTTGGAGTTTTTGCGAACGACGGAAGCTTTGACGCGAAACTTCTTTGTTTTCATGGCTTGAGAAGGACGAAGTAAGCCTTTCTTGACGCAATTCGTGCCAATCTGCGTAAAAAAATATTGTGCTGTTTTTAACTTAAGCGGTAGCGTATTTGATACAGAGCTTTTGTGAGAATGCTATACAATCATCTTGACAACTCGATGTATTTTGCCCATTAAGCAAGCACTTTCTTGGTGAATCGACATTTCATACTAATTTAACGCACAAGGTATAACTTGGTCAAAAGAAAGGAGTTCATGCAATTGTTACAGGACCTGTGAGTAAGGTAAAGGCAACCTTTATTTTTGGTGGGCGATCAATGCGTAATAGTCAGTGTGGGGTATTGGGATCGAGCCTCCGAAGTCTTTGTTGCTGTCTGAGGTAAAACCCTCACCACTTACAAAAAGTCAACAAAACAAAGATCAATGGGTTATAGCATAACAGGAACAATGACCGAGCTTTTTGAAAAGCTGCTCTTGATGAAATGGACAAGTGTCTAGAAATGATTTAATTTCCTGCATGAAAATGCTGGGATTTCTTTTTCATTTCCATTGATCAGTAACCAGTTTTTTTTTTATTAAGCGCGAGTTGTCAGCCTTCTCATGTCAAATTCATCCTATCCTTGTGTTCACCCCCTACAAAAAGCATTCCCATCCGCATTCCAATTACTTCATGGAGGCATCTTGTGAACAAACAAGTCAAGAGGACCCTCCGGAAACTGATATGGAATGTAGGGCTACCAACAGCCCTTTTCACTTTGAAAACCAACTGAGCCTATCCTTTTTGACACCTCTCAATTTTCTTTGTTTTACGGCCCTCATCCAAGATTTCCTTCCGACTGCCAACCATCTGGTTATGTACTGGTTAATCCCAAAAGTAATAACGGGTAAATTCCACCCTTAGACTTTATCACAGCTTCAGCCTGCGCAGACATACTCACACTATACCTGCGGCAGGCCTCAAACAGAACAAGTTTCCCACTTTACTTCCACGCAATCCCACAGTTCGTAGACCCCTTTAGCCTGGCAATCGTAAGCATTCAATTTCAGCTTGAGGTGGTGCCAGATGTGCTCAACCGGGTTAAGATCCGGCGATTGAGCAGGCCAAGGCAAAGCACAAAACTGCTGCCCATCCTGGTACTTCTTTGTATACTTGATGGTATGCTTCGGGTCATGGTCTTGCTGGAAGATCATGACATCCTTCATCCAAGGCGAATTGGTTGATGGTGTTCCGCAAATTGTTCTTCAAGATATGGACGTAGTCCCCCTTCTTCAAGATGCCATCGAAAAAAAGGTATTCTCTTCCCTCAAAACCTTCGAAAGCACTTGCAAAGCCGCGGTATACCCACACCACAAAGGTTGCAGGATCCCGACGACACAACCATAAGGTCTACACCTTTCGTGTGTAAAGTCCGGAAGCCTACATGATTTGATCGAACACGGTCGTTACTCAGCGAGCGTTGCACACTATGCCGACATAAAATATTGGAGAATGAGCCATGTGCAACAGACCGCAGTCTCGATGGCCCAACTGGAACCGTCGATCAGGTTGACGTGGAGTCAATGACCCAACAAAGTGACAGCCGTTTCCCCACCCAACTTGGGGAAAAGGTCCTCAAGCGCACGACTGGGACAACACGACATTACTGAGCTATTGGATCCGCAGTCATAGTCTGTTTTTCGCCTCAAGTTCACGGTGCTCATCTTATGGCGCAGCAACTTGATGTCACAAGCTCGCTTTCCAAGTTACAATGTTCGATCTTGGAGCATAAATGGAAGCTTTCCCTGGAAGACCACGAGCATCATGCGATGGCATTGAATCATTTTACTCCTGTCGCCTGGTCATTACCCAGAAAATTTGTTGCCGCATTTCAGTGAAGAAGACCTCAGAGCAACCATCAACAAAATATGAGTTGATGTTTGTAATGGACTGGAACAAGGCTGCAAGGCGAGAGCGGACGGGACAAGAAAGCAGGCAGGAACGGGAAGGTGTTACGTGTTTAAAGCCCACCTCGAGCGAGCTGAAAATTCGGATATGGAAATGCAGAAGAGCATTGAAGCGCGAAGCTCGAAGGAAGGAGACACGTCAGAACAGTATCGGTACTAGCGGCTACGACAAAGCGATCGCGAAACTTTTGGAGCTGGGCATCTCCCAAACGAACGGAAATTGACCAAAGGCATCATTGAGTTGATCAAAAACTTGCCATGTGCGTCGATTGCAGAGGAGATCAATGAATCCGAGCTTATCAGGCGATATATCTATCCAACTTTTAAATGGGCTGTTCGATAGTCCTGATGAGGGCATGTTCCTTCGTTGGACAAACGATATAGCCCTGGAAAGTCGCAGGAATGACAGCTTATGGACATGTCGACCGGATTTATGTCTAGCAAGGTTGAAAGGCACGAAATGGTCGACCAGCCACGGTTACGGCGAGGTGAAATCAGCAATTCAAGAAACCATTTTGGTGTGCCGAGATCTTGGTTCTCGTGCCGATATTTTGCAAGAATGCCTTCGATACGCAGAACTTGGAGGGCATCTTGGGATTGCAGATTGTTGGACGAAAAATCACATTCTACATCCTGCTACTGCCATCGAATGGTGTTTATATCATGTACGAATTGCCTCAATCAAGTTGTCTGATTCTTTGCGCAATTTGTCCAAACTTCTCATGGATATACCCAGTATAATGCATGTTTTAGATGTTTTCGATCGCCTCTGCACCCTATCCACCAACCCTCCTCAACCTATTCGTCATCATCCAACAATCTCAATTTCCATTTTCAATAGCATCTTCTCATCCTCGCAGGATTGTAAGCGACCTTATCATAATTAAAAGCAAAAAAAATATTTGCCCCCAGCATTGTTGTTTCTTCTCTTTTTGTTTCGTTTTGTGTTTACCAGTGTGATCTTTGTAAAACAAGCGACATCGCACCAAGAGAATGTTTGACGCGTACCAATCTAGTAATCTAACCTTCCTCACTTACAACATTTCCTTAATGAGACACTTATCAAAGCATTAACAGAATGAGAGACAAAGGCTGCAAAGTCGCTCCAATACAAACTATCGCATCTTTGGTATATTCTAGTCATGGGCGATTTCTTTCTCTAACAGCTTTATTTCGCTGTATTCTCTGTGTGCAGAATTCAAACAGATTGACATCATGAACAATATGCGAGCTGTACAATACATTTTACATAATTAATGTTTGCGTACGCATCAATTTCCACAAAGGATCATTCAGTGAAGCGGAAACACCTGTCAATAAGTTCGTGTAACAAGCGCGCTTGCATTGATTGGAAACCATTGATATTAGTGATGCAATCTCCCCCCAGCAAGATAGCTTAGTGTATCAATAAACACCAATTTTTTCTGCGTGCCTTTTGTCAATATTTTTCGCAATCCCAATACGAGACGAACTATTGGCATTGATAAATCATGGCTTTTCCCTTTTTTTCTCTCTTGCACGCAGATCTCATCAAGGGCTGCTATAGAAACTCCGCCGTTCTACGTCACTTTTCGTGACTTGATTTGCAGTACCGACGCTGGAAATTTCAGACAGCTTTTTGGGCACTGTTGCGTGCCAACTCGTTTGTTGCAATTTACAATGTCGAGCCATGATGAAGACGCCAGTTATTATGGCAGAGGCCGAGGCGACGATGCCGTCGAGGATGCGCATCAACATAATTCCGACGAAGAAGGCGAAGATCTCGGTTATGACCACCATATGAACGACGATGACGACGACGAAGACGAAGAGGAGGAAGAAGAAGACGAGGAAGAAGCCAGAAAGGTACGGCTGAAAAGAGTTTTTCTCGATAAGCTTATTTCATGACGCTTCAACTGATCAATCATATATTTGTCTCAAGGTGGCTGAAGGATTCATTGTCGACGATGAGGAAGAAGAGGATCAGGATTCAGACGGGTCAACCAAAGTGGCCGTGAGACGTAAAAAGAAGAGAAGAGTGGAAGAATGTAAATGATCAACATCAAAAAGAGATTCACCAGTACAAACAGCATTGTTAATCGCTGGAGTGACTTTTTCTAGACGACGAAGATCTCGATGAAGAAGATCTGGACCTGCTTGAAGAGAATACCGGTATCAAGCTTTCGCGATCCACCGGCGTAAGTGCGAATGAAGTTATCTCCTTCCGCATGTTTGGGTCGACTAATATTTCTACTTCCATTGGGTGGATTAGCCTAAACTGAAACGCTTAAAACGCGGTCGTGAGGAACCAAGTCGTGCGGTAACCACTAAAGGTGTCGAAGATATCTTTTCTGACGAAGAAGAAGCTCCCGCAGCTCGCCATGAACCTAGTTATGACGACCGCGAAAAAGATTACGCCGAATACGAATCGCATGTCAGATATCGCCATCGTGACACCTACGATGATATAGGCGACTTTATCGCCGACGAGGATGAAGACGATCTCGACGAAGTATTAGGCGAACGCCGTTATGGGGCTGGTCGCGACGAAGGATTAGCCGGCGACTATTACGATGAAGCGAGAGGCCGACGCGGCAAAGCCAGCAAAGATATGATGGATATTTTACCTCAAGGTTTAAGCGAAGAGTAAGTCACAAGCTGCGGATGAAACCATAACAAGTCCCATGGATGCTCATTTCATCTTGGAATAGTGTGCTCGTAGATATGTTTGATATTTTCGGTGATGGTGGTGACTATGAATGGGCGTTATACGATGAAGAGGTAAGGTGACCCGTGCTCGCAACGATAAGCGTGCCAGAAAATTTTGGCGCAGCAAAATAGAGAATGATCATACTAATGGCTATGGTTGGGTTCAGGAAATGGAAGCACGCAAAGAGAAAGAACCGCAGTTAGCCGATATTTTCGAACCAAGTGAATTGGCGGAGCGCATGTTAACGGAGCAAGATGAGGAAATCCGTTTACGAGATGTACCGGAACGTCTGCAAATGCGTTATAAAGGTTTAAACAAGTCGTTTGAACCGGCAACGGATGAGCAAGTCGAAGAAGAAGGAGCCTGGGTGGCACGTTTGCTGGCTTCCTCCAAAGGATGGGATCAGGCTCCTGAGAAGTTTGTGCGATCAGTGACCAAAGTTGTCCGCTTCTTTGCACAAGAATTCCTGGAAGTGCCCCACATCAAAGACCATCGTCGCGACTTTTTCACCCAATACGAAGAGAAGACGGGAGTTACGACGGAAATTCTCACCGAGAATGATTTATGGGATATCTACGACTTGGATTTCAAATATCAGAGCTTCAAGGAACGCAAAACCGCCTTTTCGGAATTCCTATCCAAATGCCATATCGACAATGATTACGTGAATGACATGATCAGAAAGGTGGAAAAAGTCGAGGAAATCACCGATCTCATGGATTATGTCAACCTCAAATTCAGCGATAACATCAATCTCATGCAACAACAGAACAAAGGACCCAAACGACCAATGAATAAATCCTTGTATGAGCTGAGCATGAAGACAAAAGTCCACGGTTTCCTCAAAGTATGTCCTGGTTTGATTAATGAAACGTGTATACAAGGTGCAAAAGGTTTGATCCAAATTTCCTTGTTCTTTTAGGCTTTTGGTATCTCTGCAAGTCACTTTGGTGCCAATTACTTGGAAAGCAACCGTCGCCATTTCCCAGAAGATAGTCTTATTGATCCTATGGAAGAAGCACATCGCTTTGTTGATGACAGTTTCCCTGACGGCACCCGAGTGCTCAAAGGTACAGCGCGAGATTCTATATCCTGGAAAAGTTATTTTGGATATTGACGCGTATTCTTATTGGATGATGCTTTCAGCTGCCAAGTCTATCTTGGCTCAAGAAATCGCTTATGATCCGTTAGTACGTAAAGCGATTCGTCGTGATTGGGAAACCAAAGCCGTGGTCAATGTTCGTCCCACCGAAAAAGGCCTAACTGCTATTGACGAACTTCATCCCATGCATGTATGTCGTCGACCCAATGTTTTCACCTTTATATCGGGTACTCATCGTTTATTTGCCTTTTTATACTATTTCAGCCATTCCGATACCTGTATCAAAAACCTTTGTCGGCCTTTAAGGATGGACAATTTCTGATGGTATTGAAAGGGGAAGCAGATGGATTGCTTTCGGTTTCCATCACGATGCCCGACGAGGATGCCTGGTTCAACAAAGTATCCGAGTATTACATGTCCGACGGATACAGTGATGCTGTTCAACAGTGGAACGATCAGCGAAAGGAAGTCCTCGAACAGGCGCTGAAGGAATATCTGGTCCCGTTGATGGATCGTTATATTCGCGAAAAACTTCGTATCGAAGCCCAAGATCATGTGTGCAAGACCGCATCAATGACATTGTATAACAAGGTGAATGTCGGTCCTTTCCGTGGTCCTGGAGCCGAAAGATACAAGGGCAACATGCCTCGCGTCCTAGCCATCTCTCAAGGCAATGGATTACCAAAAGACCCCATTATGGCAGTGTTTGTGAATCAGCGTGGCAAGGTGTTGGATCAGATTCAGGTCCCTAACTTGAAAGAAGAGCGACACTGGAAGGACATGCTGGAGTTTATCAAATCGCGTAAACCCAATGTGGTGGGCGTTGCCGGATACAATGCGGAAACACGTCGTCTGGTGAAACACATGCAAACCATGCTGAATGAGATCAACCAATCTGGAGACATGGGAGGCGCGGCGGAAATCGACATGGTCATTGTAGACGATGAAGCAGCGCGATTGTACAAGAATTCCAAACGAGCGCAAGAAGAATTTGGAGAGTATCCCGAAGTGATGCGTTACTGTATCAGTTTGGCTCGTCGATTGCAGAATCCGGTCTTGGAATACGTTGGTTTAGGTCGCGATTTGTTGGCGATTCCTTACCATGAATTGCAACATCTTGTGCCTGAGGATATGCTCTTCTTCTACCTGGAACGATCCCTTATTCGTGTCGTTAATGATCTTGGCGTGGATATCAATGCTGCCGTTCGCTCGCCGTACCTTGCCAATGCTTTGCAATATGTCTGTGGTTTTGGTCCCAGAAAAGCCCACAGTATTCTTAAAAAGATTGAAGCCATGGTAAGTTGAGGAGTTGAGGGGGAGTATTCGAATAAGAGAATGAGTCTTTCTTAATGTCTCATGATTTGCATCCTTTGCTTTCTTGACTTACTTAGGACGAACTTGAAAGTCGTACGGCTCTTGTTCTGCGAAAATTGACGCCTGCCAATACCTTCATCAATTGTGCCAGCTATTTGCGCATTCGCGATATGGACGGGGCCGATATTTTAGACGACACACGAATCCATCCGCAGGACTATGAACTGGCACGAAAAATGGCCGGCGATGCGCTTGAAATTGATGAGGATGAAATGGACGATTACGACTCCAAGATCGCCATTGTTACCCGTCTCATTCGCGAATATCCCGACAAGGTGAATGATCTCATTCTGGACGATTATGCCAACGTTCTCGAACAACAATACCATGCACCCAAACGACAAGTGCTAGAGCATATTAAAATCGAACTGCAAGGACCTTACAAAGATCGCCGTCATCGATATGTTCGTCCGACGATTGATGAAGCGTTCGTGTTTGTTACGGGCGAAACCCGGCAAGCACTGGCAGAAGGGTACATTGTGCCTGCGCAAATCATGTCGTTGCGCGGTAAAATTGCCAATTGCGTCTTGGATTCCGGTATTGAAGGCATGATTTTCGTGGAGAACGCTTCGGACGATCGAATCATGAATGTCGGTGACGTGCTTCAAGTCGGCCAAACCGTCAACTGCAAAGTGCTGCGTATCGATCGCGAGAAATTCGTGGTGGATTTATCGTGCAAAGCTTCTGATACAAAACCCAACAGTGATCTGGAATTACGTAAAGTACCGGACGATAAATACTATGATTACAACCAGGAAGCACGAGACAAAGAAAGACAACGAGCGAACCGTCGCAAACAGGCGCGAAATAACCGCATGATCAAGCATCCACTATTCCGATCGTTCAACCATCGGGAAGCCGAAGAATATCTTGCCAACCGACAACGGGGCGATTTAGTGATTCGACCATCGTCGCGTGGCTTGGATCATATCGCCATTACGTGGAAGGTTGACGAAGGCGTTTTTCAACATGTGGATGTCTTGGAGCTGAAGAGCAATGGATATAACGCGCCATCAAGGCTGAAAATTGGGGATCTTGTATTTGAAGATTTAGACGAGCTCATTGTAACATATATCGAAGCAATTGCACGTAAAGTCGAAGAACTGATGTCCCATCCAAAATATCGCGTGGGCGGTTTGGACGCGCTACGTAAGTATCACTGATTCGGTTCTGTATACAATAGGGTGCGTTCCATGACTAAAAAACTGGCTGGATAGAGGAATATCTGGCGTCATTAACCAAAGCCAATCCAAAGATGTCAGCCTATGGTTTCTGTATGAGTGAAAAGGCTGGCTACTTTGATCTCGCTTTCAAACTGAGCGCACATTCACCACCCATGCGCTGGGTAAGTGGTTTTCATTCTCTGTTTCAGCCAAGAATCAATTCAACTGACGGCTGGGCCTCCTTTCACCCCCAAAAAATTTGTAGGTTGTCAAGGTATTACCAGATGGTTACCGATTGCGCGATACCTCTTATCCTACAGCGGGTGATCTTATCAATGGATTCAAGCGTTTGCAAGCTTCCGAAGCGCGACGTCGACAACGACGACGTTAAGTCCATCTAGATTTCTTCAAGATTTTTTAATCTCTTTTTCATTTTCCAATCAAACCATGAAAAAATACTCATTCTTTGAAATAACTTTTGGAATGCCCAGTGATCACTCTTCAGGGAAAGCTAAACACCTTCAATAATATAAACATATGCCTGAAACCCTACTGCAACAAATAACATGACTCTTTGTATTTGTATATCAAGACAAGTGCTAAAGAACATCCAACAAACTGATAGTTGCTCATACCCAATACTGCGAATGGAGTGAATTTTTTAAAGGAGATAAAGAAAAATAAACATTTTTACTGATGGTCGGATCGCTCATCGACCGCCAAAAAACGCAAAATACCAAGTAAGAGAGAGAGAGAGAGGAGAAAAAAGTGAAGAAAAAGAAAAGACGCAATCTCTTGCAGAGAACCAAGAGAATTTGATACAAGATATCATTTGAAGATGAGAGATTTCAGCAAGTATTGCATCCCAATGATAATGACAAGAAAAGAAATAATAAAAAATAAGTCCCAAAAATTCAGAAATTCAAAAAAAAGAAACTACACAAGTGAGAGTTTGTTCGCCTGCCAAACTTTAGCCCATGTTCCTTCCAAAGATACCAAAAATCCCCGCTTATTTGCCCTGCAAGTGGTGGATGACATAGTTTTATATAGGTATATTCTGCGATTAATTGGAGTGAGTATGATTTGTCATCAGTGTATGGAGAAACGTTCCTAGTTCACTTACGTTTGCTTCACAATGCGCTTTGACTTGTTCAAACACTTTGAGCATCTTACGTCTTGCTCCCAAAGCGGAGACACCTCGAGCCAGTAATTCGTCATCGGACAACTTCACCATTTCCTGCCATTTGATGTTCTCAAAAATTGGATTATACTTGTGCAATCGAAGACTCCTGAGCCAAGCAGGAATATCTAAAACTCATCGTCAGAAAAACCCAACCCAATCAACAACGTCAAAGAGTTTACGCGAAGTACGTACCTTGGAGCAATTGCATGTCGACGACATCGACATGCTTCTTTTCTTTAACAGGACGTTGACCGAATTTCCTGTATCGGTTGCTGTGACTGAATGCCGAGGCATCACTGTGATCGCTAAGGTAATCGAGATCGGCGTCAAGGCGGTCGCTAGGGTTCAAAAATTGACCAAAATGAGCTCCAGAAGAGGGTGGCACCAGATGGTGATTTGGTTTAGGACTTCGAGGCATCGGGGTGTAAGCCGAGCTTGTCGGATAAAGCGAGCTTGAATTGGATGCCGAAGGAATCGGTGACGTGGCTCGCGACGAAGGACGAGAAGAACTTGTTGGATAAGGTTGCGATAATGACGTTTGACCAAAAATACCATAAGGTTGGTGATGTTCATCGTGCAATGACAGAACAATGTTCGTATTGTTTTCATCTGTTTCAGGGACGGTACCGGGAATGCTGGTTCGATTCTTGGGTCTTCTTCGGAAATTCTTGCTATCATCGGTCTCGTAAGCACGCTGTTGAGATGGCAGATGCCAATTGGCCGTCAACATGGTCAAGTGATCGACGTCTGAAGCGGAACTGGGTCGCTCAATGGCCTTGCCATGTTCACTGAACGAATTGACCCCTGGGGTGACTCCCCAAGCCGCGGCCGCGGCGTCTTTGGCTTTGGCATTGGCATCCGAGGATACCGTCGCAAAAGACCAATTGGAAACATCGGCGGATTTGGGTCTTCCGCCGCGATCGCTCATCATTCCTCCACCGGCAGCACCAAAGGTCCAATCGCTGTTAAAAATCGACGACAGATCGCTTTCAATCACAGACTTTGGACGCACTCCCGTACTTGCCCCAGCAAAAATCGAGTTGCGGTTCTGAGATTTTAACCGACTGAAAGCGGAATCGTCCATCAGGGAAGAAGCATTGTTATATCCAGTATGCGGGGTTAAAAAATCGGATCCAGATACTATGCTTCCACCAGCACCGCCACCATTGAAAAGACGGTTATACTCCTGGGTATCGCCCAAGGCAAAAGAATGACGGTCAATGTTGCGTCGAGAAGCATTCGGATTGGGTGGCCTGGCCATCACCTGGCCTGTCTGATATGGTAACACGGACAAAAGTTTTTGGCTAGCTTCCCACTCAGCTTTGGCCATGGCGCTGGAGAGCTGGGAATGCATATCAGCTACCATAAAATATTAACGTTTAGTATCCATGACATCCGATAAAACCACACGTCCATTGCCATCGAGAAAAAGTAAAGTGCAAGGTAGTAAAAAAAAAAAAAACTTTTTTTCCCTCCAAAAACCCAAGAAGAAAACAAGAAAAACCATGGATATACAACAACAAAGTGGTGATAATAGCTGATATTTACTTTTCTCGGGTTGAACGGGCGTCAACAATGCTCCCAGGGGATTCTTCTTATCCATTTGCTGCAACACCGTGATAAAGAATCGGATCTGGACCTGGCTCGAATATTTCAACAGAGAATAAACGGCGGCTGTGCGTTCAGCTTCGCTAAGGTACCGAAACCATTGTTCCACGTGTTGGATCTCCTCCTTATACTTTGGATCAATGTTGGCGGAAGCCATGGATTCCAAATTGCGTTCATATTCCTGCAGGTCTTCAAACCATTTATCCAACGCTTCAGCTATGAAAAAGGCGGCAACAGAGACAAAGAAGCAAAATAAAGTAAAAAAATAGTAACATGGTTAGCATAGCAATTCCTTTTTTAATACATCTATTTTTTTCCCCCGTCTTTGCCTAGTTTTGACAGGATCATTTGGAGTTTCAGTTCTTACTTTCTGGAGATATTACGCTTCCAGGTCTGAGAATCTCGGATACGGGGCGTGCGAGCCGTTGTTGGGAATGATGCGATGATGAAGGTGCAGATGAGAATTCGGCTGTACCGGAACGTAATGAAGAAGGGGTATTGTTGATAGAGGCAGATGGGGTAGGTTCAAAGGCAAAGTTGTCTGGTAAAACCGACCTCTGGTTATAAGCTTGTGTTGTAGACATGGCTACGCACTGAACAAAAAACGGGGTATCAGTTGGAAAAACAAACGAAAGGAAGAAACGGATGAATGAGTGGTCTTCTTCTTGGTGGGGAAATAAGAGAAAGAGAGAGAGAGAGAAAGACACACACAGAAGAAAAAAATGGGGGTGACCTAAGATTTGCCACGATTCCCATTTCGGATGTCATCATCACCCAATAATTTTTTTGTCTATTTCCAGACATTTTTTTTCCCATTTTCTTTGTGCGGCTCTTCCTAATTTTCTTGATTTCTTCCTTGCAAACGCATCCATTTTGAACAATAATCATGTTCTAGACTACATAGGCTTCAAGAGATACGAGTTATTAAACCCAGCGTGATCGTACAGGGATCATTTCGTACAGTGTTTTTGCTTATAGATGGACTTGGCACAAAAAGATTGGTTTGTTATTTCCATCATCACACAAACGGTGGCACAGTTGAATATTCCGATATAGCTGCTATCGATCCCTATGTCTGTTTTTAGGGTAGGATAGCATGTATTCTCAAGATTTAAAGGCGTCATTACGTCTGAAGCAGGCCGCATGACCATCTTTCATCCAGTGGCAAAGAAACGACCTAGATAATGTGAGAAATAAGGTTTCTAAGGTCAAGGTAGGCCTTTGGAGGTCCGATGACATGCAACATGCTTATTACACAACAATTGCTGAGCAATGCAGTGGTCTCTTTTTTCCAATCTCCCGGAAATGCATTTCTATGCCAAGGAGAGTAGGATGCAATAATATTTTCCAGTGCATGTTGATAACCGCTGTGTTTAAAGATGCACAGACAAAAGATGCATCTGCTTTTTTTCCTTTATTGGCAGATAGAGAGAGATAGAGGAGGGCAGTTCCGGCTTAAGAGCGAAGCCAACAGCGAACCACCCAGTGTCAAAAATTATGCGCTCGATATGTCTTGATTGCCATACCGCAAGAGTAAATTAAGACTCTTGTCACATGAACAGCCAATCGACTGTTGCGTGACGCGCCCTTTTTGAGGTTTCATAGAGTTCGGCAATTTTCCCCTGACGACAATCATTTTCACACTAGTTTCAACTTGTGGGATGCATGGACTATGCTACTTGACCAACATGACGCATGCCAATGGCACTATGTAGCTGAAGGCAACGCCAACATCGTGCTTCGATATACCGGAAACAACCCCGATTTGGTAGCTATAACTTCAATTGCGCAACACCACCCGCTTGAAGGAGCGTAGCTCACAAAAACTTGTGCATACTTCAGCAAGGTCAGGTTATCCGATTGCAAAAGACTGGAGGTCTCGGTGACAACATGCAGGTTGCCAAATTCTCTGTCGATTTCTTGTCCCACATCATTGCTCCCTTGATCGGTTGGCAGTACCTCCTTCCTATGGTAAAACGGCGATGCCAGAGAACAGCTCCCATGACAACCAGTCTGAACCACGTTGTAAATTTAGAAAATAGTACAAGTGACACCCATGTTTCTTCACCTGTTGAAAGAAAGGATCAAGCCAGAACGGCCTGCCCACCGTTTGATTCGCGATATCGATGCCAGCTCTTCTTGGGCGTTTTTATCTCGCGATTTAATGCAGCGATGGTGGCCCCAAAAGACATTAACGGTCGAACTCAAGGTACCAATTCGGAAGACACACCGAAAACAAAGCGACTTGGAACGATGGATCATCCTTCTCATTCTATTGCTTAGCCTAAATGGGGATTCAAACCTAGCTCACCTTTTATTGTTCCCGAACATCAAGCGTTGAAGCGGACGATGTGTCGTTTTTGCATGCACAGTCATCTCAAGGGAGAAAAATCGATGTATTGCCCATTGGATCTGTATTCGAAGTGTCCTACGCGCATGCAACGCGCTTTAAAAGGGCTGGGTCAATATCCTCAGGGTAAACTCGCTTTTTACTTGGATGGGCAGTCGTTGCTACCCGAGAATTTAAAACAAGGAGGTTTACCGGGTTTCGGCTCCTGGGACCACATCATGGAAATGGTGCAAAAGGTTTTAGAAAAAGATCCCATCTTATCCAAACTGAAACTTTTACAGCAGCAATTGGATGAACTGGATGTGGAGGCTATTCATGACATGTATCAACAAAATCACGATGGCCTCGATCCTTTTTCTCTCGACGCATGGAAAGAAGTGGTCGAGCAATTCAAGCAAAGAACCACGAGCATACAAGATGGTAGAGTGATGTTTTCGACAGTGAGCCCTTTTTTATTATTATTGACATCCCAGTATTAGCCGCCTTGACGAATGCAAAACAACGCTTGTTTGAGTATGTACTCTCCATGACATTTAAAGATTGTTCAATCATGCTATGCGTGACCCCGATTTCCCATGACAGCACAAGGTACGTTTCCTTTCTCACCGCCGCCGGCTGCGTTCATATGCAGAATATTCATCATGTAATAATAGCCTCTTCAACGCCAGCACAAGCCAGAATACCGTGATAGAATTATCGTCCAAGGTGCGATTCGCTTACGACATCCGACTGATAGACTTGGACATGAAAAAGATGACCAAAATACCTTATTGGTATGCTCTGGACCAACAAATCGTGCAGTATATCCTCCAACATCATCTTCAACGAGAATGCGCCGAATAAAAGATTCAAATATATCAAGATGTAAAAAAAAAAAAAAAAAAAAAAAAAAGTAAAAAAGAACGGAAGGCAGCGATATTCTTGCGTAAATACATAAAAACAAAAACGGATAAGATGGGGAGAAGTCAAGGGCAATGTATCATATGGACGAGGATGGCGTGAGGTCGGAGGACAAGGATAACCAAGTTTTTGTATCTGAAATTTCTGCTTCTTCTTCTTTCTTCTGATGAATCTTGACAACTTCATTCTTCTTGCAATTCCTTGGGGAAAAAATAACACCTCTTCTTCTTTTATCTTATTTTATTTTTTTTTTTTTTTTACATGACCTTGGACGCATTCTTCTTGCCTCGTCCTCCCCTGGCATTTCCGTTGTAGGTATTTTTGGCCCTTTTCTCTGCGGGTTTCAAAATCTAACCAATCCATATCAGCATCCCCAATCCCAGCCACGCTACTAAAAGAAGCGTACAAGAAGCAGCTAGACTTACCTGGAATGAACAAAGCAAAGATTCATCGACGCTCATCATAGCACCAGCATTGTCAAACTCGCCACAATAGTTGGGTGCTGAGAACAGGGTCACCAGTTGTCGTTTGGCGAAGAATTCATAACCATCTTCAACGACTTGATGGGCACGACAAATAAGATCCATATCTTGCTTTTGCAAGAATTTGCTCACAATGTCGGGTCCAAAGGTGAATGATACACCACGATCATTTTCATTCCATCCTGAAATATCCTTGTCAGGATCGGCCCATAGTAAATCGCACAGTAAGCCTACCAACGCATCATTTTAAAACGTGCTTCATAAGCCATACAACTCCTTTAACCGTCTCTACATACCTGTGTCTGGCACATCGGTCGGTCGCATGACTCGACGAATCTGGTCCATGCTTTGTAAATCTGGAGAAAGGCCGCCGTGCATACAGAAAATTTTTTCGTCAATCACAGCCGCAATCGGTAAACAGTTGAAGCAGTCCGTAAAGGTCTTCCACAGCTTGATATTATAGCGACGTTTGCCTAATAGTATGCATAGCAACCTATCATCAGGGCGGACAGAACGGAAGGACAAGACGCCCAATCAAGCAGCTTACATTCATCGTAAAAGCCGTAGATACGGTTAATACTGGCGCATTCATGATTGCCTCGCAGAATGAAGAAGTTTTCGGGATATTTGATTTTGTATGCCAACAGCAGGCAGATGGTTTCGAGGGATTGCTTTCCACGATCGACATAGTCACCCAAGAATAGGTAGTTGGACTCGGGAGGGAAACCACCGTATTCAAATAGACGAAGCAAATCGTAATATTGACCGTGAATATCGCCTACCATTTAATAAACACTATTGGTCCTCATAAAAAAAATAACCTTGCTCCAATTAAATCTCGGCTACTTACCACAAATCTTTAATGGTGCTTCCAGATCCAACAAAATAGGCTGGCTGATGAAAATTTCTCGAGCCTTGATGCACAGAAATCGAATCTCGTTTTCGGATAGTTGGACCTGCTTTCCGGGGCGACTACCGCGAACTAGGATAATGAGGATCGATTAATATGAGAAAAAGTTCAAATAGAACAATATCACGCAATCAGCATGCACCGTGAAAAACACGTGCAGTTCATTGCTATGGGGTAGAAAACCAGTGACCACACTAGCAACCCAATACAGAATAAACGAACAAAGACAGGGAAATGAAAAAAGACGGATAAGTAGGGTAAAAGGGGGGGGGGAGGGTAGAGGAGAGAAAATTTTGAAAGATGAATCGTGTGGACACGTCGCCAGATAAACCCACCCAAGCTTCCTCCGATAATTTACCTTCCAATAATCGCTCAATAATCGAGTCGACGTCCTTTACTTCCAACGTGTCGTTCATATCTACAATCACAAACCTCATGTCAGTTTTTTGCTCAACCAAAGGGGGGAGGGTCACCGTTCTGTTATGAATCCGCATCCCGCTCATATCCTTGATCATCTGTTGCCGAGGTAACAACAGTGACAAAACACGCATTATCAAGGAGCAGAGAGGGGCGTTTCCATCGGATAGACTTTTTTGGCGAAATAAAGGCAAGGATGATGCAATGACCGATGGGTAAGACGAAATGGAGAACATACTTATCGCTTTGGGTCCCACGGTCAGGTTCGATAGCGAATTGCTTACAGTAGTTGTGTATTTGAGAAAGGCGAAAACTCTGATCTAATATTTCGGCTTCTTAAAGATGGCGGCCAACAATGTCAGATGGAGCAGACAAAGAGAAAGAAGAAAAAAGGAAAAAGGATGATCGAGTTCTTGCAACTGAAAAGAATCTTTCCTTTTTTTTCTTTTTTTTTTTTTTTTGGCGCTCCAGCCCCCAAATGGGAGAGGCTCTCTGAAGAGGAATTTGTTCTCCAGACAAGCGGTTGTCCAAAATCTGAGTTCATCTCTCGCTTTCGATTGTATAAAATGCCGTCATGTTCACCTTTTCCACTCACACTCCGATCATCTTATCAGAGTCGCTGTTCATTTGAGGAAACTGGGCTGTTTGGGGGAAGCTATGTAGCCGGGTTCCTGGATTAGAAGATAGAAACATACCTAGTTTTGTTGCTGTAACAACCCTCTTGGCCAATTACATGAGAACTGAAGCAAAGTCCTCATATTCATCGAGTTGCCTGGCAGTCATAAGCATTATTGGTTTATGCGTTTGTATGGTCGGAGCCATAGTCGTACCATGTCTCGGCACGATCGAGCCGAATGAATGGGGTGTGCCATGCGAGCAACCCCTCATGACTAAAAATAAGTCGAGACGCCAATGCCTCGATCTATACCTTTCTCAAGTAACTTGTTCCTTTCTAAACCGTAAGTGATTTCTGTAATATCCAAATGGTTCATATAACATTTTGCTGCAGTCAAGCATTCTTCAGTACTCGTTGACCGTCCTCGTCAAGTTGTAACCACATCCTTGTCTTGTAGAGCAACCGTGTTTATAAATGGACCGAGTGGGCACATCGGTGGTCGGTCCGACAGTGAATTTCTGTCACCAGATAAAAAAGAAAAATTGCCAGAAAATTTTCCATTTCGAACAATCACTAAAGGCTTTCTGGAGGCAATGGAATGAAACGAAATATTGCAGCTAATTAGAATTGCTCTGGGTGTTGTATACGTTACACCGGTAAAATGACATGGAAAAAAGTACTATTGCTGCAAAAGCTAAACTGTCCCGAATTTGTTCCCATAACACCACTATCCGAAAGCATTTTCGAGATCATCGTAAAAAGTTATGAGATCCACCATGCAAAGTATCGCCAGGGCTCCTCAAACAGGGTATACACCGGAGGAAACGCGTCTAGATCTGGCGGTCTCACTTTGCTAGAGCAAATGGACGATTGTTTAGTGCACAGTGAAGACTTGTCTTCGTTTCCCATCCGCAGGAAATTGATTTGCTGCCAAAAAGCTTACTATGATCATGCTTTGTACAGAGTACCCACAATAATAATCAAATGAGCTGTGCATTTTAAGCATATAAAGTCTGAGCCCATAACAATAGTGATGGATAAGTTTATCTTTCCCCAAAAAGTGGCCGGACGATCGCATCGGGGAAATGATGATTTTCTGCGCGAAATGTTCCTGGACACGATTTTTTTATTGATTCAGCCAATGTAGACGCCTGACAATAGTAAACCGTCATATCACAGATAATTGAAGGTTTTCCCAGCAATACAGCGCTTAGCGGAAAGTATAAATTTCTGCAAATTATAACTTGTAATAAATGAAGCGTGTAAAAGAAGAACAAGTGCACATCTGATTTTTTATTTGTACTGATTTCAATAGAAATATTAGACCGGAGCATGTCGGTTTTTGTTATTTCATATCGGACACGATGCCGACGACTTTGGTCATTGGGTCGTTGTTCGAATAGTCGATAGATGCAGTCATGAAATTAGTGCAAAGAGATGTCCCCAACATGTTCCAGGACCACCAGCATATCGAATAAAGGCACACAGGTGGCAAGGCGTATTAGAAGTCATTCAATGTAAATTTAAATGCCGATTAGCAAGCTCAATAGACCACCAGGTAATGGAGAGGATGCACATCCAGGGAAACCGGCGACGGGAGATGAAGTGGAGAAAGGCTGAGGTAAGCACCGAATTTGACTATTTTTCCCACGGTGTCACATTAAGACCCTTTTTTTTTCGCACCCTTTGGTCCCTCTCTTATTTCTTTTTCATTGTATACTACTGGTAGTCTCGAATTATATCATGTCGTTAAACTGGGGTATCATTGGCACTGGTAATATTGCCAAGGTTTTCGCCAACGCACTTAAAGTGGCACGTAAAGGCCAGCTCGCCGCCGTCGGCAGCCGGTCGACAGAAACAGCCCAGCGGTTTGGACATCAATTTGGCCTCGAAAGCAGCAAATGCTATGGCAGTTACCAAGACTTGCTTGCTGACAAAACCATCGATATTGTGTACATCTCTACCCCGCACCCTCAACACTGCGAATTGGCCATTGCTGCCGCCAAGGCTGGCAAGCATATTCTTGTCGAAAAGCCCATGGCCATGAACGAAGCTGAAGTGGTTCGCATCTTGAAGGCAGCCAAGGAAAACAACATCTTCCTCATGGAAGCTTACATGTATCGCTGCCACCCTCAGACACGTAAAGCCGTTGAACTGGTAGAAAACGGCACCATTGGTGAGATCAAGCTAGTCCGTGCCAGCTTTTCATTTGACGGTCGCGATCTCGGTCCGTCATCGCGATTGTGGCGCAATGAACTCGGTGGTGGAGCCATCATGGATATTGGAGGATGTAAGTATTGCAGCATGGCTGTTCAAAGTAGAAACAAAAGAGGGCGTTCGTGGATATTTTTTTTTTTTTTTTTTTTTTTTTGCTAATAACTGAAATAGATCCACTGTCGTTTGCTCGATTGATGGCCGGTGCTGCTGACAAGGGAAAATTCAGTAACCCTAGCGTGCTCAAGGGAGTGGGACATATTCAGCCTGACACGCAAGTGGATGAATGGGCTATTGCATCTTTGAGCTTTGACAATCACGTCACCGCCCAACTCTTCACAGGCGTGTTTGCCGACAGCGATTGCAGCGTTGAAGTGATTGGCGCCAAAGGATCGATCCGGGTGTCGAACCTTTGGAGACCGGATTTGACCCAATTGGGTCCCGTTCAGGTCGAACTGACCGAATTCGGAAAGGAGACTCAGACCTTGCCCGTGCCCCTGGAAGAAACCAATATTTTTGCCATTGAAGCAGATATTGTCGCTGATGCGATATTACAAGGTTTTAAAGAATGTCCTTATATGACCTGGGATGATTCCCTTGGTCAAGTTCGCGCTATGGATCAGTGGCGCAAAGAGGTTGGACTCCAATTTGCCGCTGATCGCACGTAAAATCCTTTTTTTCCCCTCATTATTCTGTAATTTTTGTATTGTCTTGTTGTTGTTCATTTCAATGAAAAGTTTATTTTGTACAAACACGCTTGCCAAACTCCTCACTATGAAAATGCATCCATATTAGTCATATTGCTTACGAATATTCCTCTACTTTTTTTTTCTTCAATGACTTACTTGTATTCACGCCAGATCTAGATAACAGGTGAAGAAAATGAGACAAAAAAAAAGAAGAGAGAGTGAGTATCCAAGATTGCCGCATTCAAGTTGTCACGTCTACAGTTTGCTTACCACAGGAGCCGATGTGCAGGGAATTAATCCAACTTCAGTCACTACCAAGGTAATATATTTTGATGGGGTGACATCATATAGTAAGTTAAGTAATCGTAAATTGGGCTGATCGCGCCAATTGAATAAAGCTGAAGCGTCCGGTGAAGGGTGGTTCTGATGATGTGCATTTAGATTAGGCTTGGTATTCACCAAGTCATCTGCGTTGCCGATTTCGTTCATCACAAATGAATCCACTTGAGTGCGGTTGACGAATTTGTAAGTCTCACAGCAAATCATGACTGGTATCTGTTTATCGCTGGCAGCCATAGCCACCATGGCGCTGCCGATACGAGAATACACGGCGCCGTTGTTCAGCAGTGCGTGAGCTCCCATAATCACCTTTGTTACCGACTTGAGCGCCACATAAACACTGGATAATAAATGGTACGAACAGTCGATGCCAGCTGCGACTAATCGCTTCAGTAAACGTCGGCCTGCACAAGCACACATGTTAGCTCTGTGTAGCCCAAAAAGTGTCATCCCTTCGTTAACATACCTTCAAACAATGGGCGACTGTCCACCACGATCACTTTGAAATCAATGCCTTTCTTCTTGGTTTCCAATAGCAACGCTTCAACAACCGACGATTTTCCATAAGTCAAAATGACTTCGCCATCTTGAATCTTTTGCAATCCATTCTGGATAATCAGCTGATCGGCCATGGTGATGCGTTCGCGAATAAAGTGACCAATACGCTCAATCAATCGGCTGCGGGCTTCGTCATCTGAAAGAGGCGGTTCTTCCTCAACGATATCGGCCATCTCCTTTTTCAGCCAACGAATACATTCACGCATACTTAACGACATGGGACGTGTGCCCAACAAATACGCAATGTGCGGATCCAAATGCTTTTGAATGTGTCGTGAAAATGTCGCGTCGGGAGGTGATCGATGCTCCTCAATAACCTACGTTGACCCGGGTTTGATGAGCATTTTTGTTTCCTTCATCATCTTTTTCCAATCCCGATGATGCCTACCTTTGCAAAAGTTTCCAACATGGCTACACAGCGGGCGTTGGAGCCAACAATCTTGAATTCTGAAAAGTATAATCCAAGGGCGATCACGGCGGGATGCAGATCGCCACTGCTGGCTGCCGTATCGGGCCGTTTGGGTGATTCCAAATGCAACAACCAGGGGACCTGATTTTGTTGAGTTTTGCTCTGTGCTTTTTTGATCTGCTTATCTTCGGCTGTGGCAGGCGCTTGCTGAGGTTTGGGAGACACGGCTTTTTTCGCGGCTTCGAGTTCGGCAGCCTTTTTCGCTGACTTGGGTAATCCTGCAGCAGCACGGCTTTGTTTCTCTGCGCGCTGCTTTTCTTGAAGCGCACGACGTTCGGCTTTGGTCATGTCCTTTTGCGATTTACGTGGTGGCGCTTCAGGGTTCGCTTTGGGCTGTTTTGGGACACTCTTGGGTGTACTTTCTTTATCGTCTGCATTGATACTTTTTCGGCGTGCAAAGGATTTCTTTTGCTCATCGGATAAGAGCCATTGATTCTCGTAAGACGAACTCATGGGTTGACCCATGCTGGGAGATCCGGTTGCCGCCATTTTTGGGTGAGACGACTTGGGAATTTGCAAAGGCTGCTATACCATCAAATGTCGGTTATTGATCGCAATCTAATCTTACATTCAGCGCATAAAACTTACGCTGGGACCGTCCGACACCGAATCCATAATGATCAACTTTCTACGTCTAATGCCAAGATCAAGGAAATCTTCAATGAACACCGACCCTTTTTTTATTTTATTTTCAAAAGAGCAGGAAAGCCGCTTAAATCGAATGAGTGGCGTCATCATACGCGGACTTTAAAATATCCATCCTTACACTGTATATCAACGGGCAACTAGAGCTCGAAAGGTCATTGTTATTTTATATTTTAGAGTCTACAACTGCTGGTGAAGGGTTATAAATGAGGGGACAACTATAGAATGGTTGAGCATTGTTGATGACGTTGGATATTGACCCGATCTATGGGCTTTTTCCTTTTTCTTGCGCGGCTAGGAGCAGATTTAGAAAAGGCACATCATAATTTGACTATTGACATAACAACATCTGATCCAATGATGTCTGGCTACCATGCAGAACATTTCTCCCTGTCGTTACTGTCGCTGGGAAACCATAGCAGTAAAGTGGGGCTATTTCCAGCATTGCAGCAATTTTAACCAGAAATAACCGTTTTTCTTCATATAAACAAACATAAATATTGACCCTTTGTTTGATTCCTATCATTGAACTTGCAGTGGTTGCGATAATAAATAGTTGCTTGTTGCCTACATTATGGGCGTGCTCTTTTTCCTTGATTCGCACGTGGAATGGCAAGCCACCGAACTGGTGATATTTTTAAAAGTCAGCCACGTTTGAGTGTCCGCATAGAAATTGTTTATTTATTTTTTTGCAGACCTTCTACCAGTCAATTTGCACCGTCGGGAAAGCCTCATCAATTTTGAATCGATTCCCCAGTTACATTCAACACAAAAACCATGAACATTCTGACGATTGCACGACCGACCAGCACTTTGACGACGCTCAAAGTTCAGGCATCCCGTTGGGGTACACTTGCCCTGGGTAGCGCTTTCCCTGCATGGCTCAGTAACAACGACGCTGTCACTCGTAACGACGCATATCAAATACCCTCCTGGCTTGGTCCCATCTTGTGGGCGGCTCCCAAGAAGAAGACATCGCACTCTAAAAAGCGCATGCGAGCATCCAACAAGGGTCTTCAACAGAAAGAAAACGTCACAGCATGCCCGGCCTGTGGCAACCACAAGCTCATGCACCATGTGTGTCGACACTGCTACAAAGACATTAAACAGAAAGCGAAATTAGAATTGGCATAAACCTATTGGCATCCTGTTAGAGACAGCAACTAATAGCATGGAAGAACCTTTCTTTGTATATACGAAACAAAAAAACACAGCTTATCCTGGCATTATCCCTCGTTTTCTTTTCGTTTTTGCTGGTGGCATTCTTGGGTTGGGGTTTCTTGTTATTAATTTTTGGGAACGGCGGTTAACGATAGTGTTAAAAGGTAACTATCAGAATCGGATGACAAAAGGGTGAAAAAGCAAAATGGGAGCACTGTGTGAACAAAAAAGTTGATGCAGTGGGAGTGGATTGTTTACCGTCAGATAGAGTGAGCCTCTGCATATGCTGCACACTTTATGAGGCAAATCATTGGTGTTTGGTCAATGGAAAATTGTTTGATCCTGCAGAATGTATGTATGTCAATCAAGCACCCTTGCGCCTCAATAGATATTCTCAAGATTCATCGACGACCGACCATGAATAGTGTAGAGTGCATGTTGCATTGACACGGACCAAGAAGTTGAAACTCTTCCGTGGTGACACATAATTCTCAAAGTAAGATTTGATGTATTTTCCAACTCTGCTAGGCACAACTTACCTTTGCTACACGCAACAGATTTTTGATCGGCTGGTCTGTCTTCCCGATATATGGAAATGCTTTCCTCATGAGGCTCGTTTGTGGATCCCCAATACTGATTTTTTTGTACATATTTCAATTGCGCCGGGCAAAACTGCAAGTTCTCGATCCAGTGCACTGGCACCAGCGAAAGAGGGAGAGAGTCTGGTTCGACGATGTATGGGGGAGTCGCTTTTGATCTGCTGTTGACGGGCATTGCCCGATGGCCAAAATCTGCGCCCACCTACACTCTGCAGTCGTTGTACATGATCCAACTTGATATCGCCAAAGAAAAAGAACAAATTACAAACGCGTTGCATATGTCGTCAACCTAGAGAAAAAAAAAATGGACCCGCGGATATCGTGTCCTAGATACCAATAATTCTGTATATTTTTTCATGTGATGAAAAACACAATATTTCTTGGCATCCTTCTTTATGCACAGAGATTCATTATCCACCCTTTTTGCATAGAGTCATTACATACAAAAAGAGGAATTGTTTTTATGTAAAATATCATGATCTGTGATTCCGAATTTTTTTTTTCCCTGAAGAGATCGACAATCCTTTTCTGGTAATGAAAGCCAACAAGCAAAGTGACGTAGCAATTCGCCTAATAAAACCTTGTGTTTCTTCCTGATCGTGATATGTAGCCTGTAATCTTTTCTGATAAAAAAAACTTTCTGGGGGTGGAGTGATATTGGAGCTGAGTGTAAGCGAATATTATGAATTTCAATCATGTCAAGCCAACTGAGTGACTTGCAGTAGATCGGATCCATCATATGCGAATTTCAATGGCACTTATTTATTTACAATCAACTTGTCATTCATGTTCCATGGAATCTTCTTTTTTAATACCAAAGGGAAACAATAATGTAAAGTTACATAGCCTACTTTGCTGAGATTTGCATGCTAAATTTCACATTATTTTGTGGATAATGATAGTAACTCTGGAATGACATGGTAACCATACGTTAAGGTGAGCCTCCACTCTGATCACATCATAACGAACGAGGGACAATTGTTCTCGGGGATGATTCTTGGCAAAAAGTGAAAAAAACGCATAATGTCAGCCTGAACATGGAATATTGCATGATGCAGTGTGCTCATCTGGTTTATTTTCCGCTTCAAAATCGCAATAGGCCATGCGTCAGCGGCGAATTTTATGCTTGGAGATTTAAACAAATTCTAGTAATGGATTCTATTAGTTTTGGAACTGCTGTTTATACGAATACTACATAATCTTATAGAACAGAGTAGAAGATTATTATGTTGATATCTGTTGGAGTCACGTATCCAATGGAGTTATCCTTTTTTTTTTCAGATCCGGTTGTTGTCAATAAACGTCGTCTAGGGTAATGAGGCAACGGTGTGGTAAAATCCTATTCTTACTATCTTTATTTTTAAGGGAGAGGACGATCGCAATGGGAGGGGAAAGGCGCTGAGTATTTTCCAGCGGTTCCATGTGAACTCCTGCTGAAAATTCAAAAGGGAAAAAGGGGATGCTGCACGCTCAGCCTGTCTCAGTTCGACGACTTGACTTTTTTTCTCCAATCTTTCGGTTTCTCATTTTTTGCTGATGCATCATTATATTAGCCAGTTGAATCATTCCCTCTGTTTCTTTTTCACAAGATCTCCCTTCTTTTCCATCAATTCTCTATAAAACCAAAATGACTTCTTCGCTTCCCATTCACACTCTAAGCTCGCAAAGCAAAGTAATTTTTATTGCTTCATTGATCGTCCTAACGACCCTTGTCACTTAAAAAAAACATTTACTAGCGCTCATTGTTCGACATGTCCTTGTGTTCCCCGTCCTCTTCTGCGTCGTCATTATTTCACAAAAACAAAATCAACACAAGTAAGCAATCGTTATCATGGCAAATGGTTCCCCCTTTTGAAGCATCGAGTCAAACCCATTTTTCGCTAGGTCACTTTTCCATGGTATCTGCCCAAGGTTATGGTTCCATTTCTTCTGCAAGTGATTACGGCTCATCTTCTTCTTCACAATGTGAAAAGCCATGGCCAATTAAAAACGTATACGACAGAGATGAGGAAGAAGAAGAAGAGGAAGAAGATTATTACCTTTCATGGACACACGAGTTACTGCGCCAACGTGGTTACCGACCTGTATCCTGTAACTTTAAAGAAGATGATGAAAAAAATGAGGATGATTTGAGCGATGCGCTAAGTTCCAGTGACGAAGACTGCAGCTCAGATAGTAGTATGGATGACGAAAGTGAAGATGACGAAATGCAATTGCCAACAGCAAAGCAGCATCTAATCCGAAGGGATTATTACTCACAAGCACCCAGCCCACCTGCGACGCCACTATATTCGTCTTCTGCGGATAACGCACAACCAAAGTCTTTTCTGTCATCCTTTCTCCCCTGTTTTGCCTGATCAGTTTAAAAAGAGTAACATAGCATGCTTAACATTGTATATAAAAAGCTGCAATATTATATTTACTTCAGTGCGACATGTTTAGAATAGAAATGCATCTTGCTTTCCCGAAATGTCCTACAAATAATACATGGTTTATTTTGGAAGGAAGACTTTCCTTATTCTTTTGCCTCATAAGGAAACCTTGCTTGTAGACTACCATTTTGCCGTTTGATAAAAAGTTGAGGTTAAACAAAAATGCTCACTTACGTGTGACGCCATGCAGGCGATAATTTGAGTTGCCGTTAAATACTATCTCTCTTGTTTCGAGATCAGTTGTTTAGAAATACTGCAGCGAGTTCAGTATTATTTTTAGGATGTTGCAGAAAGGCATTGGCGACCAAGTACTGTTGTTGCTCCGAGAATATCTTTTACCCATCATTTCATCTCCTCTTCTCATTTTTCAAAATCAACAATGGAAACGCTTTTGATCAGAAACTTATTTTCTGTGAATCATGTGGCCAAAGGCATCAAAACGGATAAGCTGTTATTATGTGTCGGACACGATGTTGCCTACAATCAAGCAGAGGATCTGCAAGCGAAAGCTTCCTCGGACGAATGAATGCTCTTTAAAAACAATGAAACGATAGCTTATAGGTGAGTTATGTCATTAATATTTGCTTCACAGCAAATGTCATTTCTGGCACCGCTATAACCACTTCTTTTTTTCTTTCGCTTTGTTGGTCTCTTTATTTAATCGCTTTTATCTACACTGGGACTTCGATATCTGTGACGACGTTGACGTTCACTTGGACTGCCGCCTCTGCTTCTGCGTCTGCTTCTACTTCTGCTTCTGCTTCTGCTTCTGCTTCTGCTTCTGCTTTGACTCCGACTAGCACTGGGGCTTCGATAGCGATGGCGACGATCACGACGATGGCGACGACGATATTCGGAATCACTGCTTCTGCTTCGACTCCTTCGACGATCACTGTAACGACGATTAGAACCAACACTGCGACTACGACTACGACTACGACTGCGATCCCGATCCCGTCTTTCATAACGTCGTCCACGATCACTGCTGCGACTGCGACTTCGACTGCGACTATGACTACGGCTCTGGCTTCTGCTGCGACTGCGGTCAGTGCTAGGACTGCGACGTCGCTCGCGTTCTCGAGTTTCTTGTGGTGCGGAACCGTCACTTTCTAAATCTTCTTCCAAAGCACTGACGCGAGGATCCAATTCATCGTTATCTTCAAGAATATGCCGACTCAACAGACGCGGTAATATAACATCGCATACACGATCATCCCTCAGTAACTGATCGACAAACTCATCCATATGTGTCAATGAGTAACCACCTAATTTCCCAATATGGATACAGAGTGAATAAACTGCCACACCTGTTGCTTCCAGATCATAATTATTACCTCCTCCTCGGTTCCTCAGTTTACGATAATCATTCAATAACGGTTCCAGATACATGTATATTTCTTTTGCTTTCCCCACAATACGAAGATAAAAGGCACCAAGTGCTCGTAAATATCTGAGAAAAAAAAAGAAAGACGACAGTCAGTGATCATCTCTCACGCACACACAACGACAACAGTAGTCCACATTACTTGAAATCTTCCTGACGAATTAGCTCGACGACAATTTCCTTCTCGGGTTGTAATTGCAGCATTTTCAATGTAAGGCACAGAAACGGGGTTGGGTGGTGTCCTTCGTACACTCCACCAATGTATTCGAGTTCCACAGCTTTGTCCATGAGTGTGGCAGCTACATGATAAATGCCCAAAGTCAACCACTCCAGTTCTCCATTCCCAATCAAAACCGAGTCAATGAAAAAAAAAGTTACATGTTAATCCAAAGCAATGCTCTTTCCAGTACATGGAATCATAGATGCGTTCGCGAATAATCTTTTCAATGAGATGCTGAGGATCTCGACCGTGGATTTGGACGGCATCACTGAGAGTGCGATTGGCTACAAAATAAGAGAATTGTCGTTGAGACATGTTTTCTTCAATTTCGTTTGAATGCTTTTATCCGTCTTTACCCATGCTGTACGATGCTGTATAGAGGTGAACCCGCCGCGGTGAGTGGGCAATTCCGTTCTTTGATGCGAAAAACAAAAATCCTCATCCGCAGTCTTTTTAGTACTCCGCCCGTGGGGACCTCGAGCATTTGCTCTTTGTCAGCAAATCCATGTGAAATCAAGCCCGCCAGAGTACATATACAGCGACGTCTGTCTTTCTTATCTTCTCCAGTATTTCCTTGCCCATTCGTCTTTAACCGTAAAAAAATGTCACAGATACAGCTCCCTTTATATCTTCCGTCCGAAGAGAACAAGCAAATGACGCTTACGCAAGAAGGTGCCTTGTTCATTCTGCATCTCCATCACAAGGATAACCGGTTCACGACCGAGTTTTGCCGAGCAATATTGGCAGCACTTCAGGTGGTGGAAGACATTTTCTTGGCTTCTGAAGATCCAGTGGATATGGCACTAGTCACGGTCGGTCAAGATAAAATTTACAGCAATGGGCTCGACCTTATGCATGCGCTTGCTTATCCTCCCTTCATGGATACATACCTTTTGTTGCTGAAACGCATGGTTACCTTTTGCATACCAACCGTCGCAGCTTTAAATGGGTAAGTATCATTGTCAGCAACTTACAATGCGCATGAAAAATAGCTGTGTCCCCATGGAGATACTGACTTTCATTTGGATCTGTGACTAAAAAAAAACCACGATGATGCATAGACATGCATTTGCGGGCGGATTCATGTTGGCGTTGGCTCATGGTATGTAGAGGGCGGTCTTTTTGCAAAATGTCAAATAAGTGTGTCTAAATTGCCGAAAAAACGTTGAATGAATTTATTTAGACTATCGCGTTATGCGTTCTGATCGCGGTTTCCTCTGCATGGTAGGTTGGCTTTGCTTGCGAGTCAACGTTGTCATCCCGTTTGTTAAAAATATTGGAATAGAATGAGGTCGATCTTCCTTCACCTCTCGCTCCCGGCATGACGGCTTTATTACGTTGCAAGACCACCCCAGTGACGTTCCGTAACATGGTGCTTCAAGGGCATCGTTTTACAGCCAAAGAGGCACTAGAGCAAGGACTGGCCGATGCCATTTGCCCTGAAAAGGAAGTGCTGGATAAAGCAAAAGCTTTAGCTTTGCAGTGGGCTCCCAAAGCTAAATCCGGTATTGTCTACAAACAGTTGAAAGATGAGGTAAGAGCGGGAGTAAAATGGTTTTTGAGGATCGGTTAGTTCTAAACGCGTGTTGTTTCTTTTAGATGTACGAGGAAATCGCTCGCAAATTATCTGTGCCATACCATCGTCTGGCGCCCAAGATGTAAAAGAAAGGGTGTACAAATAAAGTTTTGGGTTCTTACTTTAACGCGATTATGCAACACGCATTCTGTAAAGATAAAATCTTTCTTTGGCCCAAGTGGGTACACATCAGAGTGAGAAGGTCAAGGTGGAGGAGGCCCCCCCTGTTGATCGCCCTGAAGTAAGAATCTCCTAAACGGCTTTTTTATTTTTCCCTTTTTTTTCCCTAGTCTCTGTCACAGGCATCTAAATTGTCTCTTTGCCCTGCATATCGTTTTTGAAAGCATGGAAAGCAGCGTATCTCCTTCTAACCCTCTGTCGTTTACCAGGAACAGCCATAAATCACCGTCACAGTCTTCGGTTCGTCTTAAACGGCCTTCCACCGATGATCTTGATAGCTCCGAAACAGAAACAGATTTGAACTCCTCCACCAGCTGGAATGACCGTCGTTCATCCTCATCTTCATTCTCATCATGGAGCGTGCCAAAGCACTTGGTCTCGTACCCTCAGCGCCACAATGAGCAGTGGGTATCTCGAAACAGTGGACCTGTCGTGAGTCCAACCGCTTGGGTCACGGATATGCAACGCACGCTGGAAAATACTATGAGCGATATGCCATACACAGACAGCGAAGGCCTGTCGATGAATCCAAGTAAGCCAAGTCAAGTAGCAGCATGGCTCGCTTGCATAAAGTAACCAAAAACCATTGTCTGGATCGGAAGGATACAGACAAGGCATTGATCGCATGACGGAACAGATCAACCACTTTTTGTCTACGCGTTCACCCGTTCCCCTCCATCGCTACGCAATAACGGGGGTGACAGATACACCCACTGAGCCTTTACCGTTCCTGTCAACTGTCGATTCAGAACCAACTCATTCGTCGCCGCCACTACCATATTTGGCGATGATGGACAATTTACGGAAATTCATTCTGCATTTTCGTGACGCTTTGGAGGAAGACCCGCCAAAAGCAGTGGATGCCGAAGCCTACTTTTTGCAAATCAGCGATCCTGAATTACCGCAGCACATGGACATCAATTTGCATGATTTGGATCCAGGTGTCAGTGTGGAACCATGTCATTTAAACACCGCGTCATGGTATCAAGAATATTCTCTGGCGTTTTGTTCGCGGTTATTGGATTATCTGGACAAAAGGGAAAGCGAAAGCTGGTACTTTGGCGCGACAACCCCTTTGAAAAATCCGGAGACGGACAAACTACAAGCTCGCAACGAGCGATTACTGCAAGCCTTGCGTAAAAACGTTGGAAGAAATGATGAATTAAGGAAGCAGTTGCGTGCGGTAGCTCAGCAGCATAAGAAAGACATTGCAGTAATACAGGACGAAAGATTCAAGGATGTAAAGTACCATATGATTCGTGCCCAACGTGCGGAAGAGGAGCGGAGAAAAGTGATGGCCAAACTGACCGGCTTGGAGAAAAACTGGTTGAATGCGTCGTACGAAGTAAAGCTACCACTGGAGACCAAGCTCGCCCAAGTAGAACACGCACTGCAGCGATGCGAAGACGAGAAAGGAGATATGGAATTAACTTTGGAATCGATGCGTAGCGAGATGGAAAAAATGATGGAAGAGCTGGCCGATACCAAGGATTCAAACAACCGGTATAAAATGCAAGCCAGTCGACTCAAGGCCGGTTTGGAAGCAATTCAAGGCAGAGTGAACGATGACGATGTTGAACAGAACGGCATCGATGCCTTGCGGCTGCTACGTAAAGAAGCGGAACGACAAGCCATGGAGCTGGAGCGTGAAAGCAAGCGGCAAGCGCTGGTGATCACCAAGTTACGCCAGGATGCAAAGCAGTGGGAGGATAAAGCCCGCCAACTGCAGCATGGACAGACTACGGAAAAGAACCAACTGCAACGGTATGAAGAACAACTAGCCCAATCCGACAAAAAGTCCAAGGAGCTTGAAATTCTCCATCAGAGGCTGCAGAAACGCATATGGGAAGCGGAGCAGGAAGCAAGTGGACTGAAAGATCGGATCGAGAAAGGTATCCTTCGCGAACAACAAATGCATAACAAATTCGCTCAATTGCAATCCGAATATGCCAAAGCCAAACGCAATCTCCAGCAACAAAAGAATGAACTGGGCCATTACAAACAGCAAAAAGTGCAAACCCGCGAAATTGAAGAGGCCAGAGAAAATTTAGCGAAAATAAAGGCCGACCATGATCAACAAATTGCCAATCTTCAACACGCTTTGACGCAAGCTGATCAGCGAGCCAAGGAAAATGAAGAGAAATTAAGAGTGCATATGCGCCAGATTCAACAGTCCAAGGACGCCGAAAATGAACAAGCATGGAAAGCGAAACTGCAACGCGAACAAGAGATCCTTCACTTGCAAATCTCGCGTGAAACTCGAAATCTGTCGGGTCGAATTGCCGAACTGGAAGCTGATATAGAACAGTTTCAACGACAGCAAAGTGAATGTGAAGTGGCCATCTCGAAAACTGAAAAACGCCATATTGAAGTGGAACGTACCTTAATAGCACAGCGAATACAGTGGCGTGCGAAGGAGAATCAGTTGAAACAGTCGTTGGATCATATGAAACAGCGAGTCAATACGTTGGAAGACGAAGCCTTACGGTTGTACAGTAATAATCTGCATCTCGCCCATGAACTGGGGAAGTGGGCTCCCTAATACTAATAAATAATAGCCTCCTGCCTACATCATGACAAATCCACCGCTTATTTTGTTGTCCATCCCTTTGGGTCATTTTACTTGATCCTTTTCCATTACTCACTGCTGCCAAGGGAACCCCTTGTGTCGATTTGAAATAATGCGCTAGCACTCTCTATACCCTCCGGAAGAGAACAAGCACGAATTCCTCGGTCTTATTCGGCTGTGCGTTTTTTATTTTATGTTTATTTTCTCGGTGAGCATGACGCCGGTGACGGTGATTCGGTCGGGGGTTCCCTGATTTTTAATTTTTTCGATATCCATCCATGGATGAGGGGCCGGAACAAATGTTGCAGCGATTGTTGAAATGAATAGTTGTTGGCGACTAGGGATCCGGTTGGGACACACCCAAGCGAGAAGAGCCTATTCTCAGGCAACAATACCTTCCAAAGCTCGATCGAGAAAATGGCCGATGGCTCTCGCATTGGCCGGTGCGATTGGTGGTGGTGTGTGGGCGTATCAAGCGTACCAGTGGAAGCACCGAAAACGGCTCGATTCCGACTGGTACATTCCATTGAAGCTCGTTGAACGAGAACGGCTAAATCACGACTCATTTCGATTGCGAGTGCAAATTGATCGCGAGACGGGCAAAACCTTCCCTGTACCATCCTGCTTGTATATCAAAGACGATGCCATTCAAGTGATGCGTCCATATACACCGATCAATACGAATCCGTATACCGATGGCTATGTTGACTTCATAGTGAAGCGTTACGAAAATGGTGCCGTTTCTCGTACATTGACCGGTTTCAACGTTGGAGACTATGTTCACATCCGTGGTCCCATGGTTGAATATGAATACAAGCGAAACAGCAAAAATGAGATTGGCATGGTAATTTCATTAAACGACTATGAATGACCCTGGGAAGCACGAATCTGAAAAAGGCAACCTTTTTCTTTTTTTGAAATGTAGATTGCTGGAGGAACAGGAATTGCGCCCATGTATCAAATGATTCAACGTATTCTTGAGGATCCAGAGGACAAGACCCGTTTATGGCTGATCTATGGCAATAAGAAGGAAGAAGACATTTTGCTGAGAAAAGAACTCGACAGCCTTCGAGAAAAACACAAGGACCGATTCCAAGTTGATTATTTATTAGAATACCCCTCTGAAGAATGGACGGGCGGACGTGGAAGAGTCACGAGTGATCTGGTGAAGGGCAAGTTGGGCGATAATCACAAGACAGACGGAATCCAACGGTTGGTGCTGGTATGCGGACCGGATGCGATGTTGCATAATATCTGCGGTGATCGTGCCCTGAACAACTCACAAGGACCAGTAAGGGGAATGTTGGGCCGCTTGGGATTGACTTCCAAAGAAGTGTGGAAATTATAAATGTACAATACATAGAATAGAAAGAATATAATGAAGACAACCCCCCCATTAATAAACAGATTAGAAAATGAATCATGCGATGAATAAGCTGCGATCAGTAATATTCTTGATGCCTCGATATCTACAGAAGCTTTTTCAATAAGAACCCATATTCATTCATAGTCTTAATGCTTGAAGAAGAAGCATGATCAATGGAAAAGATGTACGTACCGGTGATTTATTACAGAGCCAATCTTTCATTTATAAATGTGTCGTGTGACACATTATCGCTTTCGATCGCGAAAAGGCGATAAAACTCGATTAATTTCCGAGCTGCTCGCACTTGGTCGTTTCTTGCAAATGTCTTCACTTTGTTGCAATACTTTTCAAAGATCGTCAGCTGAACCAAGTATTGTTGCAAATTTGCTATTGACGACGGCAAAGTAATTGTGGCCAATTCCATCATGAAATAAAGGTCATCCGCCATCCGCTTCATCAGATAAAAGGTGGCTGTGTGATGGACGCATTGGATCGAAAGGCAACCACTGACATTGCCTTGGTCAATTGCGTTTTACGAGAATACACCCAAACGGATGAGGTCTTTCGCAATGACATAGTTATTGTCACAGTCAGCAGCAGGTTTCATTTCTGCAAAACCAACGGTCTTGCCGAATTGTACGCCTTCAACGCAAGAGACCATGACATCAGGTCGTTCAGAAGAAATCGACCCTTTTGGTACTGTTTTTGCATCGTCATTCACGGTGCCAGCAAACGGAAGAAAATGTTATTCTCGGGATCATCAAATAAGGGAACCGGCGCAGGATCCAAATAGCGAGTGCAAAGCTCTTGTTCTTTTATGATGGACGTGATTTCTTCGTTTGGCAACATGGTGATCCTATCGTAAAATGAGTTATTTTCCCCAAAAAGCCATTATGTAACCTTTTTTGAGAAAAGAGCAGAAAAAACTACTCACAGCCTAGCGACGGAACAGATGATCCTTGAAATCAGCGGTGAGGCAACGCTTGCCTTTTGCAACAGATCTGCTTGGGCAGCCAATCGCGTCATTTGTTGAAATTGAACTTCCCTCACAATGCTCTTGAGTTCAAGCATTAATTCGACGTTGAATTTTCTTCCGTACGGTTCAAAGCCAAATTCGTGGCGCACATGGTTTTGCAATCTGTCAACGTTTTCCGCTCCAAAGATGTTCACCAGGTTTGGATGCATACGGTGAGGTTTGATCAACAACACGTAGGACATGCCCTAAAAGAAAAGAAATCAGACATTGCTTGTCGCGTTAGTTTTTACCCCTTACAGGATGTGGTGCACATGCGATTCCATGAAAAGATTGCTTGTCGCAGCGTTGATAGAATTTTGGAATTGATGGAAGGCTCGGGAAACATCGAAATCATCGACCGTATAGTGGTTGTCGTCCGATGACGGTTCGGGTGAGAAATAAGTCAATTGCGAGACACCCTCGTCATCTTCGTTGCTGCCAGATTGAGTGGGCGTTGGCGTTGCACTGTCCGCAGATGATTCTTCATTGTGGGTACCGTCGATGTGAAATTTCAACTGCTTTAAATCTGAGAAATGGGACAAACACGAAACGCATGCATAATGCATATGGACCAACATGTAATTGCCTTCGTGTGCTTGGGAGATATACGTGAATTGCTGCGTATTTACTCGTGTTCTGCCTTCGCTCCGTGATGGCAAATCTAGGCCGTGGCGGTTCAGCAAATGCTGCTTCAGCTTCGAGGCTTCTGATAGCTTTTGTTCACAAAGGTGACAACCATATCGCAACGATACAACTGTTGGCATTGTCATGACGATAACAGAGTTTTTGCAAGAAACAAACAGGGAACACCCAACACTCACCTAACACTCAGCCATACTCGCTCATACTCGCTCATACTCGCCCAAGCTCTGCCCATACTCGCTCATACTCGCCCATACTCGCCCATACTCGCCCAAACTCCGCTTATACTTCCTATACTTGACCTGATTTGCGGGAAAGTTGTTATGTTTGGTAGTTTTCCAAGCAGGGGCTCAGTTATGTTTCTTTTTTCTGATCAACACATTGTTATAAGGCTTCTGCGAGGTAGGAAGTATGCGTTGATTGGGTAGAAAGTTTTGAGCACCAGATATACTGTTTTCCGATGTATATCAGATCGTAAGGGTTGTTTCAGTGTAAAAATAAAAATAAGTGTGGAATCAACACCGAGAGGTTTCCTGTGCCAATTCAAAGGTACGATAAAATCGCGCTGACTATGGGTGTCTTAAAAAGAATGATACAATTATCACAGGGGATTGAATAAGAACGATATTCGTCCAGAATACTATCCCTTATACTGGTATTTTTTTAAGATAGGTATTCAATATCGTTTATTCAATTCGATTTACAGGATATTTATGATATTCGGCTACAATTCACAATCCAGAGGGTGGTTTTCAGGTAACTACATAATTAGGTACAAGGAAATAAGGAAGGATGATACAAATACGAAAGGCTAATGTCCAAGTGCGAAGGATGGTTTTCAGGGAATAACAGGACAAAATCAGATGAAAGAAAATCAACTTCAAAATCCGATGGGTGAATGTTGTAACTGAAAAAGGTTAAATAAGACAAATCAAGGTACAACGTCAAAGATCGATGGATGATGCATGGTTTCGGGATAATGGAATGCACAAACCCGATCTGTGGTCTTGTTCTTTCTAACAGGGAAATTAACAATGGAATCGGTTTTTGGGCATAACAACGTGTACATTTTTCTTACTGCATTTCTTTCATACACATTTGTTACCTTTTATTATTATTTCATTTTCGGATTATAACAGTTATGTGGTTTTCCGGTCAGGAAAATCAGTGAAAATTCGGAGACCCATTCTATGGGGACGCCATGTTTGACACCAAGGATGACCTTGAATTTCCGTCCGAATTCGGCAAACAGCGTCGGGAACGTCGGCAGCTGAATGATATTCACGTAGAGAAAGACACGGTTTTCATTCACTTGCACAATATTGTTCGAAAACTTTTGTCTCCGTCCGGGATATACGAGAAAGGGGGTTTCACGCATGATTGTCGTAATGAGTCAAACACTTTTTTGCTGTTCGTCACCCCACGTAAATGTATGCGCCTTTTGAGTAAACGTTTGCCACGGTTTCGCTAGGGTTGCAAACTCCGGAGCAATCGCTAAGTGACAGCAGCATTAATGTCAGAGACGTTGATCAGTTTCGATAGTAGTCAATTCAAAGAAACGAAACGAAACGAAAAGAAAAGATCTCAATCTAGGCGTCAAGTGTTCCCATTTTTCGCATTTTTCATTAGCGTGACGTCACGCTACTTGATTTTGGAGTGGCCGATGTTATTTGGTTATTCACCCCATATTCACTCAATTCATTCACCCTATTCACTCATACTCACCCAATAAATACTCATCCTACTTACTATACTCACTGTTCAATAGCGTTTTCTTTTTTCTTCTTCAGATGATACTGCGAGCCATGATCGGCTATATGGGTTGAGTCAAGTTTTTCTTTTATCGCTTTCTGGCATCAATGTAAAATCATTTCTTGAACTTGCCTCAAAACCGTTACACAGAATATGCGCCGGTAAAAAAATAGATACGGACCGGATGCGATGCATTGCACCGCATTGGCGGGGGAAAATTTTTTGGATCTTCTAAACAAGTTGATGAATTGAAGAAAATGCCTGTAAATAGAAACAAGAAAACAAACAGAAAGAGGATCATTCAGGGCAAAAAAGAAAAAAGAAAAAAGAAAAAACGAAGCCCTTTTTTCATGTGAACAATCGGATGATCCAAACCGGCTTTCAACAAGCAGATGACGTCGGTTTTTCAATGATCCCTCTATTCATGGTTGTACAATACTTGCCTTTTCGCCACTGTAATTCTCTTTTTTGTTGTCTTTTTTCTCTTTTGTCTTTTGTATTTTGTACAGCGCCTTTTTTTATTTTTCCTTTTGTCATCATCACCTTCACTGTGTGAGCCTTTTTTTTTCTTGTTTTATCACCCAATGGAAAAGTATTGCGCACCTGCACGACTGGAAGTTCCGGTCGATGGAGGTGATCATGGTGGCATGGCAATGGGGTTTCCCCATGGCGGCCCTCCCTCTCCCACCCTATCAACAACTTCCTTCATGTCGTCCGTTTCTTGGATGGCCGAAAAGTCTTCCAAGGAACTGATTCCCATGCTCAAAAATGCTTATACCGCTTTAAAGAACAAAGAACGAGGTAACCAAAAAATCCAGCTATTTTCATGCGAAATAAAATTGGAAAAAGGCCAACCTATTGATAAAATGGGTTTGTTTGTAATGCCTCCTCTTGCATAGATTTACTGCTCGCGGCCGAAATAGGAAAGTCGCTCTTGGAGAACAACATCAAATTAAAAACCAGCTATGAAGATTTACTGCATCAGTCGGGGCAGTCACCCATTGCCCCTTTACCGACACCTTCTTCTTCTCTTGGCACATCCACCGGAACAGTTTTACAAGGAGATTCCGATTCGGGGATTGAATCATCCCATGACAGCGACCCAGATGACCACGACCTGGATGAAGGTCGTGGTATGCGATTCATTCCCTCCCGCAGCACTCGCGAAGCCATGATTGAAGTCCTCGAACGCAAAAATGCCGAACTCACCGATAAACTGCAACAAACCATGCATGAGCAATCCACCCTCGATCGAGCCAATGCACGTAAAATTCGTGAATGCGAGGCCGAAATCACCATGCTAAAGAACGACTTGGATATCGCTGCCACAAAGATTGCCGAATTGGAGGAAATGAATCGTCGTCAAAAGCAACTAGAAGTAGACACCAAGCAAACTGATGTCGATGATGCAGTGGTGAACGAACTGTTGGATAAAATTCATACCCTCGAACACGAAAAACAAGCCGCCAGCCATTCCAAGGCAGTTCTCGAAGACAAATTGGCCGCCACACTGAAAGATCTGTGTCATCTGAAGCAACAAGTGGAGGATTTTCAGTTCACGCAAAAAGACCATGAATCCCTTCAAGAAGCGTATCAGCGACAGTTCCATCATATCGCAGAACTCAATGACAGTTTGGAAGAACATCGGATCGTTTTGCAAAAGCTGCGAGATCGTGGTATTCCTTTGCACTCCACTCGCCCTTCACCTGCACCCAGCCAGTATGGAGAGGATGACTCGTCACCATCCATACGCCCGACGCTGTTGGCCGAACTCGAAAATGAGTGGCTAAAAAAGAATCTCAAAAGTTCGAGCTCATCCTCCGCTGCATCCTCAGCACCATTCTCGGCCTCTTGGCGCGAATCATCTGAAAATGCATTTTCAAGGTTTCACACGTTGAAAGATTTATCGCGTCTCACGGAACGGTCGCTGAACGATATTTACAACTTTTCAACTGATGCCACTTTAGACTTTATCTTGTCAAGAACGAGCGGCATTGATAAGGAAGCATTGGACGATGCTATCCGTTACGTTGCTCGCATGGAAGACGAACTAATGCAAGATCGAGCCGAAATCGGTTTACAAAAGGAGAAGGGCGAGGATCCCATTACATTTGATATCTTTGACGGATATCCTCGTGAAGGACTCTATCCTGAACTCATGCCATCCGATCATCAGGTGGAATGCATGGTGAACGAACCTCGCACCTTCATGGCTCGATTGCGTAAAATCCTCCAGCACTTTTTCCATCAAGTGTGGCGTTGGTGTCGCTTTGCCATGATACTCACCGCCGCCATTGTCATCAGCCTTTGGAATGGACCAGATTGTGTCAGCAAGTATGATTAGCTGCCAAAGTTCGTCCGTTTTTCCCTCCCTTTCCTTATCTCACTCGCCATTCCTTTCGGAATTTCCGTGCCGCCCAACCTTTTTAGTCCCTATCATCATCTATTATTCCCATCGTGTTATATCTATCCAACTCTGTTACTGTAATGATTACTATTATATTATTTTATGTCGTATTTATGTAGATGCTTCTATGGATAACGTTTTGTCATTGATTGGACAACGTACATTTTGTGTCTTTATCTTTTTCCTCTGCCAATAAAATTGTTGCAACTACAACTGCACACAATAGATGCTGGTGCAAACTTACAATGAAAGAACAAAATGATCCAATATCTTGTTTAAAAAGTAAACGGTTCATTTTACTCAACGATCACGGACGCTTCATCGGGCGACAAGCGCATTTTGGCCGATTTTTCTTTTTTGTGGAGGCACAAAATCTCCGCCAAATTGGAACGATGGTCGGGCTTCAGGGGAACCAAGCGACAAAAACTGCCTTGAACTCAGAAAGTCCATTCACCGCAACAAGAGAAAAGAGAGCGACAATTTCGGTTGCTTCTTTCGTAGCCTTTTTATTTTTATTTTTTGACGATACCATTTGCTTTTATTGCGCAAGGACTCGGAGAAAGATCCTTTTATATTAGTTTTATTGCGTCCACTTTGCTGATCGTCGCAACCACAAAGCAAGCCATCCCTCATCTTTTAGCAGCATGTGGAAACAGGCGCTTCATTGCGTGATTGCGCTATCCCTGCTATTCACAGCCACAGCACAAAAAGGTCAGTGCAGAGTGACCTTGTCTGTAGTATGACAGCATCCACTGAATCCTTTATCGTAGCCGAAGATTACAAAGTCACCGATCTACCAGGACTCGATCCCGATGACAACACTCTAAGTCAATATGCAGGGTAAATACCCTTTGAATACCGATTAGCGACTTGTATATAGTCCAACGTTAACCTTTATCATGTTCAGGCACATTGCCGTTTCTCCGGAAACCAATGGACATCTGTTCTTTTGGATGATAGAGCAAGTCGAAAAGACCACACCTGAGAAACTGGTATATATTTCGAAACAAAGAAGAGGGGATAGATGTTGATTTTGAGAATAAATGCTGACATGATGGCTGTTAGATCATTTGGTTGAATGGAGGACCGGGATGTTCGAGGTAACGGATTGTACCAACCGATACAGCAGTACTCCGATAGACACAACAGTTGACATAATGCAATGATCTCCTATTATTATTAGCATGGATGGCCTTTTTCTGGAAAATGGACCATTTCGAATTCAGCAAAACTTATCATTAGCCATCAATCCGGCTGGATGGCAGCAATACGCTACGATGGTCTATGGCAAGTACTAGCATATCAACATCGAATACGAGCGCTTGCATTGACACATCAAAATCTTAGTGGATCAACCCGTCGGCACCGGTTTCAGCTTTGCCGATACCAACAGTTATATGCATAACATGACGCAGGTGGAAGCCAAAAGATATTGCAGCGAAAGAGGATATGGCGAGGTGTACTGATGGGTTTTGTGTTTAGATCTCAGAAGAATTCACCACTTTCCTCGACAAATTCCTGGATGTATTTCCTCATCTTCGCGAACAAGAGGTACTTTATGACTTGTCGATCCTCTTTTCCGCGATCTTCTTGTTCACTCTTGTGCTGCTCACAGATGTACTTGGCCGGTGAAAGTTTTGCGGGAACGTATATCCCTTATTTTGCTTCGCGTATGGTGGAACTCAACAAGAAGAATGAAATCAAGGTGAATTGACAAAAAGACCTATTAGTAGTGGGATACGGGGATACTCAACCCTTTATGTTGGCAGTACAATTTGAAAGGATTAGCGATTGGCAACGGCTGGATTTCACCCGTTCATCAGGTCTGTTTCATTGATGATCTCGAAAATTCCCATATTTTATCAATTGACTCGGAAATTGGGAGTTTAGTATGATGCTTACTATGATTTCGGTGTGGCCAAAGGACTCTTGACAACGGGATACGCGGTTCGTATACAACGACATTGTTCATTTTACTTGGTTCAAATATTTCTGACATTGGCTGACAGAATCTCGCTGCTTCACACCTGAAAGCATGCCATGAAGTGTTGGAGACCCAAGTCACCATTAATGTGGAAGTGTGTGAATCCATCATTCAGGATATTATGGACAGTTCTGTGCATGAGTGAGTGCAAAAACAAGGTTATGTTAAACTGTGTCCAAGCCATACTAAACGATCTTGACCAGGAAGGAGACTGATACCGGCTATGCGACGTTCTGTGTCAACCAATACGACATTAGAAAAAAAGAAGAACCTTTTCCAGACTGTGGACGAAACTGGCCTTATGAACTAATTGACGTGACCCGTTACTTACGCGTAAGCCATCCTGCCAACAAATGTGTCTTGTTTATTTTCGTAAAGTGATACTGACCAGGTGATGTACAATGAAGCAACCGCTTTTGAAACCGACGATTCATACGGAAAAGCAGTCGGTGGGGTGGCTGGAATGTTCCACTGGCGTTGGCAGAGCTCTGGCTGATGATCAGAGCGAGCCATCTTATGATGTAAGACTGATGACGTGGTTATGGTTGTATTTCCGCGACCTGGACGCTCACCCCTTTACTTTTTTCCAGCTGCTTCCTTTGTTGCTTGAAGAGATGCGAATTTTATTATTCAGGTACGCTTGTCACCACTTGTCAGATTATTAACAGGGTCCATGACTAAAAATTGGGTGTACACAGTGGTGAAGCAGATTTGATTTGCAATCATTTTGGCACGGAATATTTGATCGGCAACATGACTTGGGCTGGTAAAACCGGGTTTGCTGTAAGTGAATGTGTCTCTGTTTTATTGCGTTCCTGGTGTATTAAGGCAGATAAAATGATAGGGAGCCAAACCCAAGGATTGGTTTATTGGCCAAGAATTTGTGGGGCAATACACCGAAGCACGCAATCTTAGCTACGTGTTGATCAAGGATGGCAGCCACATGGTTCCCTATGATCAGCCATTACCAACGCTTGATATGATCAATCGATTCTTGGGTGTAGGCGATAATCAAGTCAATGGACAACCGAGTCGGGTCGGGGATAAGACCGCAGCAACCAAACCTTCCGGAAAGCCTTCCACAAAGCCTTCAAAGAAACCAGCGCCGACCAACAATACAACGGAAGCCAGTGAAGCACAGACGTCGGATCCCACCAATGTGACTGAAACGCCTGAACCCGCCACTGCAAAAGAGGACTGGTCCAAATACTACAATTGGTTAGTGCCCTTTTTCATTGTTTTTTGTTTTCTTCCATGTGATGATGCGTGCCATGCTCACAGATTAAACTATTTTTTTTCGTTCGATTTTTGATCGACAGGGGTACATCGGCGCTTATTGTTGTCATTTTATTTGGAGCGATTGCCGGGTTCTGCTGGTATCGTTCAAGGAAGAATGCACGCCAGGGTTACATGTCCGACTTGTCGACCCAACCCAAGGGACCGTTGTCGCGACTATTTGCCATGTTTGGTAAATTTGGATCATCCGATCACCGAAAATTACGATTGCAAGATCCAGAAGAAAGCAACGAATTGTATGTATTCTCAATCTAGCTGCGGGCAGAAAAAAAAAGGATCACAGAGAGAGCTAACACGAACTTTCAGGGACGAGCTTGTTGTCGAGACACCCACCTTGTTCAACGCTGAAGATTATTCTTATTCCGACGATGAGCATGAGGCACCGCGACCGAGAACGGAACCCTCGACCAAACCACAAACAACGACACGATTTGCGATAGCAGATGATGATGACGATGACGACGACGACTTTGATGACGATGATTTTGATGATGATTGGGGTATGGATCCTATCGATGATAAAAAGAAGGGCGCAAAAGCCGAATAGCCATCTTCAGTATATACAAGAATAAAAAACCCACGCAATAAATACCGCACCATAATAAAATGTGCTTACACACCATTCTCTTTTCCGTTTACCAAAACTTGCTAATCTTTGGCGGTATACGAAGAAAGTTGGCTTTGCTACTGATATCAGGTGGCACTTCCGTGACAAGAATGATGGGGTGAATTAGTATACATTTTTCAATTCAACATCAGATAAGGTTTGTAAGGATTCAGTGTTCAGGGTACTTAGTTTCTTATTGGTAAAGGGCAATGTTTCCTCCTCGGAATAGTCGTTTTGGGAAAATGCGAGAGGTGATACAGTTACTAGCCTTTGTGTAAGACAGAAATGAACAAAAAATCGTTAGTGGAACGTAACGAGTTTACAATGAATATCCCTGAGACAGGGCCGTAATAAAAATGGTTTCTCTTGTTGCCAACACTACTTTAATTTTTTTTTTTTTTTATTCCTAAGCGACTGTTTCCTACCATGACCATTGCCGAAACCGAGGTACGCTGGCTTTCAACGCCATCCCCTGTATTCTTCCCATCCGCTTCACCCACGCCCAAACTCTACAGCACCCCCAATAAAAAGCCTCCAACACCGGTCAACTGGCAACAACAGCAACATCAGCCACAACACGAAGAGCAGTGTACCGAAGAGTCGCTGAGACACCGTTTCGATATGAGCCTGGAGCCATCCAAACTACCGAGCATATTGTGCCCCATTCTTCCCACCACTTCCCTGGATAATGAGGATGATGAAATCAAAACCGATTCCTTGCTGTCAAGTGACGTTCTAGACTCGTCCGCTATTCTGTCCACCGATGACAACTTGGAAGAATTCCAATCTACGTCTCGGTTGTCAACATCAGGGAACCCAACAGCTTCCGAGAATCGGTCGCTGGATCCGTCTGGATCAGTTGATTGCCAATCCATTTCGCAGCAGACAAAGATAAAATCTCAAATTTTGGCCCCTCCAACTGCAGTGACGGATCATTCAAGAGTATCACAAAGCGATCAAAAACAGCCTAAAAGATCAGCTACCGTAAAGCATTCGCCAAAACAATGGATGGCAAGACTGAAAAAGCTCTCTGGCAAGACATTTCAACATTAGCCCATTTCTCGATCAATAAAACAAATAAAAATGATAAACCAGATCACGTTCCTTTTCATCTTGGAATATTCCAAAGTTTCAAGACTATTGCGTCTCAACCCTGAATAGAGTTGACCACTTCTGAGTTTGTCTCCTCTTCCTTCCCTATTTTGGAGTTTTGATTTGTGGACATAGGTTGCATGCTCTTGATGTTAATGAGAGATCTTACTCAATGTTAAGCACTCGAAGCCGTGCTTTTATGTTGATCTGCGAATCCGGCTTTCAAATTTGGATACCTCAATAAAAGTTGCCTTTTACCAAAATATCAAAGAAAAGCACAATGATTTAACAGTGATATTCCTCCTGTGAAATGAAAAAAGTTAGGATTTTTTCATATGACCAAAAAGATTTGGAACAGGCGATAGAACGATCAAAATCATCGTTGCAGTACTCGCATTCGATGAATCACTTCTCTCTCTGATACGCGTTACGATGGCTGCGTTTTATGTGAACGATTGATTTGATCGTTCAAGGCACTACGTAATCAAGGATGTCGCCAATATTTTACGCCATCAAATCTAGGTTCCACATGTGCATTGGGCTATGAAGGGTTGTTTACATGTGGTGGATGGCTGGGATAAAACGGTTTGATTATGTAACGAAATGAAAACAGGATGATCCGGGTTTTGTAAACAATGGTTCATTTTCGGAGATGGAAAGCGTTGCCGTCATTGATCGAGGTGGGCTTTCGCTGCCTGCGGGTGGTGTGGACCATGATATCAGGGGCCCGCTCCTACGCCCATGGGCCACAAAAAAAAAGTCGAATGTCTACTAATATTCCAAGGACTTCGATCCCCATGATTTTTTATTGGCCGATCCAAGAGTTCTGAAATCAAATGACAATGACATTACGCAAATGACGTAGTTTAGAGACAGAAACTTGCGAGTGGAAAAAGTCCGACTGTCCGGGTGAGCAAGGGAATTCGATCCGTTGGTCCCGATCATCCTAATCAAGGGAAATGTCCCTCTTTATGTACAAAAAGGTTTATTGTTGCTTTTTTATATATAACTGGAAATAGTATTGTAACGTGGATATTCTGTGTACCGGGATAGGACGGGTTTGTGTGAGGAAATGACGCATTGGGCAAGCCATTTCTCTGAGATGGGGAACTCAGAAACCATGGACGTCCGCCCGACCTGTGACTGTGAGTTGTGTGCCGGGCGCACATATTCCGTCCCCAGCAACTGTATCAACTGATCTTCAATTTTTTCTTTTTTCTTTTTCGTGTATTTCACTTGAACGCATATTCTTTTTCTTCTCCTGTCCCGCACACTTTTTTTCTTTTTCTTTTTCTCTTGTCCTCTTTCTTCTCCACTGTATAACAAAAGAAAAAGATCATGTCTTCGTCCAATACCAAGCCAGAGGGAAACGATAAGCTTCGTCTTCTCGTGGTCTCCAACCGTCTGCCAGTGACGGTGACCAAGAACCCTGAAACTAATGACTACGACTTCAAAATGTCGTCAGGTGGTCTGGTGGCTGCATTAAGCGGTCTCAAGAAAATGATGACATTTACATGGATCGGATGGCCAGGTAAACCCTTCACACAATAATCAGGCAGAAAGAGTAAAAGAGCTGACTTTTCTGCTTTTGCTGTTCCAATGACGCAGGTCTTGACGTTCCGCAAGAAGATCGGAAACATCTAGAAGAAAAGTTATTGGATGAAACCTCGACGATGCCTGTCTTTGTCGATAACGATTTGGCGGATCTCCATTATAACGGTTTCTCAAACAGGTATGATTAAAAAATAGTTCATCAGCATGTGGATGGTTTTTATATTTGTTTGTGGTTGTGTTTACATTGGCTGATTGTTGTTTATCTGCAGTATTCTGTGGCCTCTTTTCCATTACCATCCCGGTGAAATCTCGTTCAATGAAGAATGGTGGGAGGGTTATCAGCGCGTCAATCAATTGTTCGCCGACGCTATTGACAAGATTGTCGAAGACGGTGATCTTGTTTGGATCCAGGACTATCACCTGATGCTTCTTCCCGCCATGCTTCGAAAGAAAACCAAGAAGAACATCAAGATTGGTTGGTTCTTGCATACACCTTTCCCCAGCAGTGAAATCTATAGGTAAGGAGGAAAACAAGGCAAACGAAAGGGAATCTCAGTTGAATGGGAATAATAACTATCGATTCTGCATGTAAAATTAGAATCTTGCCCGTGCGCAAAGAAATTTTGCTCGGTGTTTTAGAGTGTGACCTTCTGGGTTTCCACACGTACGACTATGCTCGCCATTTTCTGTCGTCATGCACGCGTATTCTCGGACTTTCAACTATGCCGAATGGTGTGGAATTCGAAGGAAGATATATTCAAGTCGGAACTTTCCCCATCGGTATTGATCCCGAAAAGTTCACCGATGGCCTTAAAGATTCCAAGATTCAAGCCCGTATTGAACAATTAAAGAGCCGCTTCGGTGACTGCAAACTCATTGTCGGTGTCGATCGTCTCGATTACATCAAGGGTGTCCCCCAAAAGATGCATGCTATGGAAGTGTTCCTGAGCCAGCATCCTGAATGGGTAGGCAAGGTTGTACTTGTGCAACTCGCCATCCCGTCCCGTGAGGATGTGGAAGAATACCAGCAATTGCGTAGCACCATCAACGAATTGGTCGGCCGTATCAACGGTCAATATGGTAAGCCTCTCAAACCCTTGCTCCCCACGTTTATTTCTGTTCTCCAATGTCGACTGGGGCAAAAAAAAAGAGAGCCAAAGGAATACCCCGAGGTTGATGTTGAAAAACTATTTCACACGCGGGTGCACTAAATATGGTATTTTTCTTCTTTTAATTTTGCAGGTACCGTGGAATTTGTGCCTATTCACTTTATGCACCGTTCCATTCCTTTCGATGAACTGGTGGCTCTGTATGCTGCTTCGGATGTGTGCCTTGTCTCTTCTACTCGTGACGGTATGAACTTGGTGTCTTACGAATACATTTCGTCGCAACAAGAGAAGCACGGTGTGTTGATCCTTTCCGAATTTGCCGGTGCGGCCCAGTCTTTGAATGGTTCTATTATTGTGAATCCCTGGAACACCGAAGAATTGGCCAATGCTATTCACGAAGCAGTGACCATGCCTGCCGATGTGCGCAAAGCCAACCACCAGAAGCTTTACCGCTACGTGACCAAGTACACGGCCGCCTACTGGGGTGTCAGCTTTGTGAACGAACTGTGTCGTGTCAGCGATGAATTTGGTCAACGCGCTTCGATGCCTCAGTTGGATGTCAAGGATGTGATTCAGAAGGCCAAAGCATCCCAAAAGAAGAAACTCATCTTGTTGGACTATGATGGTACATTGACTACCACACACAAGCTTCCCGAATTTGCCAAACCTTCGGCAACAGTCTTGGAGCACCTCAAGGCGCTTGCTGCTCAGCCCGATACGTACGTGTACATCTTGTCTGGACGTGGACGACAACATTTGGATGCCTGGTTCGCCTCCACCGGTGTTGGTTTGTCTGCGGAACACGGCTGTTTCTACAAGCATCCTGCCAGCGTGCGCGAGTCGATCAAGCCGGCTGCTTCCTCCACGGACGGTAAACTGATCAAGGAAGAAGATAATAACTGGTACTGCTTGGTGGAACAAATCGATCCCAGCTGGAAGGAAACCATTCGTCCTCTGTTCCAACATTACACGGAACGTACGCCTGGTTCATTTATTGAAGAAAAGGAAATCAACTTGACCTGGCATTACCGCAATGCCGATCCTGAATTCGGCAGCTGGCAAGCCACCGAATTGCAAGTGAACTTAGAGAAATTGTTGAGCCACATGGCACTATCGATTGTGCTCGGTAACAAGACATTGGAATTGCGACCTTCGTCTATTGACAAATCCACGGCTGTGCGCAACATCATCAAGGATCTCGGTTTGCCCTCCATTGACTTTATCCTGTGTGTTGGTGACGGCAAGACGGATGAGGTGGTCTTCTCCTACCTGAACGACATCCCTCACGCTATTACTAGCACGGTCGGAAAGAAGCAAACCGAAGCTCAGACATATATCCCAACGGTCGATATGGTCAATAGTCTGGTGGAAGACCTTGGCAAATTGTAGAAAAAAGCAACCAACAAAAAAAAAAAACCCTTCCCCTCTTACGCTTGGAAACATCACACGAAACCACAGCGAGAAAAGAAATTCATTACAGAAAGAAATTCATTGTTAAAACCCATTAGTAACTTGTCTGTATCCAATAATCCCACTTATTAAATCATTTTTGTAAAAATAATAGGTGATCATATGAACGTGATGAGAGTTGTAATTTATAAATGAATTGAAAACGTATGATCAGTCAGCTAAAGTAATAGAAGCGAGCCAAACAATAATAATAAAAAAAGCAATAAAGATAGGAGGACAAAAAAAAGGTAAAGAAAAATAACGTAAATATCATACTTCAAGGATGCGATCGAGAAGAAAAAAAAGAGATAAAGAGGAGGATCGTGACGATGGCGGATACATAGGGCAACAACCCCACTGCATGGCTTTTTTTTTTTTTTGGTTTTTATGAAAAGAAACCGGTTCTATCAATGTAAGATTGACATTAAGTCAAATCGTTCCAATGCGATTAGCGAGAAAATGGGCTTACTTGTTTCGTGTCATGAATGTCTTTGTCAGTAACTGCAGCGTTTTACTGACATTCAGTTGGATGTATTCGAGATCCAACATGGAAATATTATCTTGCTGCTTTTCAAGTAAATCGTCTAGCTTTAAATCAATCTCCAGGATTGGTTTATCGCGCGCCTTGTAATGAATGGAAATGATAAAAGTGCCGGGAATCGGGGATGATATCGTTAAATATATATTATTTCGTCTACCAAAAAACAGCCATGGTTAAGATGAATTGCCTCTCCCAATTGGGCTCATAAAATCTCTTGTACCTTATTTCGGGGACTTCGGTGTGAGCAATGATGCCTTCCTTTTCCAGTTGTTGATGAGTGAATTTAAAAGGGCCTTGGATGTGGATGGTTTTCACCGACTTCTTTACTTTGCCATCCACTTCCACACCAATACCGACTTGTTTCTTATTCGACTTGTCGGCGCCGCCGCCGCCACTCTGGATACGTACGTTTTGAAGGTACGCTTTGTAGCTCTCCAATTGGCTCTTGAGGTAATTGTTATGATCCTGAATCGTCTTGTAGACACTTTCCAATGACCGGATCTCTTCCATGACTTTCAACTTGAGGTCACCGAGATGAGCTAGTTCCTGCGTGATCTCTTCCACCAGCAGCTGATATCCATCGCCATGATCGATAATCCCCGCCTCTTCCAATTCACGCAGCATTTCCTTCACTTTGATACCTTTGCGAACCAACTGACCGTCTTTGGTGGCGGTGGCGGCAGTTTCAGCAATCATCTGCAAGTTCAAGGGCTGTTTGCTCAAATGCGGAAGCGAACGAATCAATTGCACAAAAATCGCTTTGGTTTCCATATACAAAATGTCATTTTGCGTAATGTTATTTTCTGACATGAGGGTCATTGTTAGATCTAGTTGAAAAACAAACATTAGTCTCCATCTACCCTTAATTGGTCCATTCGTCCCTGCTCGCTGCCTTTGAACCCATTGCCCAACACTTACCCTGGATAGGCATTTCCCATCGGCTGAACAAGGGTAATTCAATGGGTTTGTTTTCCTTGCGCGGGACTTGAGAGGGGGCGGGGCCTACTTCCGTTGTAAGGATACGCAGGTGATCGGTGGGTTTGGGGGCCAGGATTTGGATGTGTTGCTGAAGCAGCGCTTGTGTATTGTAAATTTCATTCGGCGTAATGTTGATCACGATGTCTTTTTTCGACAGGGCCATATACTGGTCCATTTCCAACGATTCATAAAAGTCTCCAACTTCGCACAGATCGTTAAGAAACTGCATCGTACGTTGCTTGTTCTCTTCCACGAAAGGGTTCGTAGGAATCATGTAACTCTCCTTGGCATAAGATGGCTTATTCGCGAGGTTCTGCAACATTTTTGCAATCTAAAAAGTAAGAAGAAATCGCAAGGTGAGTATTATCAGCGACAGAGTGTCAAGGCATTTGACATAATTTTGTTTTTCTCTTCCTCCTTTTTTTTTTTCTTTTGTCTGTTGTTTGTTTGTTATTTAAATCTTTACCAAAGTCAAGGTGGTACGAGGGTGATTGCTGGGAACACAATCGACGAGCATGTATGCTTGCGGGGTGACAATCGCCGGATTGACAAAACGTAAGAAGAAAAATCCGCCAATGAGTGAAGAGATGGCGTGGTCAGTGGCGTCTGGATATTTGCGTTTGGTAAGGGAACGGATCTGTTTACAAATCCATCGGATACCGTAAGGTACTTGATCCAAGGAATGAATAATGGTGCCTAGAAAAGAATTGGCGATATCCATCAGCGTTTTCAATCGTGGATGGATCATGGCTTGCACGCGTGGATGCGCGGCGGCGACATCAGATGTCACGCTTCTCATGATATTGGATGGTAATTCGCCTTGTTCTTCCATCTGTTCAATCATCTCATCGTAGACCTGCAATCAAATCAGATGGGTTAATTTTATTAATTTGATAAAAAAAATCATGCAGGTGGTGATGCCTTACCTTAAGCGGATTAATTTGCAAATTAAGGTCTTTATGCTCGAGTAACTTGTTGATTTTATCGGACAAGACGGATTTCAGGTACGATTGACCGGGTCCACGACGGGTATACGTTGTCATCATACGCGAGACGGGTGTATTGGCCCGAAGTAAAGACGTGAATTCAGCCGTCGTTTCAAACTGTGCCGCTAGGACATTCTAATTGGAGAAATCATACAACATTGAGATAAAAAAAAACCTTATTTGTAATTGTCTTGTTATTCTCTCTTTTTCATTTTGGTCCCTTTTCCACGACTCGCCAACCAAAACTTAAAGAGCGGCATAATGAATGGCCTGATATGGATAAGGATGAGGGGCTTACCTGAAACATGGTTAAAAGCAAATGTTCTTCACGACTTTCGTACTGGTTTCCGTACAAGGTGAACATGACGGTTTGAAGCAAGGTGTCGATTTCGGCGAGACTCACGAGACGACACAGAGTGGCAATATGGCGAGGTTCGCTTTGCAACAGAAAGAAGAGGTTGCCGTATTGTTGCATTTTTCGGTCATCGGGGTAATGATCGTCATTATCGTCGTCGTGTTCTTCCAAACGTGAAGCGACTTCGTTTTGCTACGTGTTGAGAAGAAAAACAAGATGAATGAGTTTGAAGGAGATGGCCAACAGCACCGCATCTTTTTTCTTTTGTTCGATCCAAGCTACCTCGTCCAATGCCATTCGACTCTGAATTAAAAGAGCAATACGAGAATCCAGAAATCGCACGTCTCGTTCACGCATAAAGTTTTTTTTCGATTGGGCTGATATTTTGGCTTTCAATTCGCGTAATGTTCGTTGAGCTAAAAGGGGAATGCGTAAGAAAAGGAGATGGCCATGCCACACCGCCATTCACTTTTTGGGCATATTTTTTGTGAGGCAATTCCGTGGCCAAAAGAGAAAGGATGAGTCGCTGTACCTTTGGCCAGTTCATCTTCTACTTCTACATCTTGTTCTGCGGCCATGGAGTAAAAGACGGATACCGAATATCGTTTGGATCCTCTTCCTGTGCGTCGACTGGAATGGTGGTTATTAGCCGCCGCCGCCGCTACCGCTCTACTGACAATGGACCCCGTTTGAGGGTAACCGAAAGACTGGACCATGCCACTACGTCGATCGGCCATACTAAGCTATACAAAGTGGCAATGGGGTGGTTGGAAAAAAAAAAAAAAGAAAGAGATGAACACACAAAAAGGTACGACCCAAAAATAAAAATAAAAATTCAATCAAAAAAAGTACAAAAAAGGGAAAGGAACCAAAAAGACAGGAAATAGGCCAAGAAGAAGAAGAGGAAGAAGAAGAAAAAAAAAAAACAAGGTTTAAAAAAAGGCTCAATTGGCGCGTGTAAATCAAAGAGGGAGTCAAAAAAGAAAAAAGAAAACCCACTCTTAGTTACACGAACAATTTGCAAACGCCGCCATTCTTTCCTAAATCAACAAAGTCTCTTTCAACCCTTTGAACTACCGATTATCTGACCATCTGAGCATCCAAACCTTATTTCCACTAACGAGCATACCCTCACGAACCTACAATGATCGCAATCTATCACCGTGCCAATGATGGACTGGTGAAGAAAAGTGAAAAGCACAACAAGTGAAAACGAGGTCCTTATCCTCATTATGCAAAAAAGTGCTATATCATCCACACACCATAAAAATTTGAACAATGCCATATAGCAAACCAATCATACTGCGAAGAGCTTCCATTGCCGATGTTTCAATTAGCATTTTTTATAGTGCGTACATTTTTTTATTTCTTATCTTTGCAATTGGATCATTATTTTTCACAACCTGATCTCCTCATTTGGAATCTCTCAATAATCCACAATACAAAATAAAACAATAAGGCAAACCTGTCACACTTGCCTCTGTAGAACCATAACCCATCCCAAGCTATTTCCATCCTATCATCACTGTGTGCACCTTTATTTGTCTTTTTCTCTGGCGTTGTCATAGGAATTGGATCGCCAACGTGAAATAACAGATTAAACCAAATGTAATACATATCACCTTGACAACTATACAATGATAATTGATATGACCATGACGTTGAAAAAAAAGAGCAGATTCCAAAAGGCTTGAAATCAAGCGAGGATGTGCCCTGTCATTGTCTGTCGTTGGCGGATCAAAGCCAAATAGGGCCGTTCCTGCTACATTCACTGGAAAAAGAATCTTGATCGTTTTTAATCTTTAACCTTTTTTTATTTCATTACCATGGAAAGTAACTTGAAAAGATTATAATCTATTTATCTACAAACGAACATTGTACTCATATTCCTGTAGGGAAGAAGACGAGAATCAAAGATGAGTGGTGGGATGACAGATTCATTTTTTTCATTGTGGCGTCCTACCTCTTGTGTGCTCTGTGCGACCCATAAAATAGCAGAACTAAACATCAATAAAGTACATTGCACGACAGCCGCTACGCCGTAATACAAGTAAGGCTGTGCTGAATCGTGATTCACCACGTATTTGATAATCAAAACGCACTATAAAAAAAAGTACGACGCCCCAATGCATGAGATGAATTTCATCCTACTCGCCACATCCACCTCTCTTCTCGCCCTACTTACCACCGAACCGGCAAAACCTCCGGCAATCAATGCAAAACCAAGAAACAAGAATAGCCGAGCTTTCCACACAAGGTTGCTGCCCGCATAAGAAAACGCCTCTCCTTGAAGCCGTGATTTGTCGATAAGGTTGATGCTAAATCAAAGTATTATAAGTTTAATTCACGTTGTTTGGGTCATTTGGTTTATACCACAGCTTTTATCGTTTGCAAAAATCACTTACACCAGCATGCCAAGGGAAGTTAGAATACCGCTGAACCAATCTTCGAATCCCATCTTTACAGCGTCGTCGGTATGATCGGATGAAGCTTGGATAACAGCATCAATAAATATCCACCAACCAAGAGCCACCTGTCAAGAGAAAATGCATATGCAAACGTGAAAACCAAAGGACAACCACATGAACTTGTGGAATAATCTCCTTACCAATCCTCCTGCTAAATAGGATCCGATGGTGCGGCCTTTGTGAGCGAGAAAACTCAGAGGATTTGGGATAACGAATATAGAGGGTCGTTCGTCATTGTAGAGTGCTGACATGATGTAGGGTAAATAATAGATAAAAAGTACAAAAAATAAGCTCTTTTTTCCCACTGTGGGCAGCAAACAATGGGGAAAAATCGCCTCAACGTCATCCCCGAATTTGGGACGACCGATTTTTCTATTGAACCACACTCGCTGAGGGGGGGTTTCAATTTCTGGAAACGAGAAAAGGAAAAAACTCGCTTCATTCAGGTCCACACCAAAGCGAGCATAGAGAAAAAAACGTCTATTCTATACATTACAACCATGCTGAGTGTACAAAAAGTCACAATATCAATTTCAATATATGGGCCTTGAACGAAAATGGGTCAATATGTATGCAACCTTTCTTGGGATCCCTTTCGCCTTTTTATCAACAGTACGCGTTGGACGTTACAGCTTTTTATCTCGCGCTCCGGCCCCGAAACTTGGGTATCCACGCGGCCCATATTTACTTTCACTAACCAGTGATAACATCCACCAACCCCACCTCGACTTTTGATTAATTGCGCATGACACACACACACACACACACACACACACAACACGCTCTTTTTGATAGGTTTAATTTATTGGAAAATTAAGACAAACCCAAGATCTACTGACGAGCAGCAACTTCTCTAGCAGCAATAGCGGCACGCTTGGCCAAACGAGCGTTGGACTTGGGACCGTTGATACCTCCACCCCAGGTTCTGCGGTGTTCTTCCCACTTGTCGGCAAAGTTGGTCTTGACAGCAGACACGAGGTTGGCCAATTCAGCCTTGTCGGCATCCTTGACATCGGTGAAAGCCAAAGCAGTGGCGGTCTTTTGGTGGACAACAGTACCGAGACGAGCCTTGCCCTTAACAATGCAGTATGGGACACCCATCTTGCGGCAGAGAGCGGGCAACCAGATAACCAATTCAATGGGATCGACATCGTCAGCAATGACAACCAATTGAGCCTTCTTGGCTTCAATCAAAGCGGTAATGTGGTTGATACCGTGCTTGATCACAACAGGCTTCTCGGTCTTGGCCACTTCCTTCTTCTCGGCCTTGGCAGCAGCAGCCTGTCTCAAACGTTCGCGCTTCTCAACCTTGGTCTCGGGTCTGTACTTGTTGGCAAGCTTGAACAACTGAGTAGCAGTGTTCTTGTCCAAGACGTGGGTGAACTGGTTGATGGCCGGGGGAACCTTCAAACGCTGGTAGATGATCTTCTTCTGGCGCTGAAGACGAACGTAAGCGGGCCACTTGACAAAGCGGGACACATCACGCTTGGGTTGGATATCTTGGCCTGTTCAAATTGGAAAGAGGAAAGATCAGTTTTCATCGATTCGGGAAAAACGGGGTCTCTGTCCGTGGAAAAAGTGAAGAAGTAAATGCATACCAATGCCGAAGTTCTTGGGAGTCTTTTCAATCAAAGGGTTAGCAGCACCCTTGGTGGTCTGCTTGCTCTTGACGGGGTAGGGAGCGGGAGCGACCTTCTTTCCAGTGGACTTCTTGGCAGGAGCCTAATCATAAAAAATGCCATTAGCCATTCATCCATCTTTTCCTCGTATCGAAATTGATCCATCCATCCATCCATGAATTAGATCTACAAATCACTTTTCTTTCAACGTACCATGATTACTATTCAAACCTCAAAAAAAGAGATGTGTGAAAAAGAGGGAGACCTTGACTGTGGCAGCTGCGACGGATGGCTTAACCTGCCCGCTCCCCGCCCCGGTAGAGTTTCCCTCTCCTCGTCCACACGTTGGTTCCCAAAAATCAACACCCGCTCCACACCAAGCCTTGCCAGTACACTCCGGAACAAGAACCGTCACAATATCATTTCCGCTCGCGGAGTCACGTGCATTCAATACTTTGGCTCATTTTGGGGATGAATGAACTTGGTTAGGCCTCTTGTCATTCTAAAAAAAGTGGTTGTCAACTGATCTACCATGAATTTCAACCGCAATGTACGTTTTCTGCAATCACAGTTTTGTTTTACGCTGATGGACTCATCTTATATTCGTATAACAATAGGCACGATTACCTCCCGAAGTCAATCGAGTACTGTTCGTAAAGTGAGTGATAACAATGCAACCGCAGCAGCAGCGATCCATAGCTAACGATGGTGTGTCCTTTTTATTATTAGGAACTTGCCTTTCAAGATTACCACAGAAGAAATGTACGAAGTATTTGGAAAATACGGTGCTATTCGTCAGATTCGAGTGTAAGTGATCCAAATCGTGTGCATGTGACGTAGACATGCGACTAATCTATCGGTTTGATATACACAGTGGCAATGCTCCCGATACCCGAGGTTCAGCATTTGTAGTGTATGAAGATATCTTTGACGCAAAGAGCGCGTGCGAGCATTTGCAAGGTTACAATATTCTGGGTCGATACTTGATCGTACTTTATTATCAACAGAACAAGATTACAAAGAAGATGAATCTGCAAAAGAAAGAAGAAGAACTGAAGGAGCTGAAATCGTAAGTGCACAAAAAGATCATCCTTCGGACGTTTTGCATTGAATTGACATTTTTTTCTCTCTCTCTGGGGACAGGCGTTATGGTGTGAGCGATGAATAGGTGAACAAAAGAAGATTGGACTAAAAGCTCATCCCGTTTTTTCCGACAACCTTGACATCCTCTCTACTGCCGAGATGGGCTGTCCATCTTGCAACATTGTCACAACGCTTGGCTCTTTTTTCTCTGTTGTTATTGGTTTTATCCTTTCCTTTATTCCTTCATTCTATTTTACATAAATCAAATTTCAATGCCCAATGGATACACGAAAAATGACTGACAAGACGCTACTGAGGTTCGGATGGCAAGCAACGATGAAAGTGCGAACAAACTCTGTCTTTTCGGTATATCCTATCAATACATGCAGCAGGTAGATATAAAGCAGATGAGCGATAAAAAAAAAAGGCTGGGAGTTGGAGTAAGACGCTCTAGGAGAGAAAGCAGTATTGTAGACAAACGACGGTGATGTACACGTTTCCATTGTATATGTCCAAGGTTACGTCAATGGGGTTGGCTTCTTATTATCTCATGCGCTTAATCTTGTGGATGCAAACCAGGATCACACAATGAAGAATTCATGTAAAGGGCCAACGTACCAGTTCTATAAAGCAGATCATTTTGTTAGTTGTTATATACAGTTTGAACTTTTTTCGGTGTTTGAGCTTCTTGCATCAAATAGCAGGATTATTCTTGCCGAATCTGCCTATCTCATTCTACTTTTATTTTTCTGTTTTACTTATGATGCAGCCGCAAAGATGATCTATTCAATTATGAACGTTGTATCCTGTTTGATACAAAGTGCTGAGACCATTGGATAACATCCTTCAGCAATTGCGGGAAAATTGCTCGTCACGTGCTTTTGTAGAACTGCAGAGGATTTGTCATCCTTTCCTTTTTTTTTCGTTTGACATCTTTGCCTTTTTCTTGCCACATCATGGAGGAAGCGGCAACACCATGTTTGGCCAAAATCAAAGAGTTGCCATTTGAAATCATCACCGATATTGTAATACGACTCGATGTGTGTTCGACCATGAATTTGATGGATACATGCCGTCACTTCCGATACCCCATGCTCGCATCTACCTATATTTGGAGACGCATCGTTTTTGATCTTCAGTACGGCTCCCTGCATGCTATTTATGCCGCGCTTCGCCGGTTCCGAGACTCCAACGGATTACGGTTTCTCGTCCGAGAGGTACCGACATAAACATCGGGTCTGTTAAGGATTCAGTTTAACCTTTTTCTTTTCAATCTAGATTAATATGGACAACACGGACGATTCCATGTTCTCACCCATTGTCATGCTTGTCAAGTTTCCCAACTTACGGCATCTAAGTGTGAAGAATAGACGATTCAACACTAATCTCGAAGCCGATACCAAAGTTTTGCAAGAAATGTTAAAAGGTGGAACGTTGAAGCCGGGCTCTTTACGTCTGCAGCGACTGGACATATACCATTACTACATGGATTTTGAACCTCATCTGGCTGTATTCCAAAAGACTTTGAATCGATTATCCGAGGATGCCAATGTTGTCTTGGATATACGGAAATGCGGTTATCAGGCCGACGGAGACATGCATGGCTTGCAGCAGCGCATGGGGAATCTGAGCTTGCCAAACAACAACCCCGACGCTGCCGTACCCGAGGACGGCCAGTTGGACCGACCACCGAGAAACGATGTTGGTTGCCAGAGAATTATCAACATAGGCATGGCATGCTGGGCATGTGACCATGTATTTGTTCACTGCTGGATCTGTCAACCCCGGTGCAGTGGATGCCACATCAAACGGATTCCACCTCTCGCCAATCAACAGCAACGCAAACTACGCGAAAAACAACGAAAACTCATTGCCCAACGCAACCGTGCTCCAGAAAAGGAAGAGGAATTGGATGAATTCAGTGTTTTTGGAAGGATTTAAAACTGTTCATATTTCACATCATCATCATCATCATCATTATATAGAATTAGAGGAACATTAGAACCGCCACATTGCCCTGCCTTAAACCGTGCCATATTCATTACTTTTTTTTGTATCATACCACACACCACATACACACTCATAAACATTAATATTGTAGTACATCATCCAACGAAACATCTAACCTAATCAATGATCCTAGTGTAAAAGCCTAATTTTTTTTTCATGCTGTCACAAAGAGGGAATGCTCTGGGAAAATGAGTGACCCAAAATTTTTGGAAATCAGCGTGTTGGACGGTGATTGAATGAGACTGGGTGGGTGCACCCGCCATTATTCGAGTGTTGGGCACGCGCTAGTGGAGCGATTCGTTTCAGCAACAACACACAAGCAATCATGGGGAAGTTCTTCAGGTGCACGCACCTGATGATACTGGGGCTGCTATGTTTCTTACAGTATCTGATACCTGTACAAGCCATCTACGAATCCCAAGCAGGCACCTTTGACTGGTAATCCAACAGCAGCACCAGTTTACGGCTTATCCTTTCGCGTCCCATTGCTAAACAGATTCCCCGTTAGGCATCAATCCTGGCTAGGAAAGACTCGACTTTCGGCACTGCAAGGTGTCTCGCAACTTATTGTAGCTACTGAACGCAATGTGCTTGCTTCACTCGATGTCGCATCGGGAGCTATTAGTAAGATCTCTTGATTTCCCTGTATATCGTTTTTTAACCACGCATCTCACCATCCACGTCGGCCATTGATAGCATGGCGTCAAGTACTCAGTGACTCTATTGACAAAATGAAAATAACGGACCAAGGTATTCATCGGTAGCTTTCTGCGTGGAAAAAAGGGGCTAACCATGCAAGCACAGGCATTCTTACGGTGTGTGATGATACCACCACGGTGCGTTTCTGGGACAGCCATACTGGTTATTTAGTTTGGGAACGTGATTTGGAGGAATCGCAAATGTTCACCGAGTTTTCTCCCGTGGTATGGGAGAATGGCGATGTGGCGGTGGTGGGGCACGGTGGGGTGATCAAGCTGTCCGCTGCCGGCGACGAGATCTGGTCATGGAAACGACCCGATGTGTAAGTTTTCTGTATTGCTGCTGCAATATTTTTGGAAAGTTCTGTGCTAAGAAATTCTCCCTAGATCCTCTTTGGATATCGTGGGACTGCAGCGCGTGGACAACCAGCTCTATGTAATTGATGAACCGGATCAAGAGGCCACCAAGCAGGTCTTCCACGTCACCGTACTTGATAACGCCACAGGTGACATTGTCAAAACCCTCAAAGTATCATGCCACAAACCATCCGACGTCTCCTTTGTCAACAATTATATGCTGTGGAAACAAAACGAATCATTGCATTGGAACATTCTTGGTACCAACAAAGTCCACACCATCGCCGTCAAGGTATACAGAAACTGGTTTTGTCTAGCCATGTGTTACTTATCCTTTCTTGTTATATTTAGAAATTGGTCGACTCTATTCCATCATTCAAGGGGGCTCTCTTGGATACATTTGAGTTGACTACGCTGGATCAGGACCCTCACCTGAACCTGTTCATTGTCACGGCTGATGTCGAGGTAGCAGAAGATACCTTTGCTACAGTGACCGCTGTTTTGAAATTGTCGACGGATGCCAAGTCATTCTCTCTGGTGCACGACCAAGGGGTTCAGGTACAACCGTTTTTTCCGCCATTGCTGTCAGCACGCGTTTACTGATAGTGATAATTTCTATTCATTTTTTAGGAGGCATTTGGTGCTGCGGCCGTGTCGGATGCGACACTTGTGCTTGTTGGCAAATCATCATCTACCGAATTATCGGCCACCGTGATGTCACTGGGCGGCCAAGTGAGGCGACAAGTGACCATTCCTCACGATGTGTCTCTCACCGGAGATATTGTGATTACCAATCTTATTAACACCTCACCTATTCATCTGTACGTGGTGACAGCCAGTGGTTCAGCTTTCATGTTCAACGACACGGCGGTGATGTGGTCTCGCGAAGAAGCACTGGGCCACATTACGGCGACGGAATTCTTGGATTTGCCCGAGAAACAGCTGTGGACACAAATGTCGGACGAACTGGACGAATCCAAAGAGGAGCAGGCCAACGTTCATCCTTTGACGCGATACATTCGTCGCCTGTCAACGCACGTGATGGAATTGCAGCAATTGCCAAAGTGGGTGATTCACCATTTCACGGATATGGTCGCTTCCAACACGCTGACCGGTTTGGGACGATTGGATTCTACCCAATCGATGCTTCGTACCCAAGCATGCTGGATGAATACTTCCGCGACTTCCGAAGTGCTTTACCGGGACAACTTTGGTATGCGAAAATTGCTCATCTCCGTCACCGATACCGGTAAAATTATCGCGCAGGATTCGGCCCGCAAAGGAGCTATTGTATGGACGCGGTATTTCGCGGATGTGGAATTCGAAGAGATCCACGTAGTGAGATCAACCACGGTCAAGTTACCGCCTGTGGTGGTTGCCATTGGTCGAAGTGTGGATGGAGGATATCAAACGACGCATTTCTACCGCATGAATGGGTTTACAGGCCAAGATTATTACTCGCAAATTCCGGAAGCCGAAATGTTTTTCGAACCTCAGATTTCAACCGAGATCAGCGTCAGCAAAGTGATGCCGCTTCCCATCGAAGATCCCGAAGAACGTACCCACCTTTTAGCCATCTTTGAAGCCGGGACCAGCCGCGTGTACATCTACCCTGATACGGCCGGAGCTCGTGAAGCTTTCAGCCGTTTCCGACCCAACTTTTACTTTATGCATCAAGCTCACGACGGATCTTTCCGCGGTTACCAAGTGAATGAAGGTTATCGCGGCAGCTTGACCGCTTCGCCCATGTGGACGTTGACGTTGCCTCAAAACGAAGCTATTGTGGCTAGTGGAAAACAACCATCCAACGAAAAAGTCGCGTCTTTGGGTCGCGTGCTCGGCAATCGCAATGTGCTGTACAAGTATCTGAATCCAAACATGTTTACGCTGGTATCGACGATTGAAGAAGAGGAGAAAATGTTGATTCGTATTATCGACTCGGTCAAAGGCACGATTCTGTACGAGACGGTGCACGACAAGGTCGATGCAAGCACCAACCCAGTCCACATTGTACAAGCAGAAAACTGGGTCATTTATCACTTTTGGAGCAATGACAATCGGTTCAAAGGTTATCAAGCGGTAGTCCTGGAACTTTTCGAAGGCGAACACGAGAACGAAAGAGTAGCCACGTAGGTTGACGCCATCCGGATTACCGGGCCAGGCTGTGTGTGCGTGTCTTGTGAAATTAACATGGTTTTTACCCTTTATTTTAGTGTGAATTTCTCATCGTTTGATAACATGAAGCCTTCCGTTCGATCGGCGGCTTTTGCCTTCCCTTATGCTGTGCAGTCAGTAGGTGTGACGACGACACGCAATGGCGTATCGACACGCGAAATTTTATGTGAGTCGAAACAACGCTTTCTGTTAGGGTTCTGGGTTTAATCATGCTGTGTTCACCCTGATAGTCGCCTTGACGTCGAACCAAATCATGGGCGTAAACAAACGCCTGTTGGATCCTCGACGACCACTTGATAAACCTAGCAAGGACGATCAAGAGGAAGCACTCATTCCATATGCGCCTATCCCTGACGAACGACGAGCGTTCTTGTCGTATAACTTGGAGGTATGAACACCATTGCAAAATGGATACTGGGCAATGACTGATAATGGCACCTCTTAGGTTGCTGGTATTCGGCATATTAGCACAACTCCTGCCATGTTGGAATCCACGTCGCTGGTATTTGCTTATGGTTTGGACACCTTCTTCACGCGATCGTCGCCAAGCCGACAGTTTGATGTTCTCAGTGAAGACTTTTCAAAGTCTCAATTGCTATTGACAATGGTTGGGTTAGTGGCTGGTATTGTGATTGTTGGACCGATTGTGCGTCGCAAGAACGTTAATCAGTTATGGAAATAATAAAGAGAAAAAAAAAGACGCTGAAAATATTGTTTATCCACCTCGAGCTCTACGGATACATTTTCTTTTTATTTTGTGCCAGCTACAATGCGCTATTCAGGTATTCATATCGCCGGATGATCGGTGACAAGTGATGAGCTGGCAATGTCCATTTTATCCTCAGGGTGCTCCTCAGGGTGCGTCCCCTGTTGTTTTCACACCATAGAAATCTATAGATCTGAGTCGTATGGATTATAAGGAATCCAGATAGTCAATGACCTCTTGATGGTTCCATAATGCCGCTGATTGCCAGAAGAAGAGAAGACTTTAGATTAACAACATATGCTGCTTACTTGCAAGTGATTTTTTTGGACCCACCTAAATCTTTAGCTGTTCTTCCTTTTTTATCCGTGCGGTGGTTGTCGGCGTGGATGGTTTCAACGAGGAACCGTACTACATCAAGGTGACCTTCTTTTGCGGCATGCATCAACGGCGACCAGTGATCCCAGGTATCAGGTGTATCCCAATCGGGGGTGCCCCAATCAGGCGGGTTCTTTGATCCTTCGCTTGAGAGCGACAGGAGGAGCTGCAATACATCCAAGTGCCCAATCATTGCTGCGTAGTGGATCATATTACGGCCGATGGAATCGGTATCGTTAGGATTGGCGCCACGCTCAAAAAGCAAGCGAAGAAGAGTCAAGTTGCGTGCTACGACGGCATCTTGCAGGATATTATGACCGGAATTGTCACGGTGAAATAAAAGATCATGCTCCGGAATGGGACTGGACGAAAGCAGCAAAGTGACAATATCCAGCGCTGCTTGCGGTTGCTCCGCTAATGCCGCTGCCATCTGAGTCGGAAGCCGACCGGAATTGGTCGCTTTAATCATAGCAATAGGACACCGATTCGCAAGGTATCGACAGGTATCCACATGGCCTATTAAATCGTCGAGTATGAATATTTTATCCATCATTGATCTGGTGTGCTATTCATCGTAATGTACCTTCTTGTGCCGCCATATGAAGCGCGGTGCGCCCATCTTTTGATACAACTTCCAGAAGCGCTCCTGATTCCACCAGTAATTGAACAATATCCGTTCGGCCTTTTAAGGCTAGCCATCATATACTCATTTTAATGCTATGCTGTATACAGATGTGTTCGAGTATTCGATGTACGTACCGGCGATCATGACAGGCGTCCAGTCACCTCGTTTGATGGCATTGACATCCACGTGACATTGCTTAATCAAATAGGCAGTGATCTCATACGAGTCGATGCTTTCATGGATTGGAGTTCGTCCTAGACAAGGCCGTCAATCAAAATTAGCCAGTTTAAAAATTTATAAAAGGGGTTGCTTCTTCTTTGTTACCGTGCTCATTGACGGCTTCCATATCGGCGCCAAACTCGTGCAAAAGCTGGATCGCTGGCAAGGACTGCGATCGTGCAGCGAAATGAACAAGCGCGTCGCCGTGGTCGTCTTTAAGATCAATACTGGTTTGTAATTCACCGTCCCGAAACGTAGTAAGCACATTTCGCAACTGGTCGGGAGAGTGAAGATGCTTGAGTACCAGCTTTTGCAGTGACATAATGCAAATTTATAAAAATAGGCTAAAAGAAGAAACGTCAAATTTCCTGCATACGACGCCCGAATTGTTTGCGTGTGCGGAGAATCAAATACAGAAACGTTGTGGGAGGTTCCAGTGACCCGGCTATGCCAGTAACAAGATGATGCTGCGTGTTTGAGAATAGGTGTCAAATAAATCAAGCTTCGTTTTTGTAGCTTATCTTTTTTCTCTAATTTTATTGATGCTATATACAAACACTTTGTTGGTACAGCATGTCGTGAAGGTCATGCACAGTGATGAACCGTCAGAGCGTCATTCTGAAACACCGCCATTCAACCTTGGAGTGAACAGTCACGGCGAGTGGAGTCGTTCCCAACTTGTCAAAGACGTGGAATCTGGGAGACGGCATTTTTTTTAAGAGTCCACTTCACTTGAAGGAAAAAAAGCCTAATATGGATAATATTCAGACTGCATCAGCAAGTGATAAACCGGATTTTTGTGTTGAATGCAGAGATCAGGAAGTACGTTTTAAACCGCTCCCAAACGCTTACCATCGGGACTCAGATCGTGTCGAGTGTTACGGGCGATTCTTTTCCGGTTTTTTCGACATGCCCACAGTTCGATGGCCATTACTGTATTCATTTTCACTGACACTTTTTTTCCGTTCTTTTGTCTGGGTAGGCTTCCATATTCTGCGAGCAATGCGATGAGGATTTTTGTGAAGTGTGCCACGGTGCGTAATGAATAACGTATACCGGATGCTAAAGTCACCGCGCAAATACTAAATTCGTTTTTTGTCTGTTGAATTCAGCCATGCTTCATCGCACGGGGAACCGACGTAAACATACCGCCAAGAGCTTGAAAGTTGACGCGAAAACTACCAGTGACGCAGCATCTTTAAAGAACGAGAGCACGTTCGAAGATTTGCCCTCAACCAAGGTATGACAAGTAAATCTGAAATTTTATGTGGTCAAGTTATTGAACCGGGTTGACACGTAGATCGAAAATTCGACCAGCAACAGTTTGCCGAGTACAATGATGGAACTGGATGGAACGGTGATCAATGGAAGTGGCGCGACGTTTGGTGAATGGATGACAAAGAGGTAAAACTCTAGCGAACCGCGTAGTAAATCAGACCGGCTTACTCAAACAATTCGATCAGGGCCAAGGCCGTTCCATTACGACTCAACACACATGAACGAGGATTACTGCGACTGTAAGTCATTGGACTCGACAAACAAATGCGATCTCGTCGCGCTTACCCCTAATGTTCCCTTTAGATTAGAAGCGGCGCTCAACGTCTCCGAATATACAGGTCAGTAGCGGACCCATTGGCAACAAAGTCGTATGGTAGATACTAACGAAAATAACTGTCCTAATTTCCACAGATAAGATCGATATTATATCGTACTCTAACAAGGCGAAGCGTATTGTGGCCCAAATCCGAGATTTGTGTGCGATTATTTGCGGTTTACTGGTGTCTGGAGATTACAAGTTGGGAGCCCAACTGTTTGCCGAGAAAAGTGTTCGAGAAAATGAAGCATTTTTCCAACAAGTGTTTGAAGTGGGAAGACGGTAAGCCACGCTTGACGAGAAAAATCGGTTTTAGGTAGACGAGTAGTGCTGACTGGATCTGGGCCCTAGATACAAAATTATGAACCCCGAAAAGATGCGATCGAGTTATGGCAAGCTCATGTACATGCTGATGGTAAAAGCGGCATATCGGTTGTTAGAGGTAGCATAAGCGATTGATTATGAGATACGATAGGATTCAGTGATACCGGAAGTGGAGGAACTTTTAGGATTCTCATGCGTGATTCCTATCAAGACTGTATATGACTTTTTGAAAGCTCGAGAAATGGTGGAAATACTTCACGACGATAACATTGTTCTGGCGACCCGCGAGATAAGCCCGGAATTCAAAACGCGCGCTCAGATCGATACGGAATCGCAACGAAAGAAGCGTGCTATCGAGACCATTTGCGAAAAATATGCCAATGAACACATTTCCAGAGAAGAAATCGAACGATGCTTATCATCGTTATCCGATAACCATGCCTATCTGAAAGCAAATCGGTAAATGAGAGTAAAGACGTGGGTCAATGCAGCGGGAGATCTGACAAACCACTTTCTGTTATCATGATTAGTGATCCGTGTGAAAAGATGATCAAGTATCTCACCAAGTATTTCAATCCAAGCAAACCTGACGGCAACTATTCACTGGCTATTGTGGCGGGTCGTCAGGGCCATCGATTGACGCATTCTCACACCAATCAGTATGCATATGTTCATCAATCATTCAGTCTTTGGCGTGAAATTGTTCACGAGATGTTTATGTTGTGGATGCTGGCGGATGAGGACCTGTTGTCGGTCAGTCCCTATCGATTGACCAATACGGGACAAGGATTACAACGTATACAGCATTGCTCCAATATCTCGCGATCCATGCACAAAATCCTCAATCGTACCCAGAAAAAGTGCGGTTCTTGGGTCGGCAGTAGCGTCATTCATCTCGGTGACAAAAATGTTCCCAATGCATTCATGTTCATCGACAAGGTAAGGCCCGCTTTGATCAGTCAATGGCTAGATCTACCCTATTCACTTTTATTCTTTCTTTTCTATGCAGTATAACCAAGTGTCACGTATCCTTACACCGATTGTCAGTACATTGGACAAGCTAGAAGAGCTGCAGGCGGATCCATGCATGGCCAATTATATTGAAGAAGAGTTTGGTGGCATTGATCAATGCCGCAAAGATATCTTGTGTAAGACTATCGAAAGAAAAAGACAGCCGCGATATCTTGCTGAAACAAAAAAAAAAAAAAAAAAAAAAAAAAAAACCAAAAAAAAAAAAAAACTGACGTAAACCCTTTCTTTTTTTTGACAGACGACTTTTTCCGTTTCGGATTTGATGGATCCGGTGCAGATAATTATTTCGATGCTGGTAGTTGCATTGATGGCCGATTGACGTCGGCCTGGAACTGTACGTAGTATTTCAACCGTGACGGTTTTGGAAATCCATAACAATAACCACTGTCTGTATCTTTGTAGGGTGTTCGCAGATTGAAAAGAAGAAATTCTTCCCCATCTTTTTATTGACAGTAAGTGGATCATACGACTCGACGAATGGAGCTTACGTCCTCAAAACTTCTGCTTAGGGATTCATTGGATTCGACGGTGAAGGATGGTAGAAAAAAAAAGATAAGAAGCCAATAATAGAGAAGGCTCTGAGAGCGTTCAGTATGACCCTGTAATATGTAAAGAAATTCCACTTAGAGATGTCCAACCCAAAAAAAAAAGAGAGACATCAAAATTTGACGTTGTATCACAATACGGGCTATTTGTGCTCAATGCACCATTTCCAAATACGGACTCATTATGCATGGTTGACTTTTTATTGATCATTGAAAAAAGAGACACATGGAAAGGATGACAGTTGCAACTGTCAAGCAACACATCATACTCACATAATCAAGTTTTGGAAAGTGCTTAAAAACTCTGAATCACGCCTTGGTTCATTGAAAGGACGATTGCGCGATCCAATAATTTGTCTGGGTGGATCCACCATCTTGGAAGAGGATGACAGTTTTTAATTGGTGGTTGGATGATTTGGGTAACTGCAATAGGCATTTTCTCGAAATCCATTCTCCAAAGCAGATATTTCGTCATCTTTTGGAATCTGGATCCATTGGATGCTTCAAAAGGACCGTGCCGAAGCGAGCGGTGTGTCGCATGGGGTCGGTCATAAGCAGAAAGAAAAATAAGAAAAGAGACACGACAGTTTTTGCAACGCCATCGATTATTTATCAAACACTTCACGGGCTGCTCCGCATGAAGCTAGGCCCTATCTGATCGCAAGTGAATGGTGTTGATTCGTGGAAATAATCACGCAACAATGCTGATTTAGGTTTTTTATTTATTCAAGCGTTGAACACCATTTTTTTTCTCGGGGTCGACGCCTCTACAAACGCACTGTAAACGGATTTCTCCTTATCCGGTACTGTATTACCTATCCCTGCTCCCATATGATTGAGAAGAATTTGTGTGTCCTTGAAGGAACCTCCTTATCATTATCTGTACCCCTGATCTCTTCCTCTGTCTCTCTCTCTCTTTCGTTACTATTTGGTTACCCTCTTTTTTTTTCTGTGACTGAGAGATGGATTGAGATGCATCCGAAAGGGCAATTACAGCCGTAAACCCTTGTTGAATGAATATATAGTTAGTGCGACAGTGAGAAACCAAAAAAAGGGATCTTATTCATCCAAAAGGACCCGCACGCACTACAAAACATAAAGGCACTTTTTTTTTATTTTATGAATCCCGAGACTGTACTAATCATCATTAGATAAGCATCGTTTATCAAGGTTTTACAGATGTCAGATTGGGGGCGTGAGTGTGCATCTGCGTGTGGGCGCGGTTTGGCACCTGAAGTTTTTCATGAAGAGTGTGGTACCTTTGAAAGCGAGAGAGATGATTATCCTTTGGAATTTTCGAAAAGGTTTCCTTCTTTCTCCCTTTTGTAACCCCTTGGGCAACCCGCCGGGTATAAATAGTGTCACTACATAAAACATGTCTTTATTGACAACGATCAAAAAATTTCTTTCAAACGCCCTGCATTGAATAGCTCCCAACAGTATCATTTCTCTCCTTCCTTCTTTTCGAGAAAAAAAATAAGAACATCCATTTTTTTTATAAAGAGGTAAATGGCGCCTTTAGACTTCTTCATTCTATACAGTCATTGAGCATCATCATTTTTTTTCCAGAATTCCATCATGAATGACACCATGGATCACTGTTCTGCATTTCAACATCAACCCATCAGTTACTGCAACGATTTTATGAACCAGCAACCTGTCCAACTTGATTCGACGTAAACCATCATGAGATAGAACGCTGATCATTTTTGGGATTTATCTAACCTTGATGTATTTTTTTTTCTTAGAGAATCCGCATACAAGATTAATTCATGCAGCAAGCCGTTGGAAACGATTGCCGAATCAACTCAGATCGCCGACGATCCACCGTCCCATGTTCCTATGGATCCATTTTCTATCAAATTGGAAGACGCCGACCCCTATTCGCCTCATTATTCCATGACCTCCAACACTTCATCCACACCATCATGGGCCAGTAGCACCATGCAAATGGAACAAATGCCACCGAGATATGGGCCAACCGACGACATTAAGTCCAACTTTGCTTCCTTTCATCCACGTCAATTTAGTCATGGCCCCGAGACAGTATTTACTAGCACTAGCAGCAGTAGCAGCAACAACGGGGTCGAACACCCTTATTCAATGCAAGCTCCATACACTTTTCCTTTATGCGTCGATTCCTCGCCTACATCTATACCTATCATGGCCAATCCGCTTTTTCCGTCGTATTCCTTCTTACCACCCACCAATTATCCTGTACCATCGTTTGTGCAAAAATTCAAGCGTCGTTTCTCGGCTTCCCCGGCCGTTCCCAGCAGTCTTTCCACAAATGTACGATGCCATCCTCGTCATCAAAGCGCCAATGGTGCCTTTGGTCGCGAGGAGTTGGATCCAACCTTTTCAACTCCTTCGCCACTGCTACTGAAAACACAAACCTTCTCCACTTCACCTGTCAATGTCACTTCACCCACCAGTACAGCCCCGTTGGAAGACTCCACCATTGCTCAGACAGACATGTATGTTGAATTGGATGGATGTCATTTTTTTTTCTTCCCCCGTACGTCTGTTCCCAAAGTCAGTGACCTGACTTTGAGGAGGATGCTTTTGGGTGTTATTATTTTTGGGGTGGGGAAACGCAAATCCGGATTTTTCTTTCTCTCTTCAATAGAACAGAATAGGGGTGGAATGTGGGGAGCCTGGCAACTGGGTAGTTGACCATGCAGCTCTTTTTATATTTAAGGAAAACCCATAAGGTATATGGTAAACACACATGTGCTCACCCATTTTTCTTCTTCCATCTAGTGGCAATACCCTCTCCCCGAACCATTTAAGATTCAGTGTGGTGCTACAAGGTAAGTGATCGTCCCTATCTTTGAAATGATCGCCCTTTTCCCCCCGACTCAAAAAACGCACTGTCCATCAGCTGCTACCGCCGCAACCCAACGAAGCGATGAAACTTGCATGACGTATCTGAATCGCGGTCAAGCGTATGCTATTGATGTGGCCGATAAACACAGTCGTAATGAAATCATCACCAGCACTCTCATCCTTACTTTTCATGACGCCTCGCATCGCAAACTTGCGAATAATTATTGGACATTCTGGATGACCCAGCAAAAAAACGCCAACCGAGCAAGGGCACTAAGTTTAGGTGAGACATTAATGAAATACCTAGTGAAACCATCACAGAAATTGATCCCTCCCTTGGCATTTTCACAAAAAAGACGTCAATAGATCCATTGGCGTGTTCAATGTAGTGCTTTCCAATTTCGATCGCATCACCTTTGATTGGAACGGTAGTCAAGGGGCCAAGATTTACATTCAATTCCACTGCTTATCTACCGACTTTTCAAGAATCAAAGGCGTCAAGGGGATCCCACTCCGGGTTACCATGGAAAATCGAATATTTCAATCCGATGCCTCCCATAATTTAAGCAATCCACCCTGTAATTTATTATCCAATGCCACCACCACTACTACCACTGATGGATCGCCGACGCCTACAATAAACAACAACAACAACAATCAGGGCCTCGTTTACATCGAACGATGCTTTTGCAAAATTAAATTATTCCGCGACAAGGTACTATCTGGCAACTCCTCTCTCTATCGAGATGCTTTCCTTACTTATTTAAAAATCCGTAGGGTGCTGAACGGAAAAACAAGGACGACGCCAAGCAGATCAACAAGCAATTTGAAAAACTCAACAGTAAGTATGGAAAAAAAAAAGAGACAATGTCCGTGAGGAGGCCATGCATCTCATGTGTTCTACGTAAAAATAGACGGTAATCAGCGATATCATCCCAAATGGATCGTTTATCGCAAACCTCAACCTTACAGTGTATTCAGCGAACTACCTCAATGGGCCAGCAGTGATCTGGAAACCGTGCCATTGCAACTTCCGTCGGCATCGTCTGCGGTGCCTCTTACCAACTATCCTCCGCGAGCGCACCAACGCGTCATGACAGCGCCTACCATGAGCCATGGTTTACCGTCCTCGTCCGACATGTCTTTGTTATCGACCATCCCATCCGTTCCACCTTACACCGAGCTCGGTTCCACATTGACAATGACCGCTCTTCCCAACTTTATGGCCGCCAAATCTACCATTGGCCCTACCGAAACTCAGTGGATGACTACCGATCGAACTCCGGTATTAGATGCGAACCCACAATGGCCGATTTCACCGCCCCTGGCCACCGGAATGAAGCGATCACGAACACAATATGAGGAAAATTCAGCCATGACTACCAAAGATCCTTCTCCATCTACCACCGGTCCTTTACCAACCACTCATTCTATCGGTACATTTCAACGATTCACATGATGAATTTTTTTTTTTATCTATTGACACTCACTCCGCTCGGTGCCGTTCCTTTTCATATATTTTAGTTCGATCGTTCTTTGTCAAGACTCCGCAGTCCAAACCTGCTCGTTCACCGCCCACTCCGTTGCCGGGTGACACGGTATCCAGTCTTCAGCGTGTGGAACTGGAATCGTTGAGTATCCAAGAATTCACGATCAAAATATGCGGCATTTTGGCCCTGCATCCCAACCAAGTAAGCGAAGTGGTGTGGCGGCGTCAAAACGACAAGACCAAGGATGCCGATACCAGTCCTCCTTCCAAAAAGACAAACCATGATGTGCTTGTCCTCGTCGACGACACCGTCATGAGCCAGCACTTTTCTAATAATATCACCATGTCAGTGGACTGGGAAGTCAAATCAAATGGCATGGTAAGAGTATCATTATGCTTTTAATGCCAATCACAGAAAAAAATCAAAAAGAAACACACACAGAGAGAGACAGAGAGAGAGAGACAGAAGAGAGAAAGAAAGATAAGAATGAATCCATTCTCGTTGTATGTATAAAAAAAAAAAGAAAAATCAATTGGTGGCAAGCGGATCCCATGCAACTCTTTTTATTGTTGTGAACTTTATGAAAATACTCTCAAGCCATTCAGGTTCAATGGGAGTTCATTGTTGACACCGTACAATGCGGCAAGGATAGATGGTGCCACATGGCAAAAATCATATGAATTTGGGGTGGACTGTGAATGTTTATAGAACATGGTATTTCTGAGGGATCACTTGACAATGGGATCAAAGAGACTACCGAAAGCCATTTCAGGTTAAAGAGAGATCATGTGATCAAGCATAAGTGATGCCATGGTGTTCTCATCCAGTGGTGATGTGAGATGAATGGGGGAGAAAGGAATCCTAAAGAGATACAAAAGGATTGGCGCGAACATGTGAAGCAAAAATTGTGTTGGATTTTGTGCTGCACATCCTGCATGTGAAGAATCCCAAATTAGAGTGGGGAGGGATCTCCCCACACAAAAATGCCATTGAACTAAAACGTTGTACCACCTTATTGTCTCTCATGGCTGACGGGTGATACGGGACGGCCTGGCATATAAGTTGCACGATACGATGTTCCCAGAATTCATAACGTTTCTTCTTCACTTCTTCCCTTGCTAGCTTGATTTACCATGACTTCCATTTTTTCTGCACGAGGCGACAATCCCATCACCCGTTACGCTGCTGGAGCGGCGATGGCGAGTATTTCGGTGCTGGCCGCCGTGTATAATGATCGCGCAGTATTTGATGAGCATCGAAAAGACATCAAGACGCAAGCGGGATGGCCCTTGGTGGGCAGTTTGCCATTGCTGATCCAATATAAAGACGAAATTCACGATTTTCTTCTTGAAGGATTTACACGTCTCGATGAATTGACACTGTAAGTCCATCCATTTCAACCCGCCTACTTGGTATTTCAGATGAAACTCAAGTTGTTCAATGTCGTCTTTAGAACCCTGTCTATACTTGGTATTCCGCGACATATTGCCACGCTCGATCCTCGAAACGTTGAGCATGTACTCAAAAGTAAGTGCTCATACCGGTGATTCAAAGGACAAAATTCACTGATCCCGGAAACAATAGCCAATTTTGAAAGTTACATCAAGGGTCCCGAATTCCATGGATCACTCAACGATCTCTTTGGCAACGGTATCTTTAATGCCAACGGCGAAGACTGGAAATACCAGCGCAAGACGGCGAGCCATATCTTTAACGTCAAGAATTTCAGAGATCAGTTTACGGAGTAAGAAAAAAAAAAGGAAGGTCGCTGGGCCAAGAATTTCTTGTCCAAAAACTGATCGGGGTTTTATCTTTCCTGTAGTGTGTTTGTCCAAGAAATCGAGTTCATGTCCAAGGAAATCTGGGATCCCGCCGCTGAAAATAATACCGTCGTAGACTTTCACGATGTCATGTTCAAGTTTACTCTGGATTCCTTTATTCTGTAAGTGCTTTTTTTCCCGACATTCGTTTCGTTTCTTTTCTACAAGGCTAAATGTTATATTAATTTTATCAGTCTCGGATTTGGCGTGCAATTGAATGCGCTGGGGTCCAAGGACAAGGTACCATTTGCGGCTGCGTTTGATGAAGCACAGAAAAATACTTTTCAGCGATTTGTCAATCCTATTTGGCCAGTCACTGAACGATTACTGAGTCTTGCGATGCCATGGAAGCCAAGCATGAAGGATCATCTGCACGTAGTTGATACATTTGCACGCGAGGTCACGGAAAAACGACGTATCCAGTTGGCCAACGGTGAAGAACACAAGGATTTGCTGTCTCGGTTTATGAATGCTCGCAACGGACAAGGCGAACCATTAAGCAATGACGAATTGCGTGATATTGTGCTTAATTTTGTCATTGCCGGAAGAGATACCACGGCTCAAGCGCTTTCATGGACATTTTACATGCTGCTATGCCACCCACGCGTCGAAGCCAAATTAGTGGATGAAATCAATCAATTCATCGATGACGACGTCACCCATGATTCCGCCACATTGTATGAAGTGATCAAAAATATGAAATATGCTCATGCCGTATTCTACGAAGTGCTTCGATTGTATCCTTCGGTGCCTTTGAATCAGAAATATGCATTGAAAGATGACATCTGGCCCGATGGTACTCACATCCGTAAAGGGGACTACATCTTGTGGTGTCCGTACGCCCAAGGCCGCTGTGAAAAAGTCTGGGGTCCAGACGCCAAGCATTTCCGTCCTGAACGTTGGATCAATGCCGAAGGTGATTTGCGACGCGAAACCCAAGGTCAATGGCCCGCCTTTCACGCTGGCCCTCGAGTGTGTCTCGGCCAACATTTGGCCACGCTTGAAGCCCTCGTCGCCATTATCTTTCTTCTCAAACGGTACAAGTTCTCGTTGCTTCCTGGTCAAGATATTACCTATCAAGTTTCCTTGACCTTGCCCATGAAAAACGGTCTCATGGTGAGCGTTGAAAAACGCAACTAGTGTATATAAACGAACTTCTTTTTTTGTATCGATCTACAATAATATCAAATAAAAATTATAAATTATGTATTTTTTACAACAAAAACAAAACCACTGGCAATCCATAACCGTCATCTATACTGTCTGTATCAATGAAAATGCTGTCTGAAAAACTGTGATTTGCTCGGGGCACGAGGCTTCCTCTTGTCACATCACTTCCCTATTTGGGAAGAGCGTCGAATATTGCCCGTAATTTGAGAGGAAAATTTGCGCTCCACCCTTTTATTTTTTGTTTTCCCGCTTTTATTGGTTCATCATGGCAAGCATTAAGCGAATGAAATCATTGTCAGCTACAATGAACTGTGGAATGTTAACAAGGAGACGTTTGTGTTTTTACTTTTTTCTAGCTTCGATTTATCCTGGTTCAAAATCGGCAGGGAAAAACCCGTTTAGCAAAGTGGTACGTTCCTTACGAAGATGATGAAAAGACGAAGTTAAAGGGCGAGGTCCATCGAGTGATTGCCCCGAGAGATCAGAAACATCAAAGTAATTTTGTCGAGGTACGCACCAAAGTGACACGAAAAAAAAACGATAAACGCATGGGACTCAAAAACCGAGTTGTTGATATAGTTTCGCAACTACAAAATCGTGTATCGACGTTATGCCGGCCTATTCTTTTGTGTGTGTGTGGATGCCAACGATAACGAATTATCGTATTTGGAAGCCATTCATTTTTTCGTCGAAGTCTTGGATGCATTTTTTGGCAATGTGTGCGAGCTTGATTTGGTCTTTAATTTTTACAAGGTAAAGGATTTGGCGCGGATTGGGAGTTGAGGGGGGGCGGGGACAGATAGTGGGATTCTAGGCTCACGGATTTTTTTTTTCGTAGGTTTACGCCATTTTGGACGAAGTGTTTCTGGCGGGCGAAGTTGAAGAGACGAGCAAGAATATTGTGCTCACTCGTCTAGACCATTTGGACAAACTAGAATGATCATCCTTCCATATACCACCTTTTTTTTTGCTGTAAATAAATCCCGCCCCTGTTTAGATAAAACTACTTTGCATGATCCATCACTGACTCTGACATTGACTCTTCACCCGCTACACTACGACGATTTGGCGACGGCTGGGAGGTTGGCGTTGCAGCGGAAGGAATGGCTAAGGTTTGGTTGGACTTTTGGTGACGACAATAAAAAAAAAATAGAAAAGCTCTGGATTTGAGCGGCTTACCATGGGCGTCTTGCTTGGAGCGTGCCTGACCGTTGTCAGCGTGATGATGATCGCCGGACGTAACCGACTGTTCGTCACTGGAATGCCATGGGAATGGGCACTATGGTAACTAAGGCAAGCCCGCCATCAAGAAACGCAGATGATGTTGATTGGGTTGCTTACCTCGATGTTGGAGCACATGCTGACATAAGAACGAAAGTGGACACGATACTTGAGAATGGCACTGCCACAAAGTGGGCAGGCTTTGCTCACATCTCTGGAAAGGGACATAGCAAAAAGGCTGACTATACGCAGAGCAAAGGTTGATTATGCGTCAATGAGTGCTTTGACCAAAAAAAGTGCCCTGAATGGAGAATGCTGAGTGAGCTTTTCCTCGTCGGAAATTCAACCATATGGTCATTTCGTACTCCGAAGGTAGAGCTGATGATGCTGACACCCCCTTTCACACTCTACCCCCCATCTCCATTTCCCTTTTTCACCCCCCTCCTCGTCCTTTTTTGATTTCCTTGTTTCTTTTGCTCCTTTGGTAACAAAACTCTGCGTCGACCACGTAACGCATCTATTTGTACTACATTAGCCGTCCATCATGTCCGCTTATCCTCATCGGCCCATGGTCACGGCGACCCAGAATCGGCTGGTGGAACTACTGGATACCCTCAGAGGTGAATATGAACAGCTGACTCAGGATGTCATGATGACCAAAACCCAACGCGACGAACTCGAACATAAAAGTAAGTCTTGCTGTTTTACCTATTGACGACCAGCTACACTTTTTTTTTTCACGGTACTCAATTGGTTACACGGGGGGTCAGTGAACAGCCAGATTCAAGAAATGAATTTATTTCAGCAAAATCTCATTGATCTGGAACGAACTCAGCAGATCATTAAAAAACAGTAAGCACTCCTATTCACTCCACTATCACCACATTCTATTATGCTGAAATATATTAAACAAGGTATGAAGAAGAAATTGCACGATTAAGACAGCAACTGGAGCAGGCAAGTTACAACGCGTTTCTTTTTTTGTTTATGGTTTGGTGAAGCAATTGGAAGTGAGGCTGAATATCGTTTGCCGCGGAACAGATTCAACATGGTGTCCCTGTGTCCGGCAGTCCCAATCCATACACAGGTAAAATAGCAAACCCCAATTATTATTTAGAATCGCACGCGCGTAACCCCGGGCTTACCCTGCATCGACTTGATTTAGCATCAACAGCAGGTTACGGTTCTCAACCGCCACCGCCACCGCCCATGTTGGAATCTAGAAACGAGGCCAACCACTTTCCAAATTATCCTTTGCCACCCACCACCCACGGCGCTTCACCGAATATCCCTGGAGGATACACCAATGGAGGTCCACCACCCCACCCTTCTCACACACCGCCACCGCGAGAAAGTAGGTCTCATAGATCTCGTTAGAAAAAATTACAATGTCTCATGGATGAATGGCAGCTGGAAGAGGGACAACCACCAACGGTGTCAAGCTTGGAGCTGGCCCTCCAAGTAGCAGTGCCAACGGACAACCGAATTTGGGTGACATTGACCCTGAAACCATTCCGGCCAACCTCAAAATCGAAGGCACCGACTGGTTTGCATTGTACGCAAGACTGTCTAAACGCTGTTTCTTTGGAAGATCTAATGTTCTTTATTGATGGGGTGGATCGGCTGTAGTTTTAATCCGCAAATGCCTCGTTATTTAAAGGTGGATCTGGTTCACACGTTTGATCATGGAAGTGTTGTATGCTGTGTTCGATTTAGCACCGACGGTCGATATCTTGCCGCTGGATGTAACCAAGCGACGTATATTTACGATACCGCCACGGCCGCTCGTGTCGCGTAAGTGAGGCAAAATCACGTACTTTTTGTGTGACACTTTTTGATTTTAACACGTGGTGTCTATGTTGGCCCACAGAGTCCTTCAGGACGAGTCCGCAGGTCGAGAGGGTGACCTTTACATTCGATCCGTCAGTTTTAGTCCCGATGGAACCCATTTAGCCACGGGCGCTGAAGACAAGCAGATCAGAGTAATAGCTGTTTATCAAAGTGAAACGCGACTTGATACCCATTCGCTATTACTGACTCCTTTTTTTTCAAGATCTGGGATATAGCGAAAAAACGTATACGGCGGATATTACAGGGCCATGAGCAAGATATTTATTCTCTAGAATTCAGCCGTGACGGGCGTATTCTGGTGTCAGGATCGGGGGATCGCACAGTACGGATATGGGATTGGACAGACGGTCGTTGCTTGCATACACTTCGCATCAACGAAGTGGATCAAAAGGAACCAGGTGTCACCAGTGTGGCTGTATCGCCGGACAGTCGACTAGTGGCGGCAGGTAGTTTGGATAAAGTGGTTCGCGTGTGGGATGCTGTGACTGGACAGCCTTTGGAACGTCTGGATGGCCATAAAGACAGCGTCTATTCTGTGGCGTTTATGCCGGACGGTAAAAACTTGGTGAGCGGCAGTCTCGATAAGACCCTGCGCATGTGGCAGTTGGGTACCGCAAATGCAGCTTACGGTGGGGGTGGCGACCGAGGGAAAGGAGCTTGTAAACACGTATTCGCAGGCCACAAGGTTCGTTTCCCTGTTTCTTCGTAGGTCATTATTTCATGTGAGCTCAACCGTCGTATTTTACAGGACTTTGTCTTATCCGTGGCCACCACTCCCGATGGTAATTGGATCGTGTCCGGATCCAAAGATCGCACCGTCCAATTTTGGGATCCTCGTACAGGCCAAACTCAGTTCATGCTGCAAGGCCATAAAAATTCAGGTATGCAATAAAGTCTTCCTTGGCTAATGGTTGCTGGTGGGTGCGATTCATGTAAATAATATTAACCTGAATTTATTCAAAAGTCATCTCGGTGGCTACCAGCCCAGGGCGGCAACCCTTGTTTGCGACCGGCTCTGGCGACAATCGAGCAAGAATCTGGAGCTATGAACCCGTCAGTTAATACTCTGCGTAATAAAATAAATTCGGCACTCAATATAACAAACGACTTCGTTGCAATCAACGACACGCATAATGACTCGTTTCTTCACTTTTCAGTCGATACTTTTTTCTATTGCATACTTTCAAATTCGTCCGCTTTATTCACCCAATGAGCAATGGTGCGTCTGATTTTCAGCATAATCGACCAAAGTGGCGATGGATATTGGCAAATTAGTGGTGCATGCGAATTATTTCCTCTTTTTCTTTCCTCATACAGATACACACACGCATTCTCTGTCTGTGCTTTGATCTACGTGTTTCCTCTTTGCACGGTTATATTTTTTTACCTAGCCGACGCATCTTCATCGGTCGTGGAAACACATGGTCTTTAGCGGCAAACATTCAATATGCCTTCTTTACGTGTCCCTTGGATACAGGATTGCAACGTTTATCCTAATGCAATTTTTAGGTAGCAATGACACAAGGATCAGCCAAACAATATATCTAGTTTCATCTGTACCGAAAATAACCTTTTGATTCAGTCTCGTTGACGAATGGCATCAAAAAAAGAGAAATAAAAATGTCGCATTCCAAGTCCGCCGAATTTTTCGCTTATTGTTCAAAAGGGAAAAAAAGAAAGAAAAGGGTCCCCCAAGGTAGTCGACCTCCGACGCACAGTCACTGGATGTAAAAAAAAAAAAAAGACGAACACCAGTTGGTGCATTTTTTTCAAGTGAGATCTGATGTGACTCGATCCCAGTTATTGGAGTTTTAAAATTGCTCCAATCGACGCCTTTTTCCCGCTTTCTTTACTTGTAAAACTAACGATTGGGGCAAATGGCAGATTTCGGTCATGAAGAGGTCGATGGCATAAAGACCCTTATCATTGACAATTACGATTCCTATACCTTTAACCTACTGCAGCTGTGCAGCAATATTCACAATGTAGTTGTGATTCGCAACGATCAGTTCCCTTGGTAAATTTTTTTTCTTAAATAATGCATAGCATTTTTTTTCCATTTTGAGCAAGTCACTTAAACTTTGGCTTATATTTGACAGGGAGTATTTCAAGAAACATATTCTTCCCCACTTTGACAATATCATCATATCCCCTGGTCCCGGACGACCGGAACGTACCTCGGTAAGATCCGCGCATCGAAATACTTTGGCGTGCTTTTTTTCATTTTTGGCGGTTAATTAAAAAGGCTGATTTCGTTTTAGGACTTTGGTCTCTGCACGCCATTGTTGGCGGCTCAGCTTGATCCGCAGATGCAAGAATGTCACCGGCCTATTTTCGGTATTTGTTTGGGACATCAAGGCATGGCGCATTTGATGGGTGGAAAGGTAAAAAAAAAAAAAAAAAGAAGAAGAAAAAAGATCGACGTCGATCCGTCATTCGATAGCTCGGATTCATTGATTAATCAAGTCCCTCTTATGATGATCCAGGTCGTTTATGCCCCTCGAATCATGCATGGACGTTTATCGCAGATTCATGTGCAGAATCATACATATACCACTTACAATGACGTCCTTTCTGGTTGTGCCTCGCCTTTTTGGGCAGTAAGGTATCATTCGCTCGTCGTCGACCGAGCTTGTAAGTGTCTCGTTTTTGTGATCTGTTCGTTCTTCGCACGCCCCACTTATCATTGATTCGCTCCTCTTGTGCATAGCTTTACCTGCCTCGCTCTTATTGACGGCTTTCTGCTACGAGGACGACGCCGATATGGAAGCTCTGCAGAACGCAACCTATGTGATGGATTCTGTTGATGATAATAGCAAGACCACCGAGGCTCATCATCATCACTACCTTCCTCAACCGGCAACCAATACAAATCATCCAGGTGAAACCGTGACCATCATGGGTTTCCAGCATAAAACGTTGCCATTATGGGGCGTCCAATTTCATCCCGAATCCGTTTCGACCGAATACGGCATGCTCATGATGCGTAACTTTGCTCACGAAACGCGCAGATGGATGGAAAAGGTGCTTGCTTCTATTTGCATTGACAGAGCAAACCAAGTCAATTACGTTGAAATTAAAACCTGGATTTTTTGTAGGTACAACGTCCGTGCTTCAACGTGCCTCTACCACTCGATATACTTGATTGCTCGGCCGCCCTTCCAAAGATACCAGCCACTCCCGTTACCCCTTCCATCGAGCCGTATGAATTGGTTGTAAAAGCAAGTTGTCCGAGTTGGGTGGACCCAGAGTGCTTTGTGGAAGAAATGATTTCCACGCAATCGCTTTACGGCATCGATTTAAAGGCCATCAGTTGGTTGGATAGTAGTAGGGTAAGCTTGCTGATTGGGCATCGATCGAACATGGTAGCTGACGCGTTGTGCTTTTTTGTTTCACCCCCCCATTACAGCGCAATTCTCCTTATTCGAAAACCTCGGTGTTATCCGTTGATCCCGCTTTTTCACTGACTTATTCCACTCTTCACCGACAAGTGAATGTGGCCTCGCGGGACGGGTCGCACCAATCACAGCTTTTACCGGACACGGATTCATTTTTCGACTATGTCTCTCGGCTGTTGAGACAATGCGATGGGGTGCAGTTGTGTTCCCCGCAGGACAAAATACAGACGCTTCCGTTTTACGGTGGGTTAGCGGGCTATTTCGGCTATGAAATGAAGCGAGAAAGTATGCAAGGTTACGTGACCCCGATCGAACAACAATGTCCGTGCAAGGATCATGCAGAAAACCGGCCCCACTGCTGTGCTTGTGCTGAAGAGCCTGATGCAGCTTTTCAGTTTGTGGATCGGTTCTGGGTGTTTGATCACATCGCTCATCAAATCTATGTTTGCTGTCTGGTACAGAAACAAGATTCCTCTCAACCTTCTCTGCTGGGACAGATCGGTTTGAAAAAGGAGGACGCTATCCAGTGGGTTGAAAATGCCGAAAAGGCACTTTTGCATGTATCGGAAATGGTGCGTCGCCGCAAACTGGCCAATGATTACATCAGTTTGACCCCGGCGTCCTCTGCCTGCTCTACTCCGTTTCCTCGAGTCGATCTCAATCACATTCCCGGTTCCGATCTCTTCTCTGCCAACGTCCAACGATCTTCTTATCTGGCGGCCATTGAACGTTGTGTGCAGGAAATCCATGAAGGCGAATCTTACGAAATTTGTCTGACTACGCGGTTCCGGCTTTCTCTGCCTTTAGATCTCAGTACGCAAATGAAGGATCCCAGTTTATGGTGGTTTTACACCCGACATTTAAGAAAGAACAACCCTGCACCTTTTTCGTCATTGATGGTGTTCCCCGATTGCGACCTGGCCTTGTTCAGTTCCAGTCCCGAACGGTTCCTCAAAGTCACGGCGGACCATGTAGCGGAAATGAAACCGATCAAAGGCACCATGGGTCGCGTCTTGTCGTGTGTTTGTGCCGACCATGAATGCGACGGAGCGCAGCAATGTGAGATGCGACGCGAGCAGGAAGACGATCGACGGAAACAAACTCTGTGGCAGGATGTCAAGGAACGAGCCGAGAATCTTATGGTAGGATTGGGATATCAGAGCCATATATATTTGTGGTACTCACTATTGAGAATGTTAGATTGTGGATCTGATTCGAAACGACCTTGCCCAGGTGTGCGAACCGAGCACCGTCAATGTGCCGAAATTGATGCATGTGGAAACCTATGAAAAAGTGCACCATTTGGTGTCCACTGTTCGTGGCACGTTGCGTCCTCACGTTCACAGCGTAGAGGCTGTGCGCAAATGCTTCCCTCCCGGTAAGCGTATAAACATTTACTTGTCAATTGTTTTCTTTGGTATGAAAGCATCAAGCTGAGCTCCTACACGATTAGGTTCCATGACAGGAGCGCCAAAATTGCGATCTGTTCAACTCTTGGATCAACTGGAACAGCATAAACCGCGTGGTGTCTATTCTGGCTGTCTTGGCTACTTTTCTCTCGATGGTTCAGCCGACTTTAATGTCGTCATTCGAACAGCCGTCGCAGCGACAAAAACCAATGGAGGTAATGATTTAATGCCCAACACCTTTTTTTTTCCTCTCTTTGCTTGGTAAACTAATGGACGATTCAACGCGACATAGTGGAAGTGTCTGTGGGTGGCGGTGGTGCCATCACCTTTTTATCCAATCCAGAACAAGAATGGAAAGAAACACTGCTCAAAACAAAAAGCGTGGCACCGAGGTAAGTCCATGAATGATTGTTCAGTCGGAACAGTACTTTTTACTGACTGACACACTGGATGTGTAGTGTCAAGGAATTTCTCGAAGAACAATAACTGTCATACACTTTTTGCGATTCATCTGTTGTTTATATATGGTCTTTCTTTCCTTCATCATTTCATTTTTGCATTTACTGGAAAAAAATAAAACCTCCTTCTCATACGCTTTAGACTTCAACAACCTGCTCTGCGCCTGGGTAAGTGGGAACTTCGAATTCGAATTTTTGGGCCACGGACGGAGGCACAAACCGGCCGCCGATAAAGTGGCGTTGACCTTTAAAGTGGTTGGCACACAGTTTAGGTGCGGTCAATGAAACCAGCACCTGAGGCTGGAATTTGACCTTGTCGGTCGGCCCCTGTTCCACATCCCATCCCGAGGGGATATCAACCGACACAATCGGTCGATCGGTCTTTTCAAAGGCCTCGACCACATCCTTGAAAGGATCTCGCGGATCCCCATGGAAACTGAAGCCGAATAAGGCATCAATAATCACATCCGATTTCTCCAGGTGTGTCTTAAAGTCGCTTTCGAACACTTGCAAGTCCAAATTATGACACTGAGTTAACAAACGCTGTAATGCATCGTATTTAGCCTTGGATTCTCACTTGCACCATGTTATTTTGTCACGCAAAAAAAAAAAAAAAAAAAAAAAAAAATGATACTTGCCTCGTACAATTCTTTCTTTGGTTTCTTGGGATAGTATAACGAAGGCTTGTAACCAAAATGATACAAATGGCGAGCGGCCACAAGTCCTACAAAAACGTGGGTTATTGACTCGTATCGCCAAAAACTAAAAAAAAAAAAAAAAAAAAAAATCACAGCACAATGCTGATTGGCTTACCGTCGCCACCATTGTTGCCTAGGGATGAAATCATTTTTCAGTCTCCGCTTGGCCGCCGCCACCATCATCATGCTTACCAGGTCCAATGCACACGAGAACACGCGAATACTTTTTCTTGTCAAACGATTTCTGCACTGCTTGAGCCACACTCAAACCAGCTGTATAAATTGAGTCGGGTCAGTTGATAAGTGCTTACTCATGACGGACGTGGAAAACCCCCAAAAAATAGTTACCTAATTCCATCAACTGATCGACCGAGAATCCTCCTGCTGCTGACATCAATTCCTCATCGATGGCTTGAGCCACTTTTTGCGATAAATACTATAAAAACACCACGTCATTGGCAATCCATCGCTGAAGAAATATCGAAAGAAAAAAAACTCGTCTTACCTTGAAAGACATGGCAGTAATGGATGAAAAAAAATTATACACACAAAAAAAAAAAAAAAAAAAAGATATAAAACCGCCAAAAAAAAAGTGTAAGCGGAATTTATGCATGGAAAGGGCGAATTTTTCTGTCTCAGATATTATCTGAAAAAAATGAACCGACACCCACGGCAATCACTTTTTTTTATATTTATTTTAATGAGATGACAATCTTGATTATCCCTTGATCTCACTTGAATCTTGCCCTTTTTTCTTTCTTTCTTGTCCGTATCAGTAACCATGGCTGAGGGAGTGTATCCAGTTCCGGAGCGGTTATTGCAAGATGGCCAGGAGAAACCGTTTATTGACAGCCTTGAAAAGTACAAGGCCATGTGGACGGAAAGTATCAAGCATCCCGAAACTTTTTTTGCAAAGGTAAAAACATCGCCATTGTCATTTCATTTTTATTGGAGAGAAAGAGAAAAAATTAATGGTTTTGTTGCTATGTAGCTTGCCAAGGATCTGTTATCGTGGAGCATGCCCTTTGAGACGGTTCAAAATGGTTCGTTTGTGGACGGGAACGTTGGTTGGTTTCTGGAAGGTGAGCTCAATGCGGCATACAACTGCATCGATCGACATGCCTTTCAGCATCCAGACAAGGTAAGTTGTCTCATTGTTTGATAAATTCACAGGCAGAACTTGACAGGAAGGATTTACTGCTAGGTTGCTTTGATTCATGAAGGCGATGAACCAGACAACGTTCGCAAGTTTACGTACGATCAACTGTTGCGGGAAGTGTGTCGGTTAGCCAATGTATTGCGATCCTTTGACGTACGCAAAGGTGATACCGTCATTATTTATATGCCAATGATTCCCGAAGCTGTGTTTGCCATGTTGGCTTGTGCTCGTATCGGTGCCATTCATTCCGTGGTCTTTGCTGGTTTCTCGGCTGAATCGCTTCGCGATCGTATTCGGGATTGTGGCACGCGGCTGGTGATTACCGCCGACGAAGGGCGTCGAGGCGGCCGTAGTATTGCCACCAAATTCATTGTAGATGAAGCGTTGCAAGGGATCGATACCGTGGAGCGTGTGTTGGTATGTCGACGTACGGGAGCGGAAGTCAACTGGGTCCAAAATCGCGACGTGTGGTACCATGAAGAAATCTTGAAAGCACGGCCTTACTGCCCACCGATGTCTATGAATGCTGAAGATCCTCTATTTATTCTGTATACATCCGGATCCACCGGTACGCCCAAGGGCGTCATGCACTCCACCGCAGGGTACTTGCTGGAAGCCGCCGCCACGGTGAAATACGTGTTTGACTGTCACGACGAGGACATTTTTGCCTGCATGGCAGACATTGGATGGATTACCGGTCACAGTTACATTGTGTATGGACCCTTGGCTCTTGGGGTCACCACGGTCTTGTTTGAGTCCACGCCAACGTATCCTGACCCGTCCCGATTTTGGCGCATCATTGACCAGCACAAGATCACTCACTTTTACACGGCCCCCACGGCACTTCGGGCCTTGCGGCGATTAGGTGATGAGTGGGTCCAGAAGTGGGATCTGTCAACGCTGCGCGTGATTGGATCGGTTGGTGAGCCCATCAATCCGGAAACTTGGGAATGGTATTACCAAAAAGTGGGCCAAAGCCGATGTGCTGTCGTCGATACCTATTGGCAAACCGAGACCGGATCCATAGTGATCAGTCCGTTGCCAGGCGCGGTGGCCATGAAACCGGGATCGGCGACGGTTCCCTTTTTCGGTATCGAACCTGTGATTCTCGATCCGCATACAGGCGAACGTTTGGAAGGCGATAGCGTTTCCGGTGTGCTGGCCATCGCTAAACCGTGGCCATCCATGGCACGCACCTTGTACAACAACCATCAACGCTACATGGATACCTATTTTAATGTGTACCGCGGCTATTACTTTACGGGCGATGGTGCCTCGCGCGATAAAGACGGCTACTACTGGATCGGAGGTCGCGTCGATGGTAAGAAAAAATAAAGAGGCAAGCCATCGTCAGTGAATCCGTGATTGACCATTTTGTTTTATAACTCAATTAGATGTGATCAATGTTTCTGGGCATCGATTATCTACGGCCGAAATCGAGTCTGCGTTGGTGGCGCACGAGGCGGCTTCGGAAGCGGCAGTGATTGGTGGTCATGATGATCTGACAGGTCAATCCATCCACGCGTTTTGTACCTTGAAACCGGGTGTGGAATCCGTCGAAGGATTAGAAAAGGAACTGATATTGCATGTTCGTCGAGCCATTGGTCCCTTTGCCACTCCCAAGCGAGTCTATGTGGTCCATGATGTGCCCAAGACACGCTCGGGAAAAATCATGCGCCGCATCTTGCGCAAGATCGTTGACAACGAAGCCGACCAAATAGGAGATACATCCACCTTGGCCAACCCTCACGTCATCCAAGACTTGATCAAACAACTCAAGACACACATCGTCGCATAGTCTCATTATCTCACTGTCCCGGCATATGATACAAGTACAGCATCCTTTTGACGGTCCCTGATCAACATTCAAATTCTAGGGTCATCAAATGATGCATGTATAAATGTGCTGGAACATGTTATTTATTCGCAAGTCATGATAAAAATAAAAAGACGTGAAAGCGGCAGTCATATTTATCCTTTATATACGACATCATTCCCTCCAACATGAAGAGTTTTTATAAGGCGCCTTTTTTTCTACATGGCTTTTTAAGGGCGTCCCTTGAAATACTGCAAAAAAAGAGAGAACCTTGACAAAGCATTTATGCGATGTTTTTTGAATTATATGGTTCTTTACGTCAGTGATATCTGAATGGTAAGGTCCATGGCGTTGGCGAAAAGAGATCGTGGGAAAGTGGGTTTGCCTAATTTAGCTGGCAGCTGGCGAACGCGTGTAACTTGCTCGTCTTATCTGATTTCTACAAGACTTGGAAATGCCATCCATGACCATGAGCTTCCAATAGAACCATGGTTCCTTGAAATAGTTTCATTTTCGTGTATATAAAAAGAGCATATCAATGTATTTGTGGCAAGCCATCCATTTCCGTAAGATCCTTTAGCGCAACAGTAGAAAGCAACAGCAACACAAAGGACCACGTTATTTTTCGACTTCAGGGATTTCACGATAGAATAATGACACATGGGGAGATATTGAATCCCTTGAACATATTGCCAAATGAATAGGAGGTACGAAATTCAGAGATTTTTTTTTTTAGAAAAAGGACGTGAGAGATGTCATTGAGTCATCAAAAATCGGCAGGGTTGACCTGGGCATGTGAAAAAAGATGACTCGAGGGATGAGGTGTGATGTCACACGCCCTCAAAAATCCAAAAAATTTCAATTCACGCCAATGCTGCTCTCGCGGTTTAAACTTTGTCATCTCGAGTACTGCGTTAGGCGTGCAATTCTTTATCCTTGTTTCTCTTTCCGTCTTTTTCACTCTTCACTTTAAATAACCATGTCCAAGTCTTTGCGTATTTTTGTCCCTGTCAAGCGTGTCATTGACTTTGGTGAGTAATCTCAACATGATCCCACTCTGATGTTGTCGCCTCAAGAAAACTATCACTCACCCCCTTCCTCTTTCTCCCCCCCCCCTTTTTTTTTTCAACTTCTACTTTTCCAGCCGTCAAGGTTCGCGTCAATGCAGCCAAGACCGATGTCGACCGTAATGTGAAGCACAGCATGAACCCTTTTGATGAGATTGCTGTGGAGGAGGCTATTCGTATCAAGGAAAAGCAGAAAACAACGGAAGTGGTGGCTATTTCTTGTGGTTCGGCCAAGGCGCAGGAAACTTTGCGTACGGCATTGGCTATGGGCGCTGACAGTGCAGTGCACGTCGAAGTCAAGGATGACAGCACTTTACAACCTTTGGCCGTGGCCAAACTTTTGAAGGCCTATGCAGAGAAGCAGGAAAAGAAACCCGATTTGTTCATCCTCGGTAAACAAGCCATTGACGATGATAGTAATCAAACAGGACAAATGTTGGCAGGCTTACTCAAATGGCCTCAGGTTAGTTAGTCCTTACAAAGATGGACAAAAAAAAAAGTTCCCACGGCCTTTTTGAAGCTAATTTTTTTTTATACTCCAGACAACGTTTGCTTCCAAGGTCGAAATTGAGAACGAGTCACTCAAGGTGACGCGTGAAGTGGACGGTGGTCTGGAAACCATCGCCACCAAGTTACCTGCTGTAATCACCACTGATCTTCGGTAAGTTTACGACCTACAGTTGGATTGGAAGGGCCAAAAACAACCAAGCAGTTTGATAAACAAGGAAAAATGGTATATTTTTTTCTAGTTTGAATGAACCCCGTTATGCATCGTTGCCCAACATTATGAAGGCCAAGAAGAAGCCTATTGTGAAGATCACTCCCGAAGAATTGGGCGTCGATATTTCGCCCCGCATCGAGACATTAAAGGTAGAAGAACCCGCCAAGCGTTCCGGTGGCAGCAAGGTTGAAAGTGTAGATGATTTGGTGAACAAACTGAAATCTGAGGCCAAGGTCTTGTAATATCCCTCCCCTCTTTTCCCTCCAAATTTTTCTCTTTCACAAAAAATGCAATAAAACAACACAATAGAAAGTGATACGTGTCGTGATATGAAAAAGAAAGACCGTTTCCTCCTATCCATTTTGTGTTCCACGTGTAGTTTTCATCATGTCACAGCGAGATATTGCACATGTAAACAAATTTTGTGATATTTTATAACAATGTTTTGTGAATATAAAAGAGTCACGTAATCGACTGGATGGTGGGTTTTATTCGACCATGAGAGATCATATTTAGTGAGCCTTCTTGCCAGCAGCCACTAAAAAAAAAGTACAAAAAAGAATGAGTACTCGGATTACTAATGCTAACGCTCATCATAATACGTACTGGCAGGGTTTCTGGGATCGTTTCTGTATTCTTCAGCTATTAAAAGAAAGAAAAAAATAAGAACAAAGAGATTAGATAACGTGGACGAAACGACTGAAAGGAAGTGACACAGTTTGTAATGTCCAATGTAAACATGACTACGTACAGTTGATCATAGCGTCCTGGGCCTTGGCGACGAGGAAGAACACGGCGACACCGCCAATGATGAAGGGAGCGGCGGGACGGAGAACAGGAGTAGACCACTTGCGCATGCCAAACATGTTTGCAATTTTGTTTGTATCGAGGAAGGGGAACGAGAAAAAAAATTGAATTTGGATAGCCCTAACTTTGAACCAGGGTGAGGACTGCTACCCATATTTGGAATGTTTTACGTCACGGACCATGACTCGCTTTTTTTGGGACGTCGGAATCTCGAAGCCCAACTTTTTTTCTTAATGCCTATTTTTTTTCCAATCAACCAAGAGAAAAATTTGCTATGATGGCACCCTTTGTAATGGCTTATGCATAGGCATTACCATGCTACTATGCAGCCCTATAATATTCAGGTTTAATTCAAGTAGACCACCATGCATACATACCACACAGTGTCTGAGACCATATCCTCAGAAGCCATGGAATCAAATGAAAAAGCACAGAATCATTGAATGTCATGCTCACTTTGCTCATAACAGCACGTCAACAAGAGAGCTTATATATCAAATACCCTGTATTCAAGACGATGTAAAAAAATAAGGCCAACGCCATGTACACTGCAGTGCGGTACTCGCATAAACGTCTTGTTAGGATCACGATCCGATATAACTCCAGTATTCTCTTGCCTACCAAAAATAACCTGACCAAGGATAACTTTGTCGAGGACAATTTTAAAAATAATGTGCATCATCGTCAAATTGCTCTTCGACCGCACGCATCAAAGACGTCATGCTGAGTGTTCTGCCCACAAAGAGATGTTGTGTACTGTCGCAGATGGAAAAATAAGGAAGACTACGACATTTGTTCACAGTGAATTTTTGTTTTTATTTCGAATTTACAGCAGTTTTATACACATGATACTTGATCGTAAAAGTACAATATACAAATTCGGGCAATCCTAACAGGTTGTTTACTTGCTCTTGAATTGCACGGTTTCTGTTTTCAACTGGACGGACTTGCCACTCTTCCAGTGGTCGGCACCCTCCAAAGGAGTGTACTCAGGGAAGTCTTTACGTTCGTCCTTCTTGGTCTGTGTAGAGATTCCTTCTTCCCTTTGACGCTTCTGTTCCATTTCGGGATCCAGTTGACCGTCAGCAGTGAGAGCCATCATGAGCTGAGGAGGACCTAATAGAGAAAAGGTCAGTGAGACAAGATTCATGGAGTCCGCTGTATTTTACAATAGTTTACCTAAAGGAAGTGTATCACCACGGTCTACTTGCCATGTATGCCAAGTCTTGCCGTAGGTCTTTTGCAAGTCCAACATGGGTTGACGTTCCGCGGCGCTAATGGCCACTTCGGGCATACCGCTCAACATCGGCATAGCCAACGTACCCCCGCGAACTTCGTAGTCATGCGAATGCCAGAACTTCTTTTCCTCATCATCGAGTTCTTCGCAACAACAATTAGTATATCAGTCATACATCGATTGAAATGGACGCAACCACTTACTTGCAAACAACTTTTCCGAAATAATGTACTCAATACCAATAAGACGAGCATCGGAATTGGGCGAGTCATAAATAACACACTGGCGGAAATCTTCGTTGACGTGGGAGCAGAAATGATGAGCGTGGACTTGACGGGTCATATCATGAGCGTAGATATGGAAACCACAAACGGTTTGACAAATGCTCTTCAAGGGAGCATACGATTGGCTTGCACTAGCAACAGTGCCCAAGATCTTGGACTTGAGAGTAACGGGTTCTCCGGGAGCGTCAGCCATTTTTGATTTATGTGATAAGTTTGTAGTTTAATAAACACGGTTTCGAGAGAGACTGTCCCAAACGATGGTTTTTATACCCATATCTGTCAGTTGTGAATCCATATTCCATTTAGTAGTCATAACTTTTTATGATGATTGCATGACGACGCAAAACGATGATGCATGAAATACGCCCTTCCCACCCCCCCGTTCGAAAAAGGCCTGATTAGGCGGACTTGCATTTATCGAAAACCCTTGTCATGTGTGTGATCCAATCTAGTCTATTATGCCTGGACACAAACTGGCTTCGAGAATCCTTCCATGAAGCTATTCAAACTGCGCATCCAATAACAGTCACTTGTTTCGCCATGCACATTTGAGCCACGTCGCTCGTGTATCTCCTTTTAACGGAATAAGCAGCCAGTGCCAAAAAAAAAAAGAAGCACACCATGTATAATCTTCAACAACGTGCCAACGTAAAATTGTCTCGACGCGAATAAATTATATATGTTGCTCATGGCATGCTTCCTTTGCTGGTTTCTTTTTTTCAGGTGCTGCTTTCTTATGCACTCACTGCTCTCAGCTGTGTGCTGGGCGTGATTGCCCTTATTTCTGCCATCAAAGGCTATCCGGCTGTGGACAACAATATTACCATCGATAATAATCTTGTGCGAATGTAAGTGCGAATTGAAAAGGGGGGGGGCCCAAGTGAAATGACGCGGATGGAATAACTATGCATATACATTAGCGTGAAACGTCGTTACGGACCTGAGAATTACGACTACGGTCAACCCAAGAGTGACTTTGCGCGTGTGGCGTTTGATCTGGATGCTGGTATATAAAGAGTTGAAAAAAAAAGCGTGTGGAATCGCTATATAAACGTGACTCATGTGATAACAGATTTCACACCATTTTTCGATTGGAATACCAAGCAAATCTTCGTTACAGTGATTGCTGAATACGAGACCAAGACACACGTACGTAACCCTAGTGATAAAACAAAAGCAAAAGTGGGATATGTCTTGGGCTTTTATCGAACGTCAAACTGATAATTATTTCTTCTTAGAACCGCAATTCGATTGTACTTTGGGACCGAATTATCACACGCAAAGATGATGCCAAACTGTCACTGAAGAAGGTGTCCAACAAGTATGCGCTTATTGATGTCAGCCGAAAATGGACGTGAGTAGCACAAAAAATTAGCATTCGTTTACAGAAAAAACTAAAATTGATATGATCTTTCAGCTCTCAACAGGCGAATTTATCATTGCATTGGGATATCACGCCACATGTCGGCATTCTTCAAGGTGGTCGATCTTCCATGTCTTCTGCCAACTTTATTTTAGCACCTGCAGAAGCATCCTCGTGAATTAACCTCTTGGATAACTAGATACCAAAAAAAAAAAAAAAAAAAAAAGAAAGGTCAATTCATTCAATAAAATTAACCGACTCGAATTACTGCTGCCAATCCGCCCGACCTTGTTCGTTTTTGTTATTTTTGTTTTATATATATCTTGAATCAGTCTTGTTCGCGGGTTTTCGGCGTAGTGTGAACCATTTCGCCGTTGGGGAAAACTGACAGATTGGCCAAGGAAATTGTGTCAGGCATATTTTTGGGTTTTGGCCAATGATCGTGGATGGATGGAGGATGGCCCGCACGGATGGTCAAGCAGTCACTCGGGGAATTAGCTGTGTGTGTGTGGAAAACATGTAAAATGGGGAATTGAGTGTGGTTGGGTTTCCCTCTTCCACCAGAGTCAGTTGTGCTCCTTTTCCATGCGTCCTTTGCCATTCCATCATTGATAGTTCACAAATCCTGACTTTTTTCCGTCTTGCATCATGCACACTGCAGAGGAAGCCTGTCGTCGTTCGCCCCGTCTCCTTACATCGTCCTCTGTCGCCCACAGAGTCCCGATTATGCCCTCACCGTCTCATTCGACGTCCACCACTGAACCGGTCCAAGGGACACAGGACACGGACGACCCTGCCACTACGCTTCAGGAACGCCCGACTCATCAACACCATCACCACCATAACCGCTTGCTGTACTTCTTCACAGAGCCGCCCGTGTTGCCGTCAGCGTTGATTCCTGCAGCGAGAGCCCCTATATCAAGTGCACGAATTACTCAGGCATCGACCATGTCTACTCGTCAGCAACCCATTCGGTTAACATCTGCTCCTTCCCCTATTGCCTCCAGACCCATTGCCGTGGCGGCCGTGGAAGACGATTGCTGCGCCGCATGCTGTCCCAGGGCGGCCGCAGAGAATATGACCTCGGCATCCAATGTGTGCACCGATCCAGCGTGTCCTTCACTAATGTCCAACCGGCAACCCGAGAGATCCGTTAATTCTCACGCTTCTTCTTTATCTTTGATTACTCCCTCGACGCCAAATCGTAGCGACAGATCGGTGCTTTTGACTGGATCAAGGTCGCCCTTGATGTCGTTTAGCAATGACAGCGGGCTGGGCCAGAAACGGAAACACATGGAAACCGAGGCCATGATTTGCAAGTGGGCGGCTTGTTCGGCCGTTTTTCGTACGTTGGATGATCTCACGCCTCATCTGTTCAAAAAGCATCTCAACAACCGCACCATTGATTTCAACTGTCATTGGGGTTCATGTTCCGTCACCGTGGATGGATCGGATGCTTTGCTTGCTCATTTGACAAACCATTTGGGTCAACGATTGTTGCACGGTTGTCGATGGGCCAAATGTCGTGAACGCTTCGAGACCTTTCACGATCTACGTGATCACCTGTCAGAGGAACACGTCGGCACAGGCAGAAGCGAGTATACTTGCGAGTGGACGGGATGTGACCGTCAAGACAAAGTGTTTACCCAGCGGCAAAAGATCATGCGGCACATCCAGACCCATACAGGTAATATAAAAATAAAAAAGAGAATTCAACGAAAACAAGGTCGACTGACTCGATTATTTTCTTCAAAGGCGATAAGCCGTTTCAATGTACGGTTTGCAAGAAACGGTTTTCGGAATCCAATATCATGACCCAGCATATGCGAACGCATACCGGTGAAAAACCATACAAATGCCCGGAAAAGAATTGCAATCGTGAATTTTCCATCTCGGGGGCATTAACCATTCACAAGCGGGTTCACTCGGGTGAAAAGCCCTTCTCATGTAAATACCAAGGCTGTGACAAGAAATTTGCTGAAAGCAGTAATTTGACAAAACACGTAAGTATGCATGACCGTTGATCACCTCATTCTGCACTCATGTCCGTGCCTATGTCTATGCATCTGGTGATGTTTCTGTCGATGCAAGTTTTTTTACTCAATGTGGTCTTGTTCGTAATAGATGCGTGTACATACAGGCGAACGTCCTTTCCGTTGCTCTATCATCCCTTGCGGAAAATCGTTTTCCAGGCCTGATCAAGTCTCTCGTCACCTCAAGAGTCATCAACGTCGTCAAAGACTGGCGGCCAATTCCCAAGAGCCGACGGAAGAGACTCCGTCTTCTAAAGCTTGATGCACTTTTACTCTCTCAAACAAAAAAAGAAGGCTACCTCTTACTTTTTCATTCTCATTCTGTAATTTATATTTCAACATGATACATTCTATTCCCCTCTTCCCTCCCCCCATTTTTTTGTCAATCGTCCAACCTATTGCAAAAATATACGCGTTCAATCACATCCTACCGTTGATGTAAAAAAAACATCAGGCCAATGCGCTTTATATTAAAACTGTGGATTTGAAAAAAAAGGTGCTTGAATAAAAAAATGCATCGTGGTATTTAGAATGTGGATCCCTCCGGGGGTTGAGGGAGTTTTCTACCGACCGTGCCCATTTCCCTAGAAAGAAGAAAAACCATATCCCGAAATAAGCCAATCCCGAACTTTGTCATTGCCACACTCTTGCAGGTGACCTACCTTCTCAAACTTATCAAGACCGTTTCCAAAGTATTGGAGCGATTCCATTGGGCAAGACAAGGCAACTTTTGAGGATCAACCTAACCAAATGCAACCGTCAAAGAAGTTAAGTTCATCTGAGCCATTGGCATTCCCCCCTTTTTCCCGTCCGCTTGTTTTTTTGTCCTACCCTGCCATTCTGAGGATTCACACTCGGCAAGTTGATTCTCGAAGTGAACTGCACCATGGGTGGCGCATTAGGATAGTTGTCGTCGCAATAAATCTTTAAGCTGTAGATTCGGTTCTCATGGACACACTAGTCAATGTCACCAGAAAAAAAAAAAAAATAGGGGACAGGTAAAATGGGAATAAAGAAGAAAGGAAGTAACAATACAGATAAGAAAAAACGCGCCCGCCGTTGCGTAGGATAGTTTGAACTAGTTGTGATTTGAACTTACATGAGGAGGGCCCAAAATGGTGGCGTGCCAGTGATGCATGAGCATGTCGTCGTCGGCCAAACCGTAACTGCATGTGCCATCACCAATACCTTTTTCGCCCTTTTCCAATTCCTCGAGAAGACGGAAGCTACGAGGTACTAAAAGCAACAAAACAAGGTTTCAATGGACTGACTGCAACCAAGCTTTTTTTTTCAAACGGCAAGAGGATAAGGTTACTTTGTGCCATACTGTAACAGTCTATATCGGAATGTACAAAGGAAACCACAGCACCATCAGCGAAAACTTGGACCTTTCACCGAAATTTTCAAAAAGGTCGTGACGTCAGGCCACAAAATAGGTGATGTGATTGGTCGAATCGGGTCAAATCGTCCGATCACTGGAAGCGCTGCCCAATTCAGCAAGGAATTTTTGGGATCAATGCACTGACACGAATCCAAGCTCCCAATAGGCTTGTCTTTTCTTGATAGGTGATAACTCTGTTTATAAAGTTATCTGTGATGTTAGTTTGAGCTATAAGAGGTGTACAATTCTCACTATCCACGATTTACTGTATCGCCACAAAATACGATCTTTTTTTTCGTTCTTTTATATACGATCATGGCTACAGCATTTTGCAATAGATTGATAAGAAATGCCTTCCACCAGTCATCAAAGATCACTTTACATAAAAAAACCTTTTTTGTTTTCACAAATATTTATATCAATGATTTATGATGTAGAAAATATCTTTAAAAAAAAAAAGAAAAAAAAAGTATCAATATTTTTTTTTTTAAAAAAAACGGGCAAGAAATAAAGAAAAAAAAAAGAAACGAGAAAGAAAAGAAGAGAGAGAGAAAAAAAAAAAAGAAAAAGAGTCTATGGCGTTAAAAAAAAAACAATTTATGACAGAGAAGAAAAGAAAGAAAAAAGGAATACAAGTTCTCTCTGCGATTTTTTTTTCTTTGGTGGTTTGTAAATGGAATAAAATAAAAAGTGTCGAAAGCGCCAGTTTTAGTGGGGACCATGCGACGCAGGACCCGAAGGACCACTCACACTACCTCGCTGTTTCTGTAACAAAAAAAGAAGAGGATAAATCATCTCATTAGAACCACTGTTTATCTTTCGTCGCCTCCAATTAGACTTACACCATGGTGTGGTACTTTGTAAGAACCGCTTTCAGGTTTGTTGGGTGCTTTGGCATTTCTGAAATCCTTGGCCGACTTGAACTGGCTCAATAACGCATTCAAAGAATCGGTCACCTTGATTTCTCTCTTTGCCTTGTCCTTGCGGTAATACAAGTATGCCCAGAATTTTTCCAGACCATACAGGTAACCGTTATCATAGTCCGCCTGAGTCAATTGCTGGAAATCTTCAAAGATCTCCTTGTAGAAACGCTTCTCGAGACCATACGAGTAGAATCGGAAAAGACATTCCAAACCATAACTGGAAAATAAAAAAAAAAGGGATGAACATACGATTACGATATATAACCCAGCAAAACGTCTCAATCCACTCGACGCAACTTACCGGTAGTTCTGATTGGCATCCTCCACCGCTAAGCGTTTGAATTCGTTGTACATACGCTTGTTGTAGTGATCACGCAAGAAGTGGGACCAGAATCGGAACAAGGTGTTCATTTCTTGTGATTGACCCACACCCAATTGCTTACGTTCCTTCAATGCCTTGGCATGATATTTGTAGTATCGGTTTTGCACAAAGCCGTTTTCACGCAGTAATTCGTGGCTGGGATGTTGGAAGTTGCCAAACGAGTGGGCCATATCCACCGAGGTCGACAACATGCTCTGAGAAGGCGACTTGCCATAGCTCGTCGACAACAGATCGTTGGGGTTATAATGGTAAGCTTGATCGCTCAAAACCCAACCAACGTGGCCTTGATCATGGGCATCCTTCTTATTTGCTGAACGAGGAGTAGAACCATAGAAAGCACTGCTTGGAAGTGATTCGGGACGAACAGGGTAGAAGCGAGGAGCATTCTTATCATTCTTGATACTTTCGATCCATCCATGTTTTAGTTGACCTGTGCATCTATCATTTTTCCAAAAATCACTTACGGTTTGGCGGAAATGGTCTTGCTAGAGAAATTGCTGCCAACAAGTTCACCACTTTCTCTCTGTTTCGCACTGGCGCTCAGTTGAGCAAAGTGATCCTGATCGGCGGTACCAATCTTTTTGGTCACGGTCTTATGACCACCAAGACCGGTCTCGTACTGGTACAAGCCTTCATTGATCATTTCCGAGATTTCGTCGTTCATCTTGGCGCGATCATACGAGATGTGCGACTTGTCTCGCTTACGCTGAGTAACAATCATGATACGAGCCACCATATCGTCATCGATTTCGTGATCATCATCTTCAAAGTCGGAATCGTCATCCGAGAGATAGTATTTCTTCACGGTGTTGGCTCGGCTGCCATCAGTCCAGTCATCGTCAAAGTCAAACATATCGTCTTCATTCAATTCGTCCATTTGAGAACCACGTCGTTCATTGTTGTTGGAAGGCTTCTTGACGGCGGGAGTACCGGAAGGAAGGTTGGCAGTACCAGCCAAGGACTTGAGCGTAGGCTGAGGAGGGTTGGCAGGAATATTGTGCTTGACCACATCAGCAACAGTTTCATGGGGTGCCGGCGAAGAAGACTTGTTGGGAGCCGATGACTCGGGGGCAGCCGCAGTGCCGGTGGTAGCATTGGTGGTGTTGGTCGTGTTGGTAGTAGGCAACACCCAGGTTTCCCAACCTTCTTTTCGGCGCAATTTATCCTCACTCGTCAAATCCAACAATTCACTCTGTTTCAAAGCCTCGCGGATCAAATCCATATCCGTCGTAAGACCCTTGACTCGGTTAAAGTTGGCGAGCAGATCAAGGTTAACGTAACCTTGGGAATCCATCTAAACAAGGAAAAATGAATTGGTTAGAATTGTTCGGTTCTGATCTCGGTTCGCTTTTTTTTTCTTTATCCAGTCACTTACTTGACTACGCAAAAAGATATCCTTGCAAAGGTTATCAATACTGAAATAATATTCACTATAGAAAAAAAATGGGATTGAGTCAAACAATAGCACAGCATGCGAGAGAGGGATCCAAAACTTACATTTGTTGTACGATATAGGTTTTTAGGGTTTCAGCGTCGACGTTGACAAAAACGGGACGGGCTCGGTTCATGGGGAACATGTTACCATTGACATGACGACTACCGTGGAAACCTCCACGGCCACGACCACGGCCACGGAAACCGCCTCGACTGGTGTGATGTGATGATGAAGCGGGGGCATCGGCAGCGGAAGATTCGGCCGGCTTGACGCCATTGGCGAGATTTTTTTTGTCTTCGGTGTGATTTTCGGGGGCCGTGGCAGGCTTGGATTCCTTGGTTCGGTGTGACGCTCCGGAATGGCTGCTGCGGCGAGGTTTTCTGTCTTTGCGCGAGTCATTCGCGTTGCGACTGCGGGTGCCACGTGCACGACCGGAACCAGGGGTGGGAGTGGCATGGACAATGGTGGGGGTATAAGGCTTCCATTGGCCTTTACCTTTACCTACAAATAAAAAAAAATCCATCACAGTTAGTCAGGGTAGTCCAACAAAAGAAAATCAAGCGCCTTCCAATAGAAAAAGACTGTTTGATCCGTACCTTTGGGTGCAATGAACTTTTCTGTTTTCTTTTCAGCGACTTCCTCTTCCTTGGGGGTCTCACTCGGTGCGGGCCACGAGCTCACATCTGTGGATTGATCTAGATGGGTAATAGAAATTTAATTCCAGGTCTGAGCAAAGGGATGGGACCCTTGGGGAGGGGAATTCCCAAGAAAATATTAAACAGATCCAGGCTAAAGCTTAAATTTTGGGATGGTATATTCACCTTGTTTCTCGGTGGATTTGTCTGCGGCTTGCTCGGTGGTCGTTTCTGATTTCTTGACTTGCCATGGATTCACTTTTGGAATGGGTGCAGGAACGGTTTGTTTTTCTTTGGGTTTGTCTGCGTGTTTGTTGGTATCGTCGAAGTTGTTGGTCGTAACAGACGGCTGCTGTTCTTCCTTGGTTTCGACGGGTTTCGAGTTGGAGGCAATGCTGACCATGACGAAACAGTAGAATGCAGTAGCTGGGGGGATGTATTTACGTTCGTAAAGTGGTGTACTAAAGAAGTATATATAATTCCTCCCTCGATGTCCAAATGACTGAGCTTCTTCTGTTAAGAAAAGAGAAAAAAGGAAGGAAAAAAAATTATGTTATTTCGCACTTCCAACAATTTTGGGTCCTTGCTCTGAAGAAAAAAAAAAAAATGTTGAAAATTTCAGGTGGCTTGCAGAACAACAGTCATTCCATAATGAAACTTCAATGAGTACCTCCACTCATCCTTTTCACCAGCTGAGGGTCCCTACAAAAATTGACCTCTTCAACATCCACTCAAAGCCACTTTTGAATGATTTCTCGGTCTATATCATCTTTTATGAGAAAAAAAAAGTATACTCGATCCAGTAAAAGTGATTTGCTGATTTAATTATATTTGACAATTTTTATTTTGGACACTATCTTTTTCACAAAATTTCAAACACTGAAATCTGCATTTGTAGTGACGGCAATTTAACAGTTCCATCAGTTTGGGTAACATTATAAGCAAGAAACAAAAAATCTCAAGGTAATATGCACGTCTTGATCCATGTCCAGTAAATTCGGTTTTCCGAGTGATTGGTTACGGAGGCCCTGGTCCGTAATCTAATGGACAACTCCCCAAAAAACCACATGATGGCAAAGTTAATTTCCTTTTTTGGGTTCGAACATAAAAGATGTGGTCGTCTCTGCAGCCGTCCAGCGGTTACTCGAGTATGGTTATGGTTTCCCAATCAATTGAAAAATTCCAGGCGGCTTTTTACACCAGAGTAACAGACTAGGGCCAACCGTCCAAAGCAGAGAGCGTAGAGACTCTTTTTGGTACCGAAGCAAACCACTTGGATGAAATAATACCCTTCTGTTGAACGGTGACTGAAGGCTTTCATTACTTGAGTTCTGCTTCTGTTCTTCGGTGGATAACTGCGAATGAATGATCCCATTGTCTTTGTGTTTTTTTTTTGATTTGGTGAACCTGTATGATCATCTTCTTTTCTCATCTATCGATGCCCTGACTGGTTAAGTTTCAAGATGATCAAATATACTGGTATAAAGTTTACTTGCATGAATGGATATAATCCCTTTTTCCCTGGCCAAGCAAATGTAAATCCTAATCTTCTAAACAAGAAATACAATGGGTCGCCTTGCGTTGTCTTTGAAGTAATGACGGTTTATAGATATTCAAGTTGTGCAGACCTGTCAATTTTTTTTTTTTTTCGTTTCGATTTTTCTGAATTTGAAAATGAGCCCATACAGGGGTTTTTGGAAATTTCGATGCCGCGGAGGGCGGGGAAAATCCGTAGTAAGGAGGGAATACTTGGGTGCGCTTTCTGGTTACACTTCATCTTCAACCTGGTTCCTCACTGGTCTCATGAATATCATTATTCCATTTTTTTACCCCATTTTCCGGCGGGAACTATCATTGATCGGACAGCATCACAATACCACTTCCCTACTATGTGGGTCGTTGTGGAGTCAATTGCTCCGATCGTTATCAATTCAGATCCAGCTTCTTTTTGCCACGTGAAGATTGATGTAAACTGAATAACACACATATAACTGAAAGCGACCAGTTGGGCAATTCGGTCTTCGATAAAAGCAAGTCATTCATCGAGTTTCATGGTACGGGAAAAAGCCAAAGCTGCATTACGATAAATAGGTATATTATGATAGGCGCGAGATAATCATGAGTGATATGCTTGGTCGAGAGGAACAGCCGTAAATCCATTGCGGACCCTTTCTGTTGTTGGCCAGACCTATTTTCCGCAGAATTCATCAGTTGCCGCTCGGTCATCTTAGGGTCATCTCAGGGTCATCTCAGGGTCACCCTAGGGCACAGCCCAGGAGTCCTCAGGCGACTTTGCCCATCCGGGGCCCATACATTACCTTGGCGAAAACTCTCCCACGAATAAGGCCAATAGGAACCGGTCCATACGAGCGACTGTCATTAGAATTGCTCAAATTGTCCCCTCCAACCCAAACATGACCTTGTGGAACCTACGCGAAAAAAAGGGTTGGAATTTGGCCGCGCTGGAAAACGGCGTCTGCATGAAACTTACATTGATATATTTTCGTTCCTTTTCTGTCGGATCGATACAAATATTATCCCCAGGCTATATATTGATGAAAATTTCAATTGTTGAGCATAGGGTGGTCTGAGTTTTTTCGCTAAAAACGGCAACTTACCATGCCCAAAATACGCTTCATCACCGCTCGTCCTGGCACCGCCGGTGACATGCATACAATGACGTCTCCCGGATTGAGTGTCTCAAAACGTTTGGATAGATGCTCGACAGCAATAAAGTCGCCGGTCATATTAAATGTCGGTAACATGGAAGGACCCAAGCACTAGGGATTTTGAGCGTTAAAACAGTGGGGTGAGGTAATATAAAAGATTTTACAAAACCTACCAGTGTGGTCCCTACAACATATTGATTAAAGCAGTGAATAAAGCAGGCGCCACGAACCAAGTAACTGGCATATTGGAAGATGGGACCAATGTATCGACGCATGGCTCCCTCCAATGGCTGCATTCCTAGATCTTGCGACAAAACCTATTTTTGACTTGGCCGTGAATGTGACTGTTTCCTTGTTCAGTGGGCCTGACTTTTTGTAAGACCAGGGCGAATAAGGCGATCTTGAATTCGAACCACCCAACACTTCCCTGATGACCTTGTTTGCGCTACGCAGCTTTCGTGTCGGAGGCTCGGCGGCGCGTCTGAACCCGACTCGACAACAGCCATTTACAACATCATTAGCGGCTTTGGCCAAACCCAAAACCATGGATAAGAATGCTTATTCCGATACCTTGCTTCTTCCAAAGACCGACTTTCCTTTACGTGCGAATGCAGTCCAACGCGAACACCTATTCCGCGAACGTTGCACCAGTGAGCTGTATCCATGGCAGGTAAGCTCTCTCGGATCGTTCACAAAAAAGCAGCGATCGCCTCGTGGACCCTTCCAATCTAAACTCCCCATCGCCTTAGCTCAAACACAATCCAAAAGACCTGTTCATTCTTCACGACGGTCCTCCATATGCCAATGGCAATTTGCACGCAGGTACGATGAAATAATACGTGGTAGTACTTGGTCTTGAGCTGATGGATCAGAGTCAATATAGGCCACGCGATGAACAAAATTTTAAAGGATATTGTCAATCGTTACAAGGTGCTACAGGGGCACAAAGTTATGTAAGCGCAGATCAGATTCCCTTTTACATCAACCTTGATGTTGAACCATGGACGTAGGTATCGACCGGGCTGGGATTGTCACGGTTTGCCCATCGAGATGAAAGCTTTGGAAGAAATTTTGGTAACACAAGCACAACCAAGCGAATCGAGTTCAGGCAACAGACATTTGAACCAATCACATATTTATAGAAAAGAGGAGCTTTGGCCAGTTTGGCACCGGGAGAAATTCGGCAATTGTCCCGAAAGCGAGCCTTGCGCGAATATGAAAAGCAAAAGGAGGGCTTCATGAGTTGGGGTGTGATGGGCGATTGGGACAATCCGTATCTCACCCTGAGCAAAGACTACGAAGTCCGGCAATTACGACTATTCCTCGACATGATAAAGAAGAATTACATTTATCGACAATTGAAGCCCGTTTACTGGTCGCCTTCATCAAAGTAAGATGGATGATGACGAATGTTGCTGCATACATCGTCATCTCACTGAAAACAAATTTGTTACAGATCGGCTTTAGCTGAATCTGAGTTGGAATATGAAGAGAAGCATGAATCACGATCCATCCATGTCCGATTTCCTTTCACTCGTTTGGGTAGGCTCATCAACTGAATCTGTCTTTCCAAAGTGAGTTATTCATTCATTCTGTTCGATAGCACCGCAAGTGGCATCCTCCTGGCAGAAGCATGTTGACAACAAGACGATTTATGCACTCATTTGGACCACTACGCCGTGGACGATTCCGTCCAACAAGGCAAGTATGAATATCAGGACACTGTTATTTTCTGTGTAATAATGGCTGGAGCTGTAGGCAATTGCTGTTCATCCGCAACTAAGTTACAGTCTGGTTGAAGTTGTGCGAGGTGATCAGGCTGGATGCTATGTCATTGGCACGGATCGTCTACAGAGTCTGTGTGCTGAGATGGGGGTCCCAGATGAAGATGTTCGTGTGCTAGATACAGTACTTGGAGAACAGCTGGTGGGTTCGTCGTATAAGCATCCGCTGATGGGCGGCGTGAGCCCTTTGATTGCTGGAGAACATGTGACGAACGAATCCGGTACCGGCCTTGTTCACACCGCTCCCGGTCATGGTATGGAGGATTACGAAGCATGCATGGCATTGGGAATCGAACCTTTCAGTCCAGGTAACATCTGCTTTTGAGCGACAATAAAATGGATAGCTACTTACGGTGGAGGGGAAAAAAATAAATAGTGGATGATGAAGGGCGCTTTACCAAAGAAGTGGGTCTTGGCTTGGAAGGCAAGTTTGCTTTTACCGAAGGCAACTCGGCTATCATTGAAGCATTGAAAGACGCCGGAAGCTTGGTCATGGAACGCACTTATATCCACAAATACCCCTATGATTGGCGTACGAAACAACCGGTCATGCTTCGGTAAGAGCCAGATTTTGGTAATTTGACAAATGGCGATGTAAAAACGAATTTGTTTGGGTTTCCTGTGGATAGAGCAACAGCCCAATGGTTTGCCAATGTAGAAAATCTTCAAAAAGCCGCGGTGGAGGCATTAGAAGGCGTTCGCATGATCCCTGAAGTCTGTAAGTGAAGAGACGTAACTTGAGATGTACGTGACGTGCCGAGATGTAATATATGAAAATCTAGCTATCCGACGCCTGCAACAGTTCACGTTGTCACGAAAAGAATGGTGTATTTCCCGTCAGCGTTCATGGGGTGTGCCTATTCCTGCGCTCTATGACGCCGGCACGGGCGATGTCCTGTTGACCGAATCTTCCGTGGAGCATATCATTAAACTGTTTGAGGAGCGTGGGTCGGATATCTGGTGGACAGAGAAAGACGATCAAGTGTTTGTCGCCCCGGAATACCGTCAGGATGGCAAAAAGTATAAGCGAGGCTATGATACCATGGACGTATGGTTCGATAGTGGCACTTCGTGGACCATGCTTCGCGATATGCCCGGCCGGTAAGGACACATAGGCAGCCGCTTACACGACAACAACCAATGGACTATTGAATGGATTTATTAGTGATCCCAGCTTACCTGTGGCCGACGTGTATTTGGAAGGCAGCGATCAGCATCGCGGTTGGTTCCAATCCTCCCTGTTGACATCAAGTGAGTCTAGGGCGTAGTTATATCTTTATATCCTACGATTCTGATTGAAACTGTTCAATATAGTTGCCACCACTGGAAAACCCCCATACAGCACCCTGGTGACCCATGGGTTCACGTTGGATGAAAATGGACGTAAAATGTCCAAGAGTCTCGGGAATACGATTGAGCCTAGTTTCATTACTCACGGTGGCAAGGTACGCTGTGAACACTGATTTGTTTCCTCGAATGTCATGGTGATGTAACCGAATGTTTTTCTCTAGGACAAGAAGAAGAATCCTGCGTATGGAAGCGATGTGCTTCGTCTTTGGGTTGCCAGTAGCGAATATACAAAGGATTTCACCATTGGACCTACGGTTATTGGTAAATAATGCTGCTCAACGATTGGAGGGGGACGGAGAAGGAAGGGAGGAAAGATCATCAATCTCATTTGTTGTCTGCAGCACAAGTATCGGATGCCATGCGCAAATTCCGTGTCACTGCCCGATTTTTGCTCGGCAATTTGAACAATTTCTCGGCCAAGGACTGTGTTCCTTACAATGAGTTACAAGAGGTAGAATGACTGGATAAGAAACGAAGATTGGTCTTCCTAACTTTTGATGTGAGCAGGTGGATCGATACATGCTTCATGAGCTTTATCATTTTAATCACCGTGTTACACAAGCCTATGACAACTTTGTCTTTAATCGAGGTAAGCTTCGGATCAACTAGCTTAGTGTTTCTTTCCGTTGCTTCCGGAGAGTGGAGATCCTCACCGTCATCATCCCTAGCCATCCAGCATGTGCAAAATTTCGTCACCAATGATCTATCTGCGTTTTACTTTGATGTGATCAAAGATCGACTCTACAACGAGAAAGCCTTGTCAACTAAACGCCGTATGGCCCAAACCGTACTCTATCACGTAAGTGATACAAATAGCCAGGAACAGGGTCTGTTTTTGGTTTTTATCGACATGTTACTGATGCACCTGACAGATTCTTAAATCCTATACGGCTGCTTTATCACCTGTGGCATGTCATACCGCGGAAGAAATCTATGAAAATTACCGTACAATCACTCATCAACCTGAAACGTCTGTCTTCAAAGCTGGCTGGGTCCCCATGGTAAGTTGTCCGTGAAACCGACTATGGGTCAGATACATTTTTTTCACTCTACAATGAAAATAGGAGAGCGCGTGGAAGAATGATGACTTGGAAGCAAAATATACTCTTTTGAAACAACTGAAAACCGAAGTGAATCAAGTATTAGAAGTGGCTCGCCAAGAAAAGTAAGTCTTTAGGAAATCATTTCTTGTGGTGTTTGATCTGTGGTATTCAGACCGTATGGATAGGGTTTTGCGCACATCACAAGAAGCGGATATCAGCATTGCAGTCGATAGGGAGTCTGCAGTGGGAGAAATGCTTCACGCTATGGATGGTAAGTTAATAAATCATCGAATGTGCGCGAGAATTGAGACGAGCATTTTTTTATAGGATCGGATCTGGCGGGATTATTCCTTACTGCCAATGTGAACGTGTGTGATGCCGATGCATCTATTTCAGGCCAATTTGAAAGAGAAGCTAAATTAGGCAAGTTGTTAGGGATACACATGTTCCAACTGGCATCCTCCTAAACTTCTTGATATGAATATAGATACTACTAAATGCAAGATTCTGGCCCAGAAATCGGCTCATCACAAATGCCCTCGATGCTGGAACTATACAGCCACCGAGACTGACACACTGTGTGGTCGATGCGCTGAAGTTCTCGCTTAAAATATGCATGGAAATAAGAAAAAAAAAAAGGATATCTACAAGTTGTACAATAATAAACAATACCATATTAGACATATTTTTTTTTGCTTTTACTTTTTGCTTCTTTATTGAGTCGCATCTGTGAAATCATGCTAATGTCGAATATGTCCAATGGCAGCCCAGTGAATGGCGCCGTGGGTTTCAACTCGAAAGCTAATCGGTCATCGTCTCGTCCATTCTCAGTCTATGAAGGTTATATAGCAGAAACAAATGTCACTGCTAAATACTGTTAACTGAATTCAACTTACTAGCCCATTTACCTGAATGGCGTCGGGTGATTCAAACGTATACTGTGGAAAAACGAGGCAAGTCAGCCACAGGAGTCATTATTTTCGTACTTTTCCTTTGACCTTGTTTTCAAACCAACCCTCTAGACCTTCAAAAGCAGATAACCGACCAGTTGCAGAGGCTGCAAGACTTGGAGGAACAGTTTGAGCGTATGACGAAAGAGTTTCATGGCAAAGTGGAGAGAGCGTATATACAAATGTCCAAGGAACAGGAACAGGGCGAACAGGCACTGAGAGAAGATGAAAATACATACCAGCGAGAGAAACAGCTGATTTATCAAGTGAAAAAGCATCAGTCAGAAAAGGTTCGATTGAACGTTGGTGGACAATACTTTGAAACTTCTCTATCGACTTTGAGACGTGATCCAAACTCGATGCTGGCGGCCATGTTCAGTGGTAAACCCAACACAATAACACGATCGCATTCAATTTTCTTACTAAAAATGGGCACCAAAAGAATCCCGCACATTAGTGCCTGATGTCGACGGATCGTATTTCATCGATCGAGACAGTACCTATTTCCGCCTGGTGCTTAATTATCTACGGGATTTAAAGGTAAAAATCTATTGGATGAGAACAGTTTTTGCTACTGCGACCCTATTGATTACGCTTTAGATACCGGCGAGTGTGAAGGAAGATCCAAAAATGTAAGCTATGACTAATATGCCCTAAAAAAAAGAGTCCATCTGATGTTCACCCTGACATTGCAGTCTTGACGAGTTGATGCAGGAAGCCAGGTTTTATCGCCTTAATGGTAAAAGAAAAAAATATAGAATCCGTTGTGCTGCCAATTTCCAAAAGCTGAAAATCGAGCTAAATGACGGTCGCTTTTTCAGACCTGCTAAAAACACGATGGATGGACCTTCCCAAAATTTCACAAGGTGCATGATGAGAGCCCACGCTTCAGTGCAAAAACAAACATGGAAAGCTAAAATATTTGAATTTACTTGGTAGAGGAGTTGAATGCTTATTATCACCGTCAGGAATCGCTGGATAAATCGCAAAACGTTATTTTCCGATTTGAGAAAAAGGATCTTTCAGGGCTCGATTTCTCGAATTTTCGCATTGATCCTCGATCAAGTTTTGCTGACAGCAACCTGGAGAATGCTACATTTGTTAATGCGGTATTCAGTTTTGACTTTGAACACCAGACAAATTTTCGGAACGCTTATCTGGTGAATACACGATTCCCTGAACCGGGAAGTTCTCAGCGGGCCCCAGGTAAATATCAAATACTCAATAACATGGTTGACAACACACAGCAACTCACAGCGACCAGGGATCGAGTTTGATCTAGAAGGAGCGTTTTTATGAGCCAAAAGACGTGCTCAGATACCTTGTCCAGGTTCCAGATAACATGGTCATTGATTTTTGTGGAAAAGATTAAAAAGATTATTTGTATCAATCCTTCATCTCAGATGTTGAGCTGTTAGATTCTCTCAATTCACTGTAATACAGTATGGGCGATATTTAGTAGGCACGCAAACAAGACTTGATTTTTTGAACAGTGACGAATATATCAGAGTTGACATGTAATAAAAAAAATGAGGCAGGTATCATACTGTAAATTGCCAACTTCCTACAATACACGGATTGAACGCTTAGGATGCACATTTTCCTCGATTGCTGCGGACGGGAGAAAACAAAAAGAATTCTCGTGTTATTCTAAATTTTTAAACCAATCTCGGTAGATCCATAGCAGACAGCATAAGGATCTGCTGCAACTAGTCTGGAATAGAATCTAATCCAACTACACTTGACGATATACGATATGCAATGCCGGCAGACCGGGAAAAGTGAAAGTACCCGGCCGGCTTGGAAATTGTTTCCGATTAATAAACCATCATTTGAATCCAAATTCTATAGGCTATATCACAGGTCCAACTGAAAATCTCATAAAAAATTAGACCAGCTAATCTATATATCAAGAGCTTGACCTTAAGAAGCAAGACGTTGAAAGGAGAAAGACTTACTCTGTGCAATTGCTCACCAGAAGGCACAAAAACCTGATTGTCGCTACTTGATTGGTCAATGACGTCATCCCTCTCATTCGATCGCTCGCTTGCTCTTAGGCTGCCGCGAGACATTTTTGGAAGAGCTTTATCTTTGGCTTTTTTCTTTCTACGTCGCTTGATCACACACTAAATCCAAGCAAGCATGTCTGGAGTTTTACCACCTGATAAAAAGCAACTACGTGCTTGTCTTTTATGTTCATTAGTAAAGGTACTCCATACCAGTATGCAACCGTCGATAGAGGCCGTGGGTGCTCACCTACTATACCATTAGAATGCTGCACAATTTCGACAATCCGGTTGTGAGAATTGTGAAGATCTCCTTGGCATGCGAGGTAGCATGGATCGAGTCGCAGAATGTACAAGTTCCAAATTTGAAGGGTAGGCGGAGGATTTGAAAAAGCTTCTACGTTGAGATCTATTTGAACTCACGATTACATTCAGGGTCATTGCTATGATGCAGCCTCAAGACAGTTGGGTGGCAAGGTGGCAACGTATTGGTATGTTGAATGGATGAACGAATTGGGAATTTGTGGTTGGTTCTAATTTGATGTGTGCAGAGAAATTTACAAGAGGTGTATATGCCATTCGAGTGTATGGCAGATTACCTGAAGATGCGGAAGACGACCTAGAACGACGTGGGATTTATTATCGACCAAGAGACGGCAGTGTGCAAGACTAAAGTCACTCTTTTTCACTGCTTGTGGAACGCAAGCGCCCCTTTCCCCCTTCTTTTTTTTTTGTCAATGTATAGTTATTTTTTTTTTCCTTTTTTTTTCATTTGATAGAAATGTCTCGACCAGCATCCCTTTTGAAGATCACCTAATGAATCACACATGTTACCTGTCACCCGTGGAAAAGTTTATTACCGCAGGCAAAAGAAATTGAAAGCAAAATGATGTGCATCTCAAAAGGGATGATATGTTTTGCAGAAGGGAAACTGTGTGTCACTTTTTCACCCTACTCCCCTTATTATGTAAGTCAGATCGACCGACGTCCATCCAAGAAAAAGAGATAGAGTCGACGATCGTATCACCTTGGCCCTGAGATAGAAAATAAACTTGGATTTGTACTCGATATGAATCAAGATCAAAGCGTACTATTTTTACTTTACTTGATGATGATGACCGATTATGTGAAAGAAATAACGAAAAAAAAGAAGTGATGAAATAAAAACACTATTTGACAAAAAAACAAAGAAAAAATAACTAGCATCCTACAGCATCGCCTGCATGCTGTTGGAGTTCGTGCTGTGATTGAGAGGAGGGTTGAGAGGAAGATGGAGGTGGTGGTGGTGGTTGATGATGAGGATGAGGATGAGGTCGCCAATGATGCATCGCGTTGTTACTGTCATGGAAAGAATGATCCATCATATAACCAGGGGTTCGCATGAAATCGACAAAAGCAAGTGAATTGGGACCTCCGTTGGACCCACTGACGGCGGAGTTTGGTGGCGGCATCTCAGATGTTAGATGATGATGGTAGCGCGATCCACGACGTTCATGCGTTTTCAGATGTTGAGTCAAGTTATCTGAGCGAGAAAACGACTTTTGACAGCCGGCATAGGTGCATTGAAAAGGTCGTTCGGACGTGTGGATGCGCATATGTCGCTTCAAATGTTCCAGACGCTTAAACCGGCGTTGGCAGTTGGGGTGAGTGCAGACATGTTGTTTTTCATCCTGCGAGGGGGATTCGGCTGCATAGGGTTCAGGTGGATTCGGACTGTAATGGTTGATGAATCGGTCGTTGGCATTAGTGGAAAGGGTGGAGGGGGAGTCCAACTTGGATGGCACAGGTAACGTAGGGTAATAGGAGGGGGAATTATAATAGGATGCAGGTGAGTATGGATTGCGGTGAGAAAGGTGAGCGTGTTGTTGATGGGGAGATGACGGTTGTGGTTGTTGATGCTGATGTGGATGAGAGTGGGGGTGAGGATGTTGTTGCTGTTGATGGGGTGATGGTTGAGATTGTGAAGCTTGGGAATAGTGGTTTGATGATGCCAAGAGATCCGACGGTTGCTTCAAATCTTCTGTCATCATGGCAACTGAAGCAGGTCGATGCATAAAATGATCTCTGTAAGGGGAAAAGTGACGGGGAGGGTTTTGCTGTGCTGAAAGATCCATTGCACCAGCTTCATTTTTTTGCTCAGGTAATTGTTGCTGTTGCAGTTGTTGATGATGATGCTGCTGGTGCTGGTGATGCTGGTGCTGGTGATGTTGTTGTTGTTGTTGCTGTTGTTGTTGTTGTTGTTGTTGTTGCTGTTGGTGATGCTGCTGCTGTTGACCCAATGCCTTTTTTGCATGAGTACGGTAGTGGGCGTGAAAATTATCGGATCGGCTGAATCGTTTGCCACAACCAGGGTAAGGGCACACATGTCTTCTTTCACCAGTGTGAACGAGCATATGGCGTTTAAGATGTTCGTATCTTTTAAAACTCCAGCCGCAATGCGGATAGTTGCACATGTGCTTATTCTGTTTGTTAGGTTGCTTGCGTGTGCCTGCAGTTGAGGGTGTACGTTCAGAGAAGGACATGGATCGTTTCTCGACCGGTGCCCAGTAAGGGTTGGGTGTGTGGTTGTCAACGGAATAAGAAGAAGGACGACGATGATCGATGGGACGACATACATAGGGTGTGTCACTCATGGTACTGAATTTGCGTTGACCATTAGGGGAGAGGGCGGGTGTAAGAGGTGGCGACACAATCTGCCGTGGATAATGATGGGCGGTGGAATCCATGGATAAGGATATAAAAAAAAATGGGGGAAAGAAAGAGTGTCCGTTCGAGATAAAGCACGCTGCTCAATTTATGGCACGACCTAATAAACTTTTTTTTTTCTTTTGTCGCCTTCCATTTTGTAAATGCGATCGACCTAAATGTGCTTCGTAAACTAATATAGTTATATTGATTCAATAGGTTGCATAAGATCGATTTCAAAACGACCCTCAGCCGTGCTCCCCAATGCCTCCTTATTTCTGTTTTTACTTGCAGCATCTTTTGCATATTTCGCCATTTCTAATCATGTTTGTTCCCTTCGTTTTGCCCCGCCTCCTCAAAAGGTCTTTTTTATCGCTTTCCACACAGCTTGCACGGATCATCAAGCCAAAGCGTCTTCCACCGTAAGGGGCACCAACGAAAAGAGGTTAGAAGGGAAAAAAAAAAAGAAAAAAGAAAAACAAGGGACAGATGGACGAAAAGGGGGTTCTTGGAGTACGAAGAAGGAAAACGACAGATCATCTTTTTGTTGATACAAAGTTTTTTTGGGGGGATTATTTGTATGTCAATCTATGTTTTTTTTCGCGGCAAATCGATTACGGTGGAAAAGAACTTTTTAGCATATGAATGAGGTGTACTGTAGGATGAACCATATAGCTCTTTGCTTGTTTTTTTTTTCCATCTCACCATGTCTGTCCCACTCCTATACTCTACAGTACCAACTTTTTTTTTTCTTCAGTTGTTCTTCCCCTTCATCTCCGTAATTTTTTTTTCTTTTCAATAAGGTGAAAAGGTAAAAAGAAAGACGTACCCCTAGATCAAGAAGCTCCTGCATATTCTTCGACCTCCTTCTCCGCTACGACTGTAAATGAAGAAAGCAAAAGAAGAGGAAAAAAGCCAAAGTTAAAGCCCTTCTCCCTCTTTGTATCCAACCGTAAAATGCTTCCATTTGCGTCTCCGATGTCTCTTACAGCAACTCCTTTTTTTCCAATGGACTTGTCATGAATTCAAAGTCTGTTATCACTTCATAGTTCACTCCATGGCTGATAAGAGAAAAAAAAATCCTTTTTCTCCAGTTTTAGTCTTTGGGACCCCTTATTCTCCCTTGTTTTTTTTTCTTGATTCCCCCTTTTTAGGGGTTAGTTCTTTTATTTATTCATATACGATACAGCCAAAAGGATTTTTCAAGATTCCTTGTGACAACTTGTGATTTGTCAAAGTGATGTCATGAGAAATATCGAGATCCATGCGCATGGTTCCAGATCCGGGGTTCACCACCCATCAACGATCATCACCCTCCAATGGGGTAAGTATGAAGGATGGGTGTTGCATCACGATGATGTCGACTTTTTACTGGGATCATGTAATAAAGGACAGACTTGCCAAAGGGGTTTTAGACAGATCGCATACGTGCCAAGGGGGACCGCATCCGATAGGAGCTATCCAAAAAAAGGGGAAATGAAAAAGACGGGATGACATAAAAAAAAAGTTATGCTTAGATTCAGTGCATGCCATGATCCGTCAGCATCCCTGTTTTCCTTGTTCCTTTTGGTAACTTGGTACGAAGTAAGTCGTCGCCCTATGTTTTCCTTTTTTTTTTTTTTTTTTTTTTACGGTGTCTTTTTTTTTTTATTTCTCCTCGTTCATGTTGTTGTTAAATCACGCAAATACGTTTGGCATCATATTGACCCCTGGGTACCTTGGAACCCACCGATAAGAAAAAAAACAACTACCCAAAACCCAAGATCATGGTATCCAGTCCAACGGGTGGGTTTCATTCAATTGTTTTATTGATAAACAAAGCCACAATCAAACATGGCAGAAGGCGTAAATTAGACTGAATACTCTGAATGGATTCCAAAACATCAGAAAATAACCCTAACCTGCGTTTCCAAGCCCAAAGAACGCGAAAGAACATACAGTGCAAGATCAACACGATCTCTTGGCCATTGTGACGTCGGGTCATCAAGTTGACGTGGAACAAGTGAAACAAAAAAAAAAAAAAAGTGGCAGCCCAAACAATTAAAAATTCGATGGCGCCATCGACTCCCTTTATTTTATTCTCTTGGTTACTATGAGTTCCTATCCTCCTGAATTATCCACAAACCAGCTGGACTTTCTGCGTGATACTGCGACTGACTGGGCCCTTGCGCACGGTCTCGTGGTCCGTCCAACCGCCGACAAACAAGTGCATTTCTCCAACCACGCCGCCGTCATTCACGCTCCCTTTGCCTTATACCCTACCCCTTTCCCGCGGACCGAATTCGAAAAGGCCAAAGGTTTGCAGCAAGCATGGAACCTTCTCATTCACAAAATGAGCCAAGACGACGACCTCATTCACGAAATCATGCAAACGTAAGCCCATGTGTAATGACCGTCCCCCACCCTCCTGTTATGCATGCCTGACATGAAGCCCCATGCTATGCTTCTAGATTGTCCAACGTGGATTCGTTCATGGATAATCTCTATCAGATCTACTGCAAGGTGCGAAAAGAAGGTGTTGCTCAGGTACGTTTTGTTTTTTTACTGTTGCCATAGCGTTTTTATGCACAGGCTCGTTTTTCTCACGTTTGGATTAGTCAGCATCCCTTGGTATCCACCGCTGTGATTATTTATTGCACACACCTCAAGGCGCGAGTGCCAGAACGGCTCGCATCCAACAAGTCGAGTTCAACACTGTTTCTGCGAGTTTTGGCAGCTTATGTTCTCGAACGAGCGAGCTTCACAAATACCTTCACGTGGCTGTGGATAATTATGCGAACGGGATGATCAAACTCAACCAACTTCCAGACAATCGAGCCATTGACGCTTTGGCCAACGGCTTGGCTTGTGCTTGGAAGGTGTACGGAAAACCAGAGTAAGTTGACACACATAACCTATGTCGTTGGATGACTCCATATAAACTGAAAATCTTCATCACTTTTATTTTAGTGCCCGAGTGCTGATGATCGTTCAAGGCGGTGAACGCAATATTTTTGATCAACGCTGGATCGAATACAATTTATTAAAAGTGTAAGTTTGTTGTAAATCTGCGTGGATCTATGCGCGGCAAGTCCTTATTCCTTTCTTATCTTCTTTTTTGTAGTCACGGTATTCGTATGATGCGTCGCACCATGGGCGAGGTGCATGCCACGGCTACCCTTGATCCTACCACCAAAGCTTTGATCATGCAAGTATACGCTTTTTGTTCAACAAGCTTACAGAGTCTAATGAGATTATTACAGTGATGGCCATGAAATTGCAGTGTCCTATTACAGAGCGGCTTATGGGCCAGAAGATTTCTTTGGTCCAGAGGTAAGGAAACACAGAGGGGTGGGGTGGTTTGATTACGGAAAAAAAAAGAGATAAAAATTCATCTGCGCGTTTGTTGTAGGAATGGGAAGCACGGTTAACCGTGGAACGATCGGCTTCGATCAAATGTCCAACTGTTGCGTACCAGCTTGTGGGTGCCAAAAAAGTGCAGCAAGTGTTGTCAGTGCCTGGCCGTCTTGAACGTTATGTGGATAAGTATACGGCGGATCTTTTGCGAGAATCGTTTGCTGGTTTATACCCGCTCGATAATTCTCCCGAAGGAATCAAGGCTTACCAAGCGGCGATGGAAAATCCCGAGAAATACGTGTTGAAGCCGCAGCGAGAAGGAGGAGGTCATAATTTCTACGGAAAAGAGATTGTGAATGTTTTGAACAAGTTGAGCGAGGAAGAACGTAACGCATACATCTTGATGGATTTGATTCAGAGCCCTCCGTTGCAGAATTTGATGGTTCGTGAAGGCGAAATCATTAAAGGCGACGTGATCAGTGAATTGGGCATTTACGGTATCTACGTACAGTAAGTGATACAAAAAAGATTCTCAATCGTTTGTCCCTCCCCACTGATCACTGTCATTATTACACTATCTAGTGACGGTGAAAATGAAGTGCATAATGAAATCGGAGGTCATTTGCTGCGTACCAAGGCCCATAATACCAACGAAGGCGGCGTGGCGGCCGGATTTGCGGTCATTGACAGTCCTCTTCTTATCGACTAGGCACTTTTTTCATCCCATATCCAAAAAAGTTTTGTAACCCCACTATCCATGATCCGACTGCTAACTAACCAGGTGATAAAAACCATCTTTGGATGATAATCATTCTTGGAACAAGAACAACCAAGCTCATGTAGATCAGATGATAGAAGAAGGCAACTATTGTATCCATGCAACAGGAATTTATTGTCTTGTCAGATGGAATATAATCACACAGAGAGGGGAGTAAAACACAAGAATGAGGTGCAAAGAAAGGGCTTAAAGAACCGATGGGATCAAGAAAACGAGAAAGGACAGCAGTTGACGCACAGCAGGGTGGGGTCGATCGGACTTGAACTGTTATCAGATGTAAATCATGTTTGATGGATCCAATCCCCCTGACCCTCAAAAAAAAAAATGAATGGATAAAACGGCTGCGTTATCCGATCGGTTTTCCTGATTTTCCCTGTAACTGTCTGTGTGGGACCGTGCGATGAGTGTGCAAAGTTCATTTCATTGGCTGCAGGGTTGAATATCCGAAAACCATCTGATTGTCATTGGACGTCTTAATCAAATTCGTCAAACCGGACCGGGGAGTTGCGGTCCAAAACAATTCGCTCGGCTCAAAGGGCAAAGGTGACGTGTCCGGAAAAAAAGGGGTGGAAGGCTTTTTAAAGCGCACCTCATTCGGATATGACGTATCACGTACTTTGTTCTTTTTCTCAAGAAATACAGTTTCGAATAGAAAGCATAACATGGTAAGTATCATTACACATTGTTGTCACTGAGTTTATCGCGTGTTACCCATCGGACGAGTAAAACTAATCCCAGATGAACAAAGGCTGACCAGTTGACTGAAGAACAAATTGCCGAGTTCAAGGAAGCTTTCTCTCTTTTCGACAAGGACGGCGATGGTGCCATCACCTCCAAGGAACTCGGTACTGTCATGCGATCGCTTAACTTGAATCCCACCGAAGCTGAACTGCAGGATATGGTACTCGACTCATCTGTTACAACCTCATCTGTGGAACTGCTCTTATTGACGGGTTTCTTTCTTGTTAGGTCAACGAAGTCGACAGTGACGGTAACGGCACCATTGACTTTAGCGAATTTTTGACCATGTTGGCAAGGTACAAAGATAGTCTGAACTTCTATGACCTTGGCACCGTGACTAATAGATAGGTGAATGACAGAAAAATGAAGGATACCGATTCTCAGGAGGAGATCCAAGAAGCTTTCAAAGTGTTTGATAAGGATGGTAACGGTTACATTTCGGCCGCTGAATTGCGCCACGTTATGACCTCCCTTGGTAAGTCGTCGAGTGTCTGGGAAATCAAGAAGAAAAAAATGCCAAGAGTTTATCTTTCTCAATCACTAACCTTCGGTTGTCTTTTGAATAACCCCATTCTATCTTTTTTACCTTTTGGTTTTGTTTTTTTCTGTTCCTTGGGTTCTTTTCCTTCTTCTCTTGTTTCCTTATGACGTGCAGGTGAGAAACTGTCGGAGGAAGAAGTCGATGAGATGATCCGCGAAGCAGACGTTGATGGCGATGGTCAGATCAACTATGAAGAATTCGTCAAGATGATGGTAAATATGTCTTACTTTGATACAAAGACAACATGAGACAAGCATTCTAAAACCTTCTTTTCATGTGTGCAGATGTCCAAATAAAAATAAAAAAAAACCGGTGTGCATACCTTTTGTGATTCTAGCCAATGAAATTACAGCTTTGTTTTTCGCTTTTCCAATTTTATCCGTGGTGCGAGATGTGACTTTTTTTGTGAGCCAAAAAAAAAAAAAAGGAAAAGGCACTTGCGTGATTGGCCCTGATTATTGAGTGAACACTTTATCATTTGTCCCTCTCTCCCCCCACTTTTTGTTTCCTCTTCCACCCTTTCGAAATTATGCGTGCCTACGTTTTTGAAAACAGCGATGCCGATCAGCGCGAAGCTCATGACAGCGGCGTGAACAAGTCTTTGGAAGATTTAAAGGCCGTCGGTGTCCTTTATTGGCATTTCGACGGTCCCGATGCTTTGGATCAGTTGAACGCTTTAGCCAAAGAACGCAATTATAAAAACAGAGACGAAGTAAATTTCGAGCAACCCTAAAAGATAGACCCGGCATTCTGAAGCTCAACGAATTGTGCATTAGATTACAGTGTCTCCCAGTGCTTTGGGCGCCGTGTACGAAGAAAAAGTGAAGAGTTTCTTTGCCGAGTAAGATAACGTCCCGCCTTTTCGACACACTTTACAATATCTCATACTCCAACGGTAGGCATCTTCATGAAGATGAAGAGATTCGATACATTTTGGACGGTTCCGGCTATTTTGATGTCCGTGATAAAGAGGATGTTTGGATTCGCATTTACATGGAACGCGGCGATATGATCATTCTGGTAAAAATAAAAAAAATCCTGCAATGACTTTCTTTTTCTTCGTTCCTTGATTTCCCGTTTTGCTCATCGTTTCTTTTCTTTAGCCCTCTGGAATCTATCATCGTTTTACCACTGATACCAATAATTACATCAAAGCGATGCGACTATTCAAGGAAGATCCTCTGTGGACCCCCATTAACCGTGAGTTGAGATTTGTCTAATAGATCAATCACATCGTACTAATTGAGATATTTAGGTCCATTGGCCGACGATAACCGTTATCGACAGGAGTACCTCAAAATGGTTGGTGCTGCCACCCAATAAAGTTTAAAACTGTATTTATTTTACATCAGCCGAAATCAAAAAAGGAAAGGCTTCTATAGCACATCGCTCAGATCCACTTCCTGATATTTTGTACTGTGCTCTTCCCTTCGTCGCTGAAGATAGAGAATGGTGTCGCGGAAATGACGACGAACATAATCAGGGACTTCTTCGTGATGATCAATCAGAGATGAGGAGCTGGAAGTAATGGGGTGCTGATCAGGATCATCCATATTGCTGAGATTGGTATTGATCAGATCAATGAGGCCGTTCAGATATTTCACCGTCACCTAAAAACAAAAACAGTTCTCCATCAGTCATCGCTGAACCATTTCTCTTTTTTTTTTCGCTTTTGGATCACTCACCGCCTCATTGCCCTTTTCAAAGTAGTAAATATAGCGATTGAGAATTTCAACAAATAGCTCAACGTTTGTCACGGCATCCATGCAACTGTCAGCGATCTTTAATGCTTTCTGCAAGCATTCGAGGGCCTTTTTACCGTCTCTGAACAATTCCTTGTCTTCCTCGGAAAACGCTTCGCCTGACGCCTCGGTCGCCCACCACAAGTGCGACGACATGTACACGGCACGACACTGGTCCGGTTTCTTCATCAGCTTGGAGCTGTGCAATGCTGCTTTGGTGATCAGTGTGTCGTAGTTGTTGGCAGAGAACACGCGAGTTTGCTGGAGCGATCCGACAATACACGAGATAGCTTGGAATTGGGCTTTGGATTCACTGATGGATTCCTCGTAGATGGTGAATGCTTCCACAAAGAATTCGTAAGCGATTTCTTCAAAACCACATTCATCCGCACTTTGGCCAGCTAGTAAGAACAAATGCAAGCAAATTTCGGCATATTCGCATCGTCGATGCAGTGTCGAAATCACCTGGTGAATGAATCGGAAGAGAGTCGATGTCTTCTTTTCCCACACTTCATCCTGTTGGGGCCCATCGAAATTGAGTAAAAGTTAAAATAACATCTCAAGTAATCACCGTTCTACCTTTTCTTCTTGCACCTTGTATCGTCGGGCAAGTTTCACCGCTTCCACAATCAACGAAGGGAATGTGTATCGAATACGTTGATCACCATCGGTAAATTGTTTTCTGGCCGCTGACAGCAGCTAAGGAACCCAGTTAAGTAAAAGTTGAGGGCGACTTGATTGACTCACTGATACTTACAAGGAACTGTGTATCTTCATCGTCGGATTTGAACAAGTGGACGACCTTGGCCATCCACCCTTGCTCCTCTGCGTACTCTTCTTTTTCGAGATTCAAAAAGTCGGCTCTTCCACGACCGCTGTCAAATGCCGTACTGGCGCTGGGAGGCGTATCTTTTTGATCGCGGATCAAGACCTCACACAGATCCAAAATGCCATGCACATCTTCCGGGGTGGAAATCACCGTCTGATTCTTGAGGATACTCAGAACAATGGCATGGGCTACGGCACGGCGCGTATTGTAAGGCTGCAATGTCAATAATGGGTGATAGTGATTCAGGGAGAGCAGGGTCAAAACCGAAGCGTAATGTGTGATCGGTGCTTGCAACAAGGCTAAGAGGTTGCTTTCCGTCGTCTTGGTATGAAGATCAGGAGACTCGGCGTATTCAAGCGTCTTATCGCGGGCATAAGCCATGATCTGATCGACGTAGTCGAGCTTCTCGGGATAACACGACAACGAAAGATTCACCAACGACACCAACAGAGCCGTCAAATCTTGAATCGTCAAATCAGGACGTGCCTATTATATTGGAATGAGTAAGTGTCCCCTGCCCAACGTTCACCCATTCATGCAACAATATTCCAATGACTTTTTTGTTGGGTCTTCCACTTTACCTTTACTAATTCGACAATTTGACCCCAGAAAACGACAAACAGCTCAACATCCTCTGGGATACCACGGATCTTTCGTACAGTCGTGGTTTCTCGAGTCTCCTTTTGAGGAACTTTGGGCGCTTCGTCTTTTTCGGCCGTTTCGCCAGCTTCTTCCTTGATTTCTTCCGCTTCTTGTTCCTCTTTTTCATCTTCCTTTTCCTCTTTATCAAGCTGGGCCTCGACTTCCTCTTCGTTAGCCTCCTCTTCATTTTCCTTGGAAGTGTCGTCGGCCTTTGTTTCACCAAGTTCGCCTTCTTCTGTTGGCTCTGCTTTCGGTTCCGAGGGGATGACCTCCACTGATTCTTCGGTTTCGGCTTCGCGCGACGCATAAGCAGCGAGACGATCAATAAGGGAAATGATGATCTGTTTCACATTGACCTCCGAGTGCAGTTGCGCGGTGGCGGACAAGAAAGGTTGAAGCGTACGTAAATGGAATTCATCAGGGAATACCTAACATCCACTAATTAGCTATTCCTCTTTTCTTCTTTTTCATCGCCACACTTGCCAGGAGTTTACCTGAGTAATCACTTCCATCAAGTATTCTTGAGCAATCACATCTCGACAGCTGACAACTTGGTCCAGGATACCGGGCAAAATATGCTGCAAGACACACACAAATAATTATAACGAGTCAGTAACACAGACTTTCATGGTTCAAATGGCGTGTAATAAGTGCTTTCTATACCTTTTGATACATTGGGAGATCCACTCCGTCCAACTGACTGAGTCTCACGAGGTTGGTGCCGACCAGGATACGCAATTCTTTGCGCTCAGCTTCGCGTTTCTCCCGATCGCGAGAATGACCCTGATGCTGAAGTCGAACCCAAAGCTTATTCATTTCCGTGAAATTGCTGAGAATAAAACTAATTGACTCGTACACATTGCCCTGAGGTCTACAGAAAAAAAACCGCTTTTCTCAGTAACGTTCTTCCAGTCCATGGGTAGGTGAATAAAAGAATCGTTACCCTGTTTCTTCACCAAGAGGGAGATAATCGCGAGTCAAACCGCTGAGATAGTGTCTGAGGAAGAGACCGCGAATCGGGTGTTGAACGCCTCGTGCCATTTCCATCATGTCGCGCATAATCTCTCGAATGGGAGCGTCGGGAACACTCATGTAGGCTGATCCCACGGTAATCATCAGGTAGAGACGAGGCACAATATTACCCGCATATTGTACAAGTTCATATAAGTCGGCGAGATGATGACGTCCCGATGTATGTGCTTCGGTCAGGTAGATGGACAAATGACGAAGGGCATCGAAAACAGCCATATCTATTGGTGCCCACCGTCAGTATTTTCTTTCTCACGGTCTATAAGACTCCTCAGGTTGCATACATAATTCATAGTAGTTTTTCGGGGTCAGCGAGGATGTGCGCAATTCCGCAAGCATATTCGAGCAGTGCTTCAAGCCATCCATCAGTTTGTTGTTTTCCTAATCCCATTTATTTAATGGTCAGTTACAAGACGAGTTTGCACGAACAAAGATATTCTGTTACCAAGCACTTGCGCATATGGTGCGACTGCACTTTAACGTTGTTCAAGACTTCATCGAGTAGCCTCGCTTGATCCTCCATTGGCGCAGGGCTATTAAGCAAAGCACTCATGTTTGGTTCAGTTCTCTGAAACGGTTATTCGAGTACTGGGGAAAAAAAGAAGCAAAAAAGATAAGAGAAGATATAGCTCGAGCCAAATTTTCCAGAGTCTATGGACAATAGAAACGTTAATAGAAAAAAAGGTCTTGGACTCAACCCCCACTTTACAATCAACCCAGCTATTTTAATCGCCACTTGAAAATATAGGCATTGACGTCATTGAACAATGCTTATGTGGGTGGGATTGTGGAAAAAAAAGCATTGTTGCCAATATATTGGATATGCCATATGATTCGAAAGGTCAACCTGGACGCCATCGTCCACTGTTAGAATTGAATGCAGTTTTGAAGAAAAATGTAAACGGACGCCGGCCTTGCTCTTACGGTAATTTGCCTCACATACAGCGGTGCAACGTTATCGATTTGGCCAGGTATCTTCATTGTCCGTAGCTCAATGCTTCCTGATACAACTGACAAGAAGAGAAGTGTATTGGGAAGTGCTGTATGGTAGGATGATTATGCTAACACAGATATGCGCCGTGCGACATTAATGGCCTTGCACGCTAACGTCGATTTTACAGTGCTTCCCGTAAACAATGTCACAGCCAATCAAAATCAATTTCATATTTTTATAAAAATAAAGTCACTCCTAGTTTTTGCTTGGAAATCATGTCGCGATTCTTGGCACCCGAATAATATAAATAGAGAGCAAGTTACTGAAGAGAATGATGGTCCTGAGTCCATGAACTACATTGTTGATAAGATTGAATCCATTATTGAGACTATTGCTACTCATACAGGATACTTGGGAAAAGCAGTCTCAAGTAAATCTTTCTCTGACTTGTATATGATGAAAAGCATGGCACATAGCAAAAAGGCTAGATTCCTTCAGTGGTCCCCATGGAATATTGGTTCCACACCAAACAACAAAAAATACAACTTGTCATACACCCACAATACGAAACAATCGATCTCGAAAAACGTCTGAAGGATAACCAGACACCTACGCGACCAACCAAACGCACGCGAAAATAACATCCCAAAAAGATAAGTGCCTATCTGAACGGTTATACACAACCTAGGAGTGGGTAATGTGGTATATCCACTACTTGTCGTATTATCCATCCTAAATTGGTGCTCTCAAACAAGAAAGATCGGGATTTAGACGTGGGTCCATTCTAGGTGAGCTTCTCCGTTAGAACACCAATTGACCCTCTTCATCCATAACCTAAATGTATCACCGAGATCCGTTCATACCGGTGAAGCTATCATATGTGGGTCTGTCCAGTATACGTTATAACCGAGGATTTCTCACTGATACATATCAATTCCGACTCAAAACTACAAGTATCAATAGACAAATCACATCAATCGAAATAATCTATATAATTAAAATCTTTGAAAAATCTATATAATTAAAATCTTTGAAAATTAGCAATTTGTAAATCACATGACTTGCACACTAAGCTATCGGAACCTTTTTTTTGTGCCTTCTCTCTTCAGAACCTCTTATTATTCTTTTTTTTTTGTGCCTTCTTTTCTTCTTCAACTACACTAAGCTATCAGAACTTCTTAATATCTTTTTGCAATACACCAAGTCATTAGAATCTCAATTCTTTCGATTCTTTCGATTGGTGCCTTTTTTTTTGTTCATCTTTGAACCATGCCTCGCTGCCCATCTTGCAACGGCAACGATCACCAGCGTTCTACCAATCGTCGTTGCCCAAATTTCTCTCCACGAAACACTACTATAAATAATGGGCGAAACAATGAGCAGCAAAATGCGGTTTGCACCAGTTGTGGTCAAACAGGACATCGTCGTCGCTCAAACCGCCATTGTCCCCTTCATAATCAAGACGGAAATACAGAAAATTTCACCAATGTGGCTCGCGATCCCAATGTCTCGATGCCAAATCTTCATAATGTAGGAGCCATGAATGTCATCTGCAGCCACTGTCAGGCACGAATGTGGAGTGGAGAAAAAACTGCTGGAAGTACTATGAATGATCCTAAGTTTCAGCTCTGTTGTGGAAATGGTCAATTTGTACTTTCTCCTCTCAAACCCACCCCTCCTTTGATTGCCTCGCTTTTGACAGGGACTGGGGCGCAAGCAAAAGATTTCCGGCTCAAGATCAGAGCTTATTGTAGTGCTCTCAGTTTTACTTTTCTTGGTGTAAATTTAGACAAAAGTGTAATGAATGGCAGACGGGGCGCTTACTGCTTCCGTATTCATGGAAGTGTTTACCACTTGATGGGATCGCTACTTCCTGCTAATGGCCAACGACCTGCATTTGCACAAATATACGTCCATGATACTGACAACGAAATATCAAATCGACATGCAATTGCAAGCCATCTCGCGCGAGACACCTTGGAAGTACTTCAGCAATTAATGCATGAAACCAATCCTTTCGTCCATCTTTTCAAGACAATGGCCCAATACATAGAGGATAATGGTGGTGCTTCCAACATCAGAATGATTATTCGAGCTGACGATGCCCCAGATCCACGACGCTATAATGCACCAAATGCTTCTGAAATTGGTGTCATTATCGGTGCAAACGCAGAGTCCTCTGGAAGGGATATTGTGATCTGTACGCGTAGTAACCAACTGACATCAATCAGTGAGATGCATCGCCTGTATGACCCACTCCATTACGTGCTGATGTTTCCTGAAGGCGACCCTGGGTGGAACATTGAAACTCGATCGACCAGAAACGACAGAGTCACCGTGATGAACTACTACAGTTTCAGATTGATGTATCGAAATGATGGACACCACTTGCACCTCTTTGGCCGACTCTTTCAGCAGTATATCGTAGATATGTATGCCAAGATGGAACAAAACCGCCTCAATTACCTTCGCCTCAACCAGTCCCGACTGCGTGCTGATGTGTATTCAGGCGTACAAGATGCTCTCCAACTTGACGACAACAATATGAATATGAATTCCATCGGTCAGCCTGTCATCCTTCCGTCGTTATTCATTGGCAGCCCTCGAAACATGCAACAGCTGTACCAAGATGCAATGAGTATCGTCAGATGTTTCGGAAAGCCTGACCTCTTCATTACATTCACGTGTAATCCAAAATGGCCAGAAATTCGGAATGAGCTTCTTGCTTCACAGACAGTATCTGATCGGCCAGATTTGACAGCACGAGTTTTCAACCTCAAGCTCAGAGCTCTTTTGAAGGATCTAACAAAAAACCATACACTTGGAAAAGTAATTGGCTACGTTTATGCCGTCGAGTTCCAGAAAAGAGGATTGCCTCATGCGCATATTCTACTCATTTTAAAAGAAGCTGATAAACCTGTGACGCCAGAGCACTACGATTCTATCGTATCGGCGAAGATACCTGATCCACAGCAGTTCAAATGAACATTTCACCAAAAATATAGTATACCCTGAGTTTACCAATAAATATCCCCAATTGTGATCTTGAAGATCACGGGCTCCACCTGCGCCCTCTACCTCATACGTTAGAACTGGCACACCTTCATGCCATTCTAACCACACCCATGGTAGCATACCCTGAGTCTACCAATAAATATCCCCAATTGTGATCTTGAAGATCACGGGCTCCACCTAGTCTATATAATTAAAATCTTTGAAAATTAGCAATTTGTAAATCACATGACTTGCACACTAAGCTATCGGAACCTTTTTTTTGTGCCTTCTCTCTTCAGAACCTCTTATTATTCTTTTTTTTTTGTGCCTTCTTTTCTTCTTCAACTACACTAAGCTATCAGAACTTCTTAATATCTTTTTGCAATACACCAAGTCATTAGAATCTCAATTCTTTCGATTCTTTCGATTGGTGCCTTTTTTTTTGTTCATCTTTGAACCATGCCTCGCTGCCCATCTTGCAACGGCAACGATCACCAGCGTTCTACCAATCGTCGTTGCCCAAATTTCTCTCCACGAAACACTACTATAAATAATGGGCGAAACAATGAGCAGCAAAATGCGGTTTGCACCAGTTGTGGTCAAACAGGACATCGTCGTCGCTCAAACCGCCATTGTCCCCTTCATAATCAAGACGGAAATACAGAAAATTTCACCAATGTGGCTCGCGATCCCAATGTCTCGATGCCAAATCTTCATAATGTAGGAGCCATGAATGTCATCTGCAGCCACTGTCAGGCACGAATGTGGAGTGGAGAAAAAACTGCTGGAAGTACTATGAATGATCCTAAGTTTCAGCTCTGTTGTGGAAATGGTCAATTTGTACTTTCTCCTCTCAAACCCACCCCTCCTTTGATTGCCTCGCTTTTGACAGGGACTGGGGCGCAAGCAAAAGATTTCCGGCTCAAGATCAGAGCTTATTGTAGTGCTCTCAGTTTTACTTCTCTTGGTGTAAATTTAGACGAAAGTGTAATGAATGGCAGACGAGGCGCTTACTGCTTCCGTATTCATGGAAGTGTTTACCACTTGATGGGATCGCTACTTCCTGCTAATGGCCAACGACCTGCATTTGCACAAATATACGTCCATGATACTGACAACGAAATATCAAATCGACATGCATTTGCAAGCCATCTCGCGCAAGACACCTTGGAAGTACTTCAGCAATTAATGCATGAAACCAATCCTTTCGTCCATCTTTTCAAGACAATGGCCCAATACATAGAGGATAATGGTGGTGCTATTACATAGAGGATAATGGTGGTGCTTCCAACATCAGAATGATTATTCGAGCTGACGATGCCCCAGATCCACGACGCTATAATGCACCAAATGCTTCTGAAATTGGTGTCATTATCGGTGAAAACGCAGAGTCCTCTGGAAGGGATATTGTGATCTGTACGCGTAGTGACCAACTGACATCAATCAGTGAGATGCATCGCCTGTATGACCCACTCCATTACGTGCTGATGTTTCCTGAAGGCGACCCTGGGTGGAACATTGAAACTCGATCGACCAGAAACGACAGAGTCACCGTGATGAACTACTACAGTTTCAGATTGATGTATCGAAATGATGGACATCACTTGCACCTCTTTGGCCGACTCTTTCAGCAGTATATCGTAGATATGTATGCCAAGATGGAACAAAACCGCCTCAATCACCTTCGCCTCAGCCAGTCCCGACTGCGTGCTGATGTGTATTCAGGCGTACAAGATGCTCTCCAACTTGACGACAACAATATGAATATGAATTCCATCGGTCAGCCTGTCATCCTTCCGTCGTCATTCATTGGCAGCCCTCGAAACATGCAACAGCTGTACCAAGATGCAATGAGTATCGTCCGATGTTTCGGAAAGCCTGACCTCTTCATTACATTCACGTGTAATCCAAAATTACCAGAAATTCGGAATGAGCTTCTTGCTTCACAGACAGTATCTGATCGGCCAGATTTGACAGCACGAGTTTTCAACCTCAAGCTCAGAGCTCTTTTGAAGGATCTAACAAAAAACCATACACTTGGAAAAGTAATTGGCTACGTTTATACCGTCGAGTTCCAGAAAAGAGGATTGCCTCATGCGCATATTCTACTCATTTTAAAAGAAGCTGATAAACCTGTGACGCCAGAGCACTACGATTCTATCGTATCGGCGAAGATACCTGATCCACAGCAGTTCAAATGAACATTTCACCAAAAATATAGTATACCCTGAGTTTACCAATAAATATCCCCAATTGTGATCTTGAAGATCACGGGCTCCACCTGCGCCCTCTACCTCATACGTTAGAACTGGCACACCTTCATGCCATTCTAACCACACCCATGGTAGCATACCCTGAGTCTACCAATAAATATCCCCAATTGTGATCTTGAAGATCACGGGCTCCACCTAGTCTATATAATTAAAATCTTTGAAAAATTAGCGATTTTGTAAATCACATGATCTACACCAAGTTATCAGGACCTGTTAAACCTTTTTTTTTATCTTTCAACCATGCCTCGCTGCCCACTTTCACGATAATAGGCGAAACAATTAGCAGCAAGATGCCGTTTGCGCCAGTTGTAGTTAAACAGAGTATCGTCGTCTTTCGAATAAAAATGTGAGTAGAGCTCTTTTTGAAGAAAAGGGGTTGATGATACGACTGGCGTTCTTCTGTAGCATCATTCAATTTGTTTTTTTTGTCAGTTATACTATATATGTCCTTTCACTCTCTTTCAATTTTCAATGAATCGAATAATACATAAGCAGACGTGCTTCGATCTATGAGTTCATGCACCAGTAAGGTGACTATTGTTTCATCCATGGAAAATCATATATTTTGGTCTTCAATTTTATCTTTCTTCTTTTGATTTTCTCTCTCTCTTTCTGTTTGCTTGATAAACCTCACTATCATTGTATCAAGATCCCATCCGCATCCATCATCCAGACCATTCTTATCCCGTGTACCTAACTTGGTTAAATTGACCACCATCCTCAAAAAGGTAAGCGTCGAGTGGTCTACCATCGATTTTGCTCCGGCAAAACAGACTTACCTCTCCTTTACTTCCATCCTTCTTCCAGCTTCCGGTTTCCGTTTTCTTTTCGCCTGACAAGTTCTGGATACTACAAGTTGACTTTCTCTCGCCATCCATCCATCCATTCATCCATCTGGCGAAATCGGATGACGTCAAAGGCCATCGTTGGTGGTGTGGCTCTTTTTTTAATCAGAAAAACGCTTACGTGTCCTCTTCATGTTCCTTTCCTTTGGATTGCTTCTCATCATATGGTATTCGAGATGTCTTCCCGATTATTTATTTTGTAGTTTATAGTTTGTATTTTGTATTTTATATTTCATGTACATATTCTTTTCGCAGTCTTTTCCTCTTTTTTTCCCACAGGGTTTTTTATGAGGTTTTTACTGACGCGACCATTGTTTTTTTATCATCATGTACTTTATTTGTTTCTTTCTTTTTATTCGGGGGACTCTCGATATATGGAATCCAACTCGAAGTTACCGTCACTTCTGGCCACGTCAATATTTTTTGCCTGCTCAAGCTGACACCACCGATCCATCGCTTAACTGTCCCTGGAAGCAATTTTATTTTCCGCATCGAAGAAGAAGCTTACCTGGCGGTCCGTATTCACCGTTTTTTTTTCCGGTACACCATTTGGTTCAAAGGCAAGTCCAATTTCTTTTCCTTTGCTATGATGTAATGAACGTACACTAATTCAAATTTTTTTCAATGTCATATAATCCAAGTCATGTCAAGCGATCAATGGCTATCGAAAACTCAAATAACAAAGGTAAAATATCTTGACGAAAATTTGAATCAATCAAAGAGCTTACTAACTCATTTTTTTTAAATACCCAACATACCCACACATCTTTCTAGATCTATCATAGCCTGGGCGGGATGGAACTGAGGGGGGGAACCAGTGCTGCTTTGCGCGTGTTCAGAAACAACTCACGTTGCATGGTATTGCCATAAGGTTGTCATTAATATACCAAAGTCTGTCAAGAGTTCTCGCCCAGGTTATGCCGTGTATGCGTTAGGCTTTTTGTCTGACGAAAGTCGCTCAATGTAAGAGGGCGGCCTCCGGTGGCAGGCGGCATCCATTGCACAGCGGGTGTACGGCTTGTTAGTCTATATAATTAAAATCTTTGAAAAATTAGCGATTTTGTAAATCACATGATCTACACCAAGTTATCAGGACCTGTTAAACCTTTTTTTTTATCTTTCAACCATGCCTCGCTGCCCACTTTCACAATAATAGGCGAAACAATCAGCAGCAAGATGCCGTTTGCACCAGTTGTGGTCAAACAGAGCATCGTCGCCGTTCACATAAAATGTGAGTGGAGCTCTTTTTTGAAGAAAGGTGATTGACGATACGACGATCTGGTGTTTTGTAGCATCATTTAATTTGGGTTATCTGTCAGTTATACTGTATATGCCCTTTCATTCTCTTCAGTAATCGAATGATACATGGAGCAGATATGCTTCGATCTGTGTAGCTCATCATTCATGCATCAGTGAGGTGACTATTGTTTCATCCATGGAAAATCACATATTTTTGTCCGAATTTTTTCTTCTTCTTTAGTTTTGCATCTCTTCTGTTTGCCTGGAAATCCCTCACTATCATTGCATCCATCATCCATCATCCAGACTATGGCGTGTATCTGATCCGGTCGATTCGATTATTATGAAAAAAGGTACCTTTTGTGTGATACGACTATCCGTTTTTCGACAAGAAAAAATTTACCTGTCCTTTTTCTTATTCTGTCTTTAGCTTTTGGTTTTCTCTCCGGTTTTCTTTTGCCTGGCAAGCCATTCAAGCCATCCATCCCTCCAAAGCCTTTCTACTTTGTTCGGGCACCAGATTGTGGCCAATCCGGTTTTTGTCGTCAAAGGCATCGTCGGTGGTGTGACTCTCTTTTTCATTGGGAAACGCTGACGCGTCCTCCCAGGTTCCTCTCATATGGATTGCTGCCCGTGGTATCGCCTTCGATATTTCTTCCCGACCATTTTATTTTGTAGTTGTAGTATGTATTTTGTATTTTAGTGAATAGTCTTCTTGCAGTCTTTTCCTCCTTTTTTTCCCACAGGGTTTTTAGGGGGTTTTTACAGACGCACCTATTGTTTTACTTTTTTTATATATTTGTACATTTCTTGTTTTTCGGTCGGGAAGCTCTCAATATCTGCTGCATCGAATAACAAAGGTAAAATATCTCAACGAAATTTGAATCAACCAAAGAGCTTACTAACTCATTTTTTTTAAATACCCAACATTCCCAGACATCTTTGTAGATCTATCATAACCTTGGGCGGGACAGAACGGAGGGGGTCAATAAGTGCTGCTTTGTTCATTAAAAGTGTTTCATGGTATGCCAGAGTATTGACATTAATATACCAAAGTTCCATCAAGAGTCTCGCCCAGGTTATGCCGTATTGCGTTAGGCTTTTGTCTGACGAATGTCGCTCAATGTAAGAGTGTGGCATCCAGTAGCAGGTGGCATCCATTGCACAGCGGGTGTACGGCTTGTTAGCAGTCTCAAAGAATTATTATTATTGTCTCTTTTGTTTTTAAGTCCTTTCTTACATTACAATATTAAGGGGAAGTAAGTGAAGAGAGAAGGAATGAACACTACGTCTGCGCTTCAGAAATGCCCAAGTGAGGTGCTGAGGTTTCCTTTGGTCACTCGCAATGCACTTACCGCACAGTTCCTTGGATTGGCAAGCTATTACCGCCTTCTTAGCAGGTCTTATTTTTTTAATACCGACTGTTATCAAATCCACAGCAGAAATAGCGCCCAACCTAGACGTTGTATTTGCTCTCGTTGTAGGTCATCTAACAATAGCACCACAACTACCTTTTTTAAACCAAGCTCTTGAACGCTTCATAACGATGTCAAAAACAGACAAATAACCTCTCACCATACTTCTGATTGGTAGTAAATAAATTATAATATAGCGGATGCTATCGTATTTTACTATTATCTTATTTATTATTGCTATCAAGTGTTTCCACATTGGTCATTTGGGAATTCAAAGAGATGGGCTTCGTGTGACTAGCTTTGCACCGATTTGGCATTGCCGGTATTTGAATGCAATCAAGGACCAAGGCGAATTAATGTTTCAGAAGTTCACGGTTGTTCTCGAATGGCGCATCATGCTCCCAGTTCTCCCTTGAATGCTACAGTCATCAATATTTCACCGGCGCCGCACTCATCGCCTCAAGATGAATCACCGCAAGACACCAACGATACCACCTCTCGCCGTCGAAAGCAGCAATTGCGTGCCGCGCATAACGTTCAAGGCCATCGAAACCTCATTCGCCATATTTTCCAAAAGATCATCAAGCGTAAACGTCCGCAATCTGCTCTTTTACGTTTAGGAGAACAATGTCGTTCCATATCATTGCCAGACCAGTTTGAAAATGAGGATACCATTGATCTACTTCTTCAGTTACGATCCGTGCTTATGCTTTGCAGAGACAACGGTTCCGCCCCACAGATCCTGATGCGCGGGTAAGTAAAATTTTCATGATGCCGGTGTCCCTTGATATAACATGATGTATTATTTTGAAATATTAGGGATCGTACGCCATCGAATTCCCCAGTTTCGTCCCGGTCAAATTCACCGGCTCGTCCTGCGTCTCCGTCGCATTCTCACGGAGCCACAGCAAGTATCCACACAGCGAATGGGAAGAAAGATACCCGATCGATTTTTGAAACCATTTTGTGGATGCTCGATGACCTTGTCGTCAATGACAGTCGATATAAAACCGTCAATCCGAAACCTTCACGACCACCTTACATGATGCAGTCTGTCCTAGTGGATATCGCTCTCGTTCTAATCCAGTGCTGCGATGATACATCGGGATTATGCACCATTGGCTTCACCATGCTGTCGGCTTTTGATACATTCAATGACGGAAATATGCTTGGAAAGCTCTTGTCAATGTTTATCGACACTTTATTGCCAAAACTGATGACATGCAAGGACGAGCAACAACGGGAAGATCGCTTCCCCGTTCGCCGACCCCAGAACCAAAAAAGTAAGCTGGTTAATTACACTCAATTCATACACTCAAATGTATAACCCTGTACTTGCAAAAGAAAAACATTCCTCATCTACTGCACGACATGATCCGCCAGTCGCCAACGCCACACCGACCATCAATATTCACAGTCCTGACAGTGACAGCACATCGCGTAGCTCTCCTCTGACGATCGATACACGATTATGTCAAATCGAGCCTCCTTCCCTGTTGCGAACGACCGAAGATGAACATTCACCTTTGCAGAGTCAATTTTCTCGCTCAAGTTCTACCCAAGGAACTGAACAATACCAGCAAGCCTATGCACTGTTTACCCCACTGTTTTATTTCATGATCCAATACCTTGATCCATACCTTGCCTCATACCGGAACGACGTGCAAGAGAATCTGTCCTTCACCATTCCACGCCACGCATCGTCCATCAGTAATTTCCATCGCGCATTGCGTTTCATGATCCACGCAAAGCCCGACATGTACCTGGACATTCTGGATGTGATTGCTCGCAGTACCTCGGAAGTCAAATTCCGTGCATGTCAGATTTTGTTCCATTATTACGGTGTTAGTCTGGGCCATGTTGTCGTCGCCGAACCGTTGCCCAAACTGGGATTTCTTCAAGAATTTGAGTACTTGGAGCGAAAACAACATCAACAGCAATTGGAAGAAGAACGCCAGAGGCAGCAACAGGCTCAACAGCAACCACAACAGCCATCGAACGACCCGCATTTCTTGGCCACTGTGATAGGAAGCAACGCCTCATTCCATGTGCCCAATATTAACAAACGATATCGCCAGGCCCTGCCTGAACGTCCACCCATCTCCCAGCGGCCCTCCACGACCACTTCCGATTCAACCGAAAGTGAGACAGCGGAAATTTTACACACCTGGTACCCGCACATGTTTTCCGCCACGACGGACAATCACGCCGATGACCTCGCTGATCAAGCACGGTTCTCGACGAACCCATTGTCTCTGTCGGTCATCACTCACGACAATATGACGGTCGCTTACTGTAGAGAGTGCTATAAAGTAATCAAAGGATATGGACTTCGTTGCTATCAATGCAAGTGCACCGTTCACTACAAATGCTTTAACCAGCAACTCGCCAATCATGACCTGGACATTATGTTTTATGTCAAAGAAGGTGGTATACAAAAAGTCGTCAGTCCGCAGTTTTGCCATATACCCGTCCAGCCTCGGTCCACGATTTCGCCTTCTGCAACAACCCCCGAATTGCTATTTGAAATGGAATATCTCGGCCATCACTTTCATCTGGTCAACATTTACACATTGATGATCTGTGCGTGCTGTCATCGACCGCTTTGGGGCATCTCACAGCAGGGATATCGCTGCTCAGAATGTAACCGGTTTGTTCACTCAAGTTGTCTCAGCCAAGCCATGCGGCAAACAACAGCAACAATGAATATTCACGAATGTCAACCGCGTCAGCCACTATTGGAACGGGATACTCTAATTTCACAAAGGGAGCTGAATAACACATTGCTCGCGTTCTATGGCACGGTACTACCCACTACTCCGCAAGATGTCAAGGATAAAAGCTTCGAGGAAATATCCACCATGCTCAATATACTTTTACTGCAAGAAAACATCATGCACTGCGGTATTGCTGCTGGATGTTTACTGGTGAGTTACGGAGGCGATGACCCGTTGATGGCCAATAACGGACACGCAGATGAACCCAGCGAAAGAGTCAGTATGCAGTCAATGGATATTTGTCCCCGATTAACCTCTGCAATCACCATGTGCCGGAATCAGCTTTCTTCCGCCGATTGCAAGACGTCAATGCATTTCAACGAGTTTTATATCAATCGCAAACACAATCTAAACGATTTCATGTTCGCAAGAGAGGAGTACCTTGGTCATGTAGCGGCCATTATGAAAAGCGCGGTGCCCAACTCAGCAGCTCACGTTGGCTCAACCACGCATCCAACACCTGCAGCGGCCAAGCGGCGTTCCGCCGGTGATTCGAGAGGATTTTTGCAAGTGATGCCTGCATCCTCTGGAGCGGAACGGTGGAACGATCGTGGATTAGATGAAGGCTATGATGAGGACAGCGTTACCGAGTGTATCCCGGTCACTCATATGGAATCATGGATCAGCGACAACTTGCATATCAAGAGCCGATTAACGACGCAGATGCTCTTGCAGCATATGCATAATCTAGGATTCCTGGAACGGGTCAACGGATTAGCCACCTTGTATACCTTTGATACCGAAGGAACAAGTACTACCACGCCATCCGATGCCAACCCCCATCTTTGCATTTTCCCTGTTCCGTACGCTATTGATATCTCTGCCAATGTCAATTTACTCGTGGACACGATTGAAAGTTGTTTGGATGATCTGGATCTTACGATCAACGAGTGTGGACTGTTGCTTCTCACACGACGATGTTGGCCGGACCCATTTATGTCGTCGTACACCATTGAACGATTACTGTATGCGGTGTTGTCGTGGCTTTTCCAGGAAGATGAAAAACTGTTGGCTTTGCATGCTGAGTATACCGCCTCTAAGCAAAAGTTACCGGGGATCAAACGTAATCGATGGAGTCAGTCGGCCCAAGCTATGCTGGCGTCTCGTATGAAAGACGGTACTGGAGCGGATCGCGGACGACAAAGCGTTCAATTCAATGGAACCGTCGGTATGAGTAGTGGGCTTGGCAATCTCTATGTGACCAGTCGAGCCGCGCTTCGCGAACGGTACATCAATCGATGGATGATGATCATTCACGACACGGACAGTGCACTTTTCACCACGATGATATACGACGTTATTGAACGGATTGTAGAGGAGCGAGATGAAGAATCGGTGCTCACCGGATGGCAGGAGCCCCAGGATAAAAAGGTACAACGTTAAACCCATGCGATAAATATCCACAGACGATTTCAACGTTTTGATTTAGAGAGCTACGCTTCAACATGCTGAAAAATTTGTGGAATGTGTGTACAAATTAAAGAGCTACGGATTGACATTCAGCAGCCTGGAACCGATCATGACACGATGGTTTGATAAGACGTACAGCGCATTCGACGAGCACGATATTCTCAGGGTAAAAAAACTGGAAACACTGGTTCTCAATCGAATGATCACATCCACTCATCATACTTACAGGAGAAAGAACCTGCCGATTTACGCCACCTTGCCAAGCTTTGTTCTCCTCGACTGGCTTCGATACAAAAGACACCGGCATATCGTTCATCTATTGGAGATACCAATCCATCGATTGATATCGTGATTGCTCTTTTTGCCAAGCCGGAGCGGGAGAGCACTGAACGTGGGATTCGATGGCTGACCCTATTGATGCATTCGGGGTAAGCTTGGTTGGCAGATGTGAGATGTAACGGCTAAAGATTTAACGGCATTTTTTCAGTACCGGTGTTCCCAGCAACGCTTTAGCCAAAATAGCACGTCTGCTGGTATCCAACCGAGTCTCGATTAGGACCACGGCCGAGTTTCTGAAACTGTTATGGTACCAGGCCGTCAATGTCCTCAATGTGCCTACCCCACGCGTTGTCATTATCGATATCATCAGTTACTTGAACGAGACAGCCCTGGAATCTTTCAAGTCAAAGAACGAAGCACATGAATTGACGTTGGAACGACTTTGGAGGTTGGTTGATTTTCTGCACTGTGTATTGTGGTGACCATGGACTAATACATTGCTCAGTGCACAATTATTTATAAAGTACTCTGCTGCATTGACCTGCTATGCATTCAATTGTCCCTTAAGCAACATCACTGAACTTGACCTTGTCCCGTATTTTGGCGATCACATTGCCCGATTATCGTAAGTCCATCAATTGACCATTGAGGGAAAAAAGAAAAACAATAGTACTGAACAAAGGAACCGGTATTCGCATTATGGATGGATTGATACAGCCACAGCAAACGGGCATCGATGAATCGGGATTCCACGCCAATTCGAGTTGATGAATCTACGCCTATCATTCGATGTATGCTTTTATATTTACAGTACGATCAGCTCAACGTACACGTGGATGTCATCAAGATGTTTTATGGCTTGGTTAACTGGAGCTATGGTATCAGTAACAAATCCGACGTGATCAACAAATGTGTACCTGCGCTCATACCAGCGTAAGTGACACCGGTCTTAACCATAGTAACACAGCAGCTTAGATTGACGATCGTTACAGGCTTTGGGAGTTGCTCGTACCAGCTTATGACAGTCTCAGCGATATTACGCTGAATTTGTTAATGAAGCTGATCAATATCGATGTCCAGTATTTCCATGCATGTGTATATCAGATTTTCGAAGATTCCAACTGGGAAGTAAGGTAAGGATCCGTGTTTCTGAGGAGGGCACCATAGTTACAAGGTTATCAATACATACGGGGTTGTCTTAGATACCATGGACTGGATAATCTTTACGGATTGTTCACCAAGATGGATGTCGCATTTCAACAGAAATGGTTCCCTTTTCTTTCTCACCTGGGACCAGTGTTCAGCTACTTTGTGAGCTGCTTGTGGGATAAAGAGGTAACGTATGGACAGCGATGGACACGGTCAATGTTGTATAAACCTTGGGTTTTCTCTAGGAATATGTGCGATCCAAAGCAGTGGCATACATTCGTACGTTTGGTACACTGCACATACGTTCGGCACTTCGATGTTGGGAGGCATATTTCCTTGAAGCCACTGACCGTCAAAGAATCTCGTTGGTCAATCTAATGATCCGGTTCAACGCCATGTTTCCCGAATGGCAAGTGCTCCAATGGGAATCATTGCTGCAAGCCTTGAAACCATCCGACCATGATGGATTTGATGCGCAATCCATGGATATTCTGGAACAGTATATGCGGCCGGACGAGGGTGCTCTGGATGCAGCCGGTGAAGATGTGGTGTCCGACAAGCAAGCACTTCACGGCGTGGAAACAGAGAATGTGCGAGTGCTTATGCTCACGTTGGCGTTCCAAATGCTGAGCAATCACTTACCTATGGATATGGTTCAAATGTCTCATTTCAAGTTCATCCTCGTGCAACAGATGGGGTTCAGCAATTGCCAGTATTTTGAGACCGGAAGAGTCGTTACGTTTGGCCATCTGACGTATGATCCGGACGATCCGGCGCAAGTGGCGATCATGCTTGCCTGTTCCCACGGGTTAAAGAAGGTGGTCGACAGTTTTGCGCCTTTACCGGCCGAAGCGGTAGTGACCATGATGTCTGAACGGACGCCACAGAGTCAACAGAAACTCACCGAGAACACGAGTCCCGGTGTACATTTTATCGATGTGATTCTCAAATTTTTCCATCCATCCGTGGACCTGACGAAACTCGGTCATCTCATGCTACGCACGTGGCTCGAAATCGTTCTCATTGTCATTTACAAGGTGATTTTGAATTGCAAATTGTTTGTCCTTCTTCCTGTTCGATTGGTTGCAGCAGAATCACTCATCACTTTCTTATTTGTGAAAAGCATGATATCCTGGACCGTAACTATGAAGACAGCATTGTGGGTTGCATGAAACAAGTGATTGAATTATTGACCAAGAACATCAGTGAAGAAAACAAACTGTTGGTGTTGGAGATTTCCAAGTGCCTGTTAAGACGATCGGACCATTTGGCGCCCATGGTGCTGTCCAAGCAGATCACCGCGCTTAGTAAAGTCATGATCAAATTGCAGACTCGGACGCATGAGCCGCTGTTCCTGAAAGCTAAACAGTTTCTGAAAAGCGCTTTCCTCGAATTTGCCGTGGCCGGTTTATTTGTTCTCATGTTTAAGGTAACTGCGATGCTTCTTTTTGTATGGATGTTGCGTCCCATGCTCACGAAATAATTGTAACAGGATGATAACAGCAACGAGGCCAATCGTCGAGAATTGGAATTGTTCTTTGTGTTACGTAATGTCATTGACCCAGATGATATCGTACCTGAAGGGGACATGCATGAGGTCATCTATCTGCGCGATCAACCGGTGCGCGACGTGCTTGAAAATTTAATGAAGCAGCAAATGGACCGCAAGGCCTTTTCCAATGTTCTTTACAACACGAACCGTTACATCGAGACGCTGCACTCTCATCCGTATCCCGAAGTGGTTTTGAATGGTAAGATCCAAACCAGTCATTTGAATAGATAACTGGATGTTCTGACACATATCATTGCAGATTATGCCAGTTTTCTGCATGCATTGATCAAACGGACCGCTGATTGGCGGCCTTCCGATTGGAACATCAATCCCGTATTTAGCATGTCCGCCATCCTGCTCAAGGAACATCCCTATCATTTTTCGGTATGTCCATTTCTCAAAACTAATTTTACGGTTGGCTGTACTAACTCAGTAAATGGATAATGATTTTCTAGATTTTGCTTCCCGCTATCCAAGCTGTGTTCAAGCACGGGTTACATCACTGTGTACTGGAGCACGAAAGTATCGTCAAATTGCTGGCAGCCTATTCCGCTATTTCTATCATACCTGGGGTTCAGCCCGGTAATGCCTTTGCTGATATTATCCTGGAAGAGGTGAAGAATAGTTTGGAGGCGCGGCAAAAGTTGCATCGTAACAGCTTGACATCTCTGCTTCAGGTACTAAGATTGAGACAAAAGAAACATGAAAAGAGATAAGCTGTACTGATGATGTAACTGTAGCTTATTCTGTGGGATTGTCAAGCAGAATACCAGGGATGGTACACATCCATTGAAAACGCTTTGTTAGGGGAGCTGGAGCCCGGCAATGATCGAGTGCCGTACTTTGCTGATAACCTCAGCATGCTTTTGAAGCCCTTGGTCCGCTACCTCAAATCCAGTCCTGTCACCCAGTCTTTTACCAATAGTGATTTCAAAGCTTACATTGTAGCTTCCAGATTGCTTGTCACTTTGTGTTCGCGCTCAGAGACGGCCATGCATGAGACGCTCGTGCTACAAAAGGTTCGTCTAGTCACGGTTGGATGGGGATAGTAGACATTGTGAATAACCGAGACATTTTTACGCAGCTCGATGAAACGCGACATTGCCTTCGATTTTTCAATTGGTTCTTGCTTGCGATTTTACGGGAACATGCCGATGATCTATGCAAGCAACTACTTGACTTTGAAGATGTGATGACGGATTTATTGGTGCAAACTTTGAAGTCTGTGGAAATCGATTTTGATACACCAGACATTAGCTTTTCGTACACGCCTTCAGGCGAAGCGTTACTGTTGTGTTCGCTTATTCTCAAGAGTTGGACGCTTCTTCATTTGCGAAACAACAATGTCACTGCCAGTAAGCTTGGCTTGACGGCTCCCTCGACCACAAATTTTGCCTTTTGGATGTCCATCTGGGCAGTTTGGCGACGCTTGTTGGACAGCATTAATCCTTCTACATTATCCATGGTACGTCTTTTTTTTTTCCTCGATTTTGTTTAATGCAAGACTTACCTTTTTTTTTTTTTCTTCTTTCATATATAGCAAGGAAACACCGGTATGCCCGTTTGGGAGATGTTCCTGTCTCTGGTCCAATTTCTATTTGTGAGTCGAAGTGAAGTTGTGCTTCTGAATGCCTACGAATGGACCAATTTGTTGGGAAGTCTACTGGATAAGGTGTGTATTTCGTCTTGCTTTGAAGCATTTTTATGTCGTGCACTGACCCAGAAATGATGATAGCTTCGGACTCTCTCGCAAGGTATCGCGGAGCCAAGCACTGAGGATCAATCGGCTCCTTTGGAAGCTTTCATCGAGCAAGTGGCCAAAGTACGAAAAATGTTTTTTATCCCACCTATAGAGATCCCTACGACGACTCTCATCGATCAGCTCTATTTGGATTTACGTGAAATTATGCGATATCAGGCTGAAAGTGTCGCCTTCCAAGAGCCTGCGCGTGCATTGTCATTAACCATGAATAGTATATCTTGAGCTCACTTGATCTCTTTGAATTTCTCTGTGCTGTAAAATAATAAACAAGGTTCCCCCAATTGTAAATTTTATTGTTACTATAGTCGACAAGACCCATCAGCCACTATATCATCTGTTTTAAATGGAATCGCGGTTGCGTATTTTCGTCGCTTGGGGACACAAATTGCGTGACTTGAATTCCGGGACTTGTTTGTTTCTACGCATGATCGGTGGGTGCAAGACAAGCTTGGGAAGCGTTTGTACTTCGGTCCCTGCTTGTTCAACATGGTATGCATGGATGCGATCATGAGGTCAATATTGGTCATACTCATTATGCTTCTGGGACTTAGATTCGCTGGTGTACCTTGAATAAAGGCGCCGATGTGAACGATGAAGACACGGCCGAAATTCAGGTACGTTTCAACTTTTGTTCCCTATGTTCAGATCGACTAGCCACTAACCGGGTATAGGTTGAGCGTCTATTGGGGACGTATCAAAAAGCGCTAAGGCTTCATCAAAAGAAACAGTACGCTGAAGCCAAACGACTGTATCAAGAGATCAGCAGCAACGAATTGGTTGCCAAAAAAGAATCGGACACCGTACGTTGAATCAACCATAAGATAATCGAACATGTCAGTCATACTGAATCGATATAACGTAGGACACTGCAACCGCTTTGACGATCCAGAATTCTCCACTCGTCATGTTACGATTCTTGGTGTACAAGAATTATGCTTCCATACTTGAGAGCGAGTTTGTCGCCAGTGACACCAAAGATCCGCAAATCGCCAAACACGCCATCGAACTTTACTTTCAGGCTCTGACCGCTGATCCTACCGAAGCGTCTCTCTGGTACCCTATTGGCGAATTGGCGCATGCTCTGGGATACTATCGATTTGCACGCCTGGCTTTCGAAAATGGAGTGTATTCGGACGTGAGTCAGCAACGCAAACTGGATATTAACGCGCCCATCGGCAGCTCCATGATCTCCGATCCTGCCAAAATTCATAAAGCATTACAAAGTGGACCCATCCATCCCGGGCAATGGAAATGTATGGAAGGATTATGCAATGTGCTGTACGATATCGGTGATTTCGGTCTCTGCCAATACTACGTTCAACAAGGCCTCGCACGATTTCCTCAATGGGCCGTCGGCGCTCGCTTACAGAAGCAGTTGAACATGTCCTCAACAAATGAAGACGCAATGGAGAATGAAAAGCTGGTCATTGATCAAGAACCACCAGCAACTATGTCCGTCACTGTTGCAAAACCGGATTGGTCCCTTCTCATTGAAACCTTGCTTCAACAATATGTGGATATGACCTGGAAGGAATCTTCTTCGGATCCTGAAAATGAACATCCACTTCTGTTTATCAATACCTTGCTCAACATCAAAGTAAACATCCCCAAACCCGTGACCGCTTCGCAAGAGGTAGAGGAAGAGCCCCAGCAACCACTACAGTCTCAGCAGCAGCAGCAGCACCCGGTGTCGGAAACTCCAGATCACCCACCTACGGAGGTCCTGATCGCGGATCAGGATCGCCCTATGGCGGAAGCTTTTCGATCTGATGCGGAAGGCACCCAAGCTTCGCCCATTATTCTGCTTGACAATGGCGATGCAGAAATGTCAGCCAAAGATACGTCCACTGGTGACGTTGCCGAACCCAGCAATACAGATGAAGAGACCTCCAAGAAGCGAGAAAGAGAAGAAGAAGAGGGCTCTGAAGCTGGAGAGGATAATGAGTTTGAATATGAAGAAAAACGGGCCACTCTAAGGTAACGAATTGGTCATATATTGACGACCGGAAAGCGCTAACCGCTACTTCCATTAGAGCTTCAAAAAGACAACGCGATAAAATGGAAAATAAGGAAGCATCCCGTCAAAAAATGCTTGCGGAAGAGAAGGTGGCAGATGACAAGATTCAAGCATTATTCGATCAAGTAACCTCGATCGATCCGGAGCTATTCCCAAATCGCCATCCTTGGTACGATGTCCTCATGGATGGAAAAGAAAATGCCACTCGTCTTTTCTACGAATGGTTTGACATCAAAATCTCGCAACTGGACAGCAGTTATGCATGGGATGTAGATCATCCATCGATAAAGTAAGATAAGTTCTTACTACGGAGCTCTTCTTCTGTGGTTCGGCTAACATCTTTTTTTTTTGTGAATAGATCACAGATATCGAAAGGTCATGCCGCTCATCGACGATATGACATTTTCCAACGAACAAAAAGAGACACAGTGGCGACAACTACGCCACTATCGAGTGACGAAGCGCTGCTAAAATTTGTTCAAAAACTGAATGACAAGAATTCCGGTATCACCGATGTTCTTTGCCAATTGACTCTGGCGTTACTGGAAGAAGACGTCCATCACGGCAGTTTACCGTCGACGGAGGAATCCGTCGCAAGTTGTTTGGTAGACACCATCCTCACATTAAACAATACATTAATCGGGGCCATCATGCACGGCGATCTGTGCAATGAATCGGCAGAGAATTTCCATAATTGGCGAATGCAGGTACGGACGCTTGTGATGCATGATTTTATCAACGAGCTATTGACTTTGGTTGTTAACTCGGCTTTGAAGATTATTGTACGTGTATGCGAACGGCTGGTGGATCGGCTTATCACGACCATTATCAATACGAGTGCTGCGGAAGCCACCGAATCAACGAAGCGACGATCGACAGCGAGCGCGAAACAATCCGAAGCGTCCATTAAACAGTTATCCGACTTGTGTCAAGCATGGATTGGATTGTTCGAACGCTGTGTGATGAAGGAGGCGATGGATATTGCAGTGACCTACGTTGATATACAGCAACTGGACCGTGTTGACTGGATCGACAAGGAATTGCTGTTACGATATTGGTTTGTTAAAGGAAAAATGGCGCAATGCGACGAAGACGTAGAAGCGGCTTTTTCATGGTACGAAAGCTGCGAAACCTTGTTCAGCACCCCGGAAATGCAAAATATATCCATTTTATTGCAGTGGTAAGTCTGTCCTTTATTTGGTCGAAGCATTGGTTGATTTTCATCGTGGGACCTTTTTTTTTTTTTTCACAGTGAATATGACGGGATCCTTGATAAGGAACATATCGTGGAGAAACTACATGCGCTACAAATGGGAAAACAGTCGGTATTAGTTCGTACCAAGATGAATGCCAAGGATTACAAAGGAGTGGTGGACCTGGTGGAAACCATGGTCACTACGAGACTGCAAACGGAACCTCTTTCCACATACAACGAGTTTTATGAAATGTTGACGATGCTGGCCAAGGTACGGAATATATGTAACCTAATAGTGTTCCGGTGCTCACTCGTTGTCGTTGGCAGTCGTACATGGAGACGGATCATCATTTGAAAGCATGGCAGTGCTATGGGCAAATCCTTTATCGCTCAGTGAAGGAACTAATTGCTCACGGATCCGGTCAATATCAGAGCAGCGAAATATCACAAAAAGATGATGATCCGGAATTCTTTCGCTTATTGAAACAAGTAATACAGAAAAAAGAAATCGCTGCATCGTACATAAGAAAAGGCTAACTTGGCTCTCAGATTGATACACTCTTACAGGAATTAACCTCTCTCACGTTGAGCGACCATATGACAGGTAATGGTCTACTTCACCATAACCGCTTGGCTTTCATTTGAATAACAAACCGTAGACCTTTCTTCGGCTTCATTTGAGATGGAGCTTGCGAAAGCGCTGATAGTGTTGATGCGAACTTCGCTTATCTACATCTTTCGCCATCCCGATTTCATACCTCTTGTGAATAACTTTACTGTTCCTGATATGGCGCCTCACGTCCCTTCTCAGGCCAGCAAATCCAATATCTATAACGATATCATCACCAAAACCTGGACATTGATTTCGTCGCTTTTGCAAAAGTTCCTACAGAAGAGTCATCAGTTTGTCTCAGAATCTTTGCCTGTCCTAGCCGATTTATTACAAACATTACACGATGAACTTGGCGAGCGCGAAATTTGCGGGGCGTCCAAAGGTACTCGACATCAGTGTAGGCAAAGGATTGACAGACAACTCATTGTTTGCATTATTATTCGTAGGCATCTTCTTAACTCATTTATTGGGTGTGTTGACCAAACTAGACGATGCAGAGTATCGTCGAAATATTTATCAGTGCTACCATTGTCTGTACGGTGTTCATCTAGCAGTAAGTTTTCATTTCTTCATACTGGCGGTCAATTCAAAACTTGATAATATCATTTGTGCAGGCTGAGACAGATGTCATTGAGGAGCACAATGCTGCGCATGAAATAATCACGCAAAAGGCGGCCGAACCTCTTTTCAACCTTGTTGTGAACACTGTGCTTGAAAAATTGGAACGAGGTTCTCCTCTGAAAAGCGATCTGAAAGATGTCACCGATACACTCATGGAATTGTTCCAAAAACCACCCACAGACCATTGTAAATGTCACTCGTTGGACCTTTACTTGAGGGTACGATTAACCTTTCTTTTTTTTGAGCAGATCAAGTCAAGGCCAATCTGAAAATCATTGACGGGTATCTGAATCGCCATATTGATCTCCATCAATCCATTGATTCCATGCTACGCTATGCCAATATTGCCACCATTCCAGTCCGTTCCACCAAAAAGAAACCCATCTCACGTAAGCTATTCAATTGTCTGCATATACCCGTTCGATAAAGCTGTTGCTCACGATATGCGGTATTAGCTGTATATTTTAAGATCTACTGGATCATGGGTAAAGTGCTACGTCTACAGGTGAAACATCGATCAAAAATCAATTCAGAAAGGACCATGGATGATTTGGAAGATGCTATTGAACAATACACGGTACGTCGCTGAACTAAAATCTGGGATGTGGCAGTGTATTTTACTTATTCGTACTTTTGGTAGAATCATCTCGCCCTGAGTCCCTACGATGCGCATGGTTGGTATGAACTTGGACTTTGCTTTATGCAGCTGACCGATGAGGAACTGGGATGGAGTGCGTCCAACATTGTTTTGCATAAGGATCGATTGGCGGAATATCAAAAGGTACGTTTGCTTGATTTATCGGTTCCGACGATATTAGGCTAAACGACTGCGTATATAGAAAGCGTACCATGCTTTCTTTAGAGCTTGGAATCTATACCGCTCTGGTTCGGCAGCGTTTGATGACCGCACGAAGCTGTATGAGTTCTTTAGTAATTTCGGACAATTGATCTATACGATGGTTGCCGAGCCCATGGGAATGGAGTCTTTCCAGGACCAAGAAAAGAAGCGAGCCATGGGACAGAATGGCGAGCTTTATGAAGTCACTCCCACCGCCCCGCAGCCCGCACAAGCGTACAAGCTCTCACTCATCTTCTTTACCAAGGCCCTAAAATACAAAGCACCCGATGGATCCGAATGGAAGTACGTATGCGGTTGACATTATGTGTAGGGTTGCAAATACTAAATCCTTTGAAATAACAGATCACTCTACATGTGTGGAAAATGTTATGACAAATTGAGACGTCCAGCCAAGGTAAAGTTTTTTCCACATTTACCTCTCTCGAATAGCTTCGTCAACTCTGCTGCTTGATTAGGAAATCCTCAATTGGTATCAAAAAGCTGAGAAACGAGCCGCCGTGTATGCATCCAAACATGGTGGACACGAGAGGATCCTTGAACCTACCTACAAACTATGCTCCGTGCTGCTAAAATTACTATATCGTGGCGATATTCAGGTACCATTGATTGGCCGGGTTACTGTATTTCGGTCAAGTTCTTACTTTTGTCTCTTGTAGCCTGAGGTGGCCATGGACTACGTGGACATTCCTACACAGGACACCACAATGTCTAGTACCTCCGAATCAAAGACCGAGTCATTGATGGCGCCACAACTACCTACCCTTCCATCATCCACATCTGCCGGGCCCTCCTCTCCATACCTGTATCCGTTATCACTTAGTATCACTCCTCAAGGCGTCGCCGTGCTTCAACCGACGCCATCCACATCAACTTTTCTTCCTCCGTCCACCGAGACATCAAGCGCAAAAGCCATGGACCACGAACCCAGCATATCTGTAAACAACCTGTCAAACGAGGCATCTGAAACAAATACCGAACACAGCGACCATACCGAGCATGTATCTTCCCATCTTTCCTCGAATTACGCCTTAATCTACAATGCAATATATGACAAGTTGGATGAGATCCGACGCATTGACAAGCGAAAGTGGCATCATCAGCCTATTTATCTAGTATGTGAATCGATGGACGGGATTTATGAAATTATGTTGTTTTCTAACGCTTTGATCCTACAGCATGCCTGGATGCACTATAAAATATATCACAATGTCGCCGATGCCAAGTCGGATATGCTGCAGTTGTTCACACTTCGCTCCAATACAAAATCACACATCAATATCTGGAAACCAGGATTTGAAAGGTAAATAATTTCACGTACAACCATGATCGAATACCGACAAGGTATATTGACAATGAGATTAGGCCCGGAAAACACTTTGTTTATGTGCACAAATATACTTTATTCATGATTGAGCTTGCCAAGGCTTCCAACGATCCAGAGTTCCTGAAGACGTTATGTCGGAAACTACGCAGAGGACAGACTGTCCTGTTACATGACAAGGAAGTTTTCTTGGCTGCGTATAAGGCATACTTGGATGTATGTATTTGGTTGTTACACCCAATAGGATCCGATCTAACTCTGCATATGTATAGCTCATTCGATCAGAACTCAATTCCACCAACCCCGACCTGGATGCAGACATGAAGCGTCTGCTTGAAAGTTCAGTCGACAAGCAAAAGTTTATTACGTTGTGCGAAAATTATGCAAAGTCGCAAGCCGAAGCAAAAGCATCCGTCAAGCCAGATTTGCTTGTTCTTCTTCAGGAACTGTTCGAAATCAAGCGCTTAAATCAAGGTTTAACTGGCGATAAGACTGTGGACGGCAACATTCAACAATGCTTTGTTGCGTTGGTTCGTTCCAAAATGGATTGGGATTCGTTATTCACGCCCAAAAATCCTGAAGCCACTGCATCTGATGAAATGTCAGTTGATCAACCCTCATTGGAGACCGAAAAACCGCCAGATACTGGGTCGTCCGATAACGTCACTTCAGCGACGATCTTAACGCAAGCCAAGTCAATGGTTCACACCCTATCAGGTGCTACAAAATAAGTGCCGTTTCATCCAATGAGAATGGTGCAATTTTCGAGCTAATGGATAGACCACTTTCTTTTTTCCAATGCCAAGCCCTCATTATATTTGTATGAACATTTGTATATATATATTAGCGTCTTCCGAGAAATGAAATAATGTTACCATCAATAATCCATCATGTGCATGATACAACAGCGAATTTCGGTCGTCAATCCATGATTGAAATAGAACTTCAACCGTTAATCCTAACTAAGCAATAACCCCATCGAAGCCATAAAATGCAGATGGTCAAGTGCGGATGCGTCATTACCGGCAACTGGAACACAAGGCTATCGATTGAAACAAGACAAAAAAAATTCTATTATCTAATGAAATGGAAATTTGAACAGAATGAAAAAAGTAAAAAGCGAGACTATATTAAATTATACCCTTCATCATAAGAACAATATCTTGCACGAGATAATGATTGAAAGAAAAAAATAAAAAAAGGAAAAGCTTATAAGGAACGTGCATCTCGGCTATCCGGTGCCAGCAAAAACAGTGTATCTCGGTCAGGCGCATCAAAGGATTGTAAAAAGCGATACAACTTGGGTCCCAAACCGCCATCGCTGTGTAGCAATTGCCACAAAAGAGGATGAATGGCATTTTCTTCCAGATTTTTCAAGGCCGCATAAAGGTCTACACGCGTGCCATTAGTATGACTGACATAAAACACGTCAATGTAAGCACCTACTCTTGGTAATTACTCGAACCGACTGGTCAAGCTCCGGTATCATTTCCACTCGATCGCAGATATAGACGCATGCTTGTATCACACGATAGGCAGCGATGAAAACGGATTGTCGAGATGTCAGACCGAAAGGTCCTTGTTTCATGATCTAAGTAACCATGACTTTGTGTGAATAAAAGTGCTCTGCGAGCGCAAAAGCAGTTGCAGTTGAGCACTTACAGCCATCGATTCTCCTCTTACGGCACGACACAGATCCAGGGTTTGCTGAGCAGCATCCAGTGCCCATGCTGTGTATTGGGCTGTTGATGTTTGTGGAGACAATTTTTTGGACAACAGGGCGAGATCCATGGAAGCCCATTGCACATCAATGAGCTCTTCTTTGTAAATATTGGGATCTTCTTTGGCAAACAATGCTTTTGTAAGGGCAATTTCTTCGTTCCAGACGTTTTCTACATTTACTGTGTATGAGACATTTTCGCTCGAGCGTAATATAGCAGTGAGTAGTCGACTTACGTAGTTTTTGATCGCCACACAAGGTATCCATGAGTGTCGATTGCAAACTGGCTGTATCTTGGCAAGACTTTTGCAATTGCAGATACACCAGCTCCACTGCGCGTTCAGGATGGACCGGAGACACCAAATCGAGCGCATCCGATACCATGCTTGCCATTGCATCTCTTACATCAATATCATCATCCTAAAAAGCGATAGTACCAAAAATGTCAATGATGAATATCCGGACATTTTGTTATTGGGGGGTCATACAACGCACCTGAAGAAGCTGAATCATCGACTGCTTGACCAAAATGAGCGTTTTATCATCCACCACGTTGCCTTGTTCTGCAAACAAGTCTTTGGTCACGAAACGAAGCGATTCAACGACTGTCTCACGTAAAGATAAAGGCTATCCAAAAAAGATATATGAGTATTCACTCCTGCTATGCACACCGATAATGATGTGAACCACGAACCATATCTTCACGACTGTATTTGACGATGAAGCCGCTCCAAATGGTGATGCACTCTTTGATCCATTGTCGGTCTGCTGAACTCTTGATGATCTGATATTCAAAACTATTAAAAATTTGCCTTCCTTTTTCCTTGAACCGTTCTCATTTTATATTCACCTGCGCAAGGACCGCTCCGAGTAATGGCAGGACGGATTCCGCAACAGCCGATGACCGTTTTTGTGTAAACTGCACAACCAGTTGATCCCAATACTGCTGCAGTGAGAAATCGAGCCCGGTATTGCTCTGTTCAGGATAAGGATCCACCGCACTGAGTGACATCAGCAAGTCGGCCGTAAGCACATAGCACTCGAGACTCTGTTCGCCGCCATAGGTCATGGAAACCAGTTTGGATTGAAGATGCTGCATTCTAAAACCGCGCAAAATGGTATGAATATAGGGATCGACCGAGTTTAATGTCATGCTTTGATTCTTACCCATCAAAGGCCGCTTGGGCATCTTTGGTTTCGTCCAGAGCTTCTTTCAAGTTCTTCATTGTCTGAAGGCGAACTTCATAATCGTTGTCGTCGAGCAGGTAGAGGATATCTGTCAAAGCGACATCTTCACGATAACGTTTGATGACTGTCAGCGTGATGATATTGGCCATCATTTGCTTCAGCAAGTAAGCACCAACACCATGGATGCCTGAAGAGCGCTGGGCAATGGTTTGATTGCATTGATCAAAGTACACCTGTCTCAAAGGTTGGAAAGCTTGTTCCACCATTGCTTTCAATTCTTTAAAGAGCATAAGTAAGAAATTAAGCAAATCATTTTCAGAAAGACTGTACCTGGCATCTTGACTTGCTGATCGCTGCGAATCCAAGCACATCTGAAGAAAAATTCGCCCACAATATCCAGAAGAAGAGCGCTGGTCATATTGCTTAGCTTGTTGGAAAACACGGTATCTGACAACCTCATGAACGAACGAGGCGCATCTTTCACAAACTGTGTCACGACATCAGTAATCTCTGTGTGATACAGATGGCCTCTCAGCAAGAATTGCACCTGCAGCAGGTGTCCATGAATTTCATTTTGAGACTGATCCTTATCCAGGGTCAATAATTCAGAAATAGTTGGCACCAATTTCGTGAAAGGGATCAAAGGAACCAAAGCACGAGCCGCCATTTCTCGCGTCTGTGTATTTATCCCGATTAATAGTTCAGTTAATGCGAAACTCACTATACAGTAAGTTACCTTGTAAATAGAACTTGCTGCACAAGACATCACCAGAGGAATGAAATTGGACATGGGCATCGCCTTGTCAAATCCATCCATCACAGAAGGATGCATACGCGATAAGAGGGTCAGGATAGGATACAGACCCGGGTGAATGCTGGCAGCCTACGAATGAAATAGATTAATCTTCAAGAACAGCATAACGTTCAGCTTTTGGAATATTACCATTGAATTTTGCAACAGTTGTTCGACGGCAGCTGTCAATTCCTTGAGCAAGTAAGGGTACAGTTTTGGGAAGCGCGTGAAGAATTCACGACCGGTGAGCTTATTGACGGTACTGTGTTCGTCTCTCGTCTTCTTGGTACCAAAGGTGCGCTGAAGTAGTGTAGAGAACAACATGACAGAACAGTTTCTGATGGCCCAACTAGAAAACGAAAACGCAAAGCGTAATGGTTAGCCTCTCATCTTTTTTCTTCAGTAGATTCTAGGCACATAGTGACTTACCTCGAGGATGAGAAACCATTGATAGCGAGAGAAAAGCCATCGGAAGCATATTCCAAGACACTTGTACCCAGCTTGGAATCCATAAAGATAGTTCGCAAGATATTGTATGCGTGCACTTGGGGAAGATCAATGCGCTGGTCGGCATCGACGGGCGGTTCGGCACTGGCCAGTTCCAGTAGATGTTTCATTGTTCTCTCCAACAACATCTTTCGTGACGATTTTTCACTGCTGATGATGGCTAAAATACACAACGGCAGGCCTGCACTGCGTCGTGTGATGGAAATGTTGCTGGACGTCAAGCTAGCCAAGTTTTCCTAATTTCAACCCATAAGTATGCAAGATTCTCAAACTACATACTGTAAATAACTTACGTCCAACCATTTGGAGGGAAGTTGGGCAATAGAAGGTTCATTCCAGTTCAGCAATCTCGTGTTGAGCGACACATAAGCCGGATAGACGGCCGAAAACGCTCCGCGGTGACGGATACAGGTCAACAATGTACGGAATAAATTACCACTGGTGACCAGGTCGTCATACGTAAGCAATGACTAAGCAGATTGTTGAGCAAGGAGGCCACATCCAACAGTCAAAGCTCTACTTACATTCTCGGTTGCTGTAGGAGATACAGGAGCTTCAGAAATAATGACTTCCAACAACGAACTAAATGAGATTGATTTTAGTTTGCGACCTCCCTCAGTCGGCGTACTACTATTCATCTTTCATTTACTCACCTTGCTTCCTTGACGGCACGCCAGCAGCAGCTGAGAATGACTTGGTGGCGAGGACCTGAATCACCATCGTCGTTCTCATCCACCAACTCATCAATCGCTTCTTCCATCTCACGGAACGACGCTGGCATGTTGCCTTCCGGTGAAGGATTCGATAATACGTCCATCACGGTGCTGCAAACCGTATGAATCAATGCCAATGTGCGAGTAAAAGTCGCTTTCCATTCATGCATGTTGCTGCGGACGCTAGGGCTCCTGTAGTCGATTTCACGGATCACATACCTATCGCGATGAAAATCATTAGCTTTCCAGCCCTATGTATCGGTAAAGCGAGATACCTACTGTAGAGCAAGCAAAGTACCGTGCATTGGATGTTGCTGTGCGGCAACCAACAGATTGGTTTTGGCAATATTCACTTGCTTTTCAAGCAAATCCAAAAGTCGCTGAGTGAATGTCACTGTCAACCATATTATGTTAATCAATTTGCGCCCTTTTGGATGTGACCTTGCGTACCTGCTGCTGACGATGTTTTGTCCGAGCTTTTCTTGGGCTGAACGCCTGTTTGTTCAGGATATAGATCGAATCCTAGTTCGGTAACATATTTACGGAACACCAATCTGAACACCATGGCGCCACTGTCACTTTCGCCCGCTCTCGTGCTGACGACGTTGTTGAGACCCCACCAAAGAAGATTTTGCACATCATGGACGGCTTCGAGGCCAGGAAGGGGGTTAGGGAACTGGCAAAGAATATCGAATGCCAAAGATCGATTCAGATCGTAGGGGTTCATCAGCACATCGATGAGAAGTTTGGCGTTGCGAGCGGTAGCGATAGGAATTCGGAAAGGGAACTCTGGGCGGAACGTGAAGCCATCGGGAATGGGCAATTCTTCAATGCCAAAGATCTTGATCATGACACTGAGAATACGTAATGCGGAGGCCACCCTCTGGAACGATGCGCCGGGATAAAGCGACATGGCTACGTGATCCATCAGCCAGAATAGAAAACTTTTAGCCTGATCGATCGATTGTTGAATATCTCCAATTTCGTTGAGGGCATATTGTCTATCTTTATCGGTGATGGTATCTGCTTTCTTTTCGATATACGATTTTCGTGATTTCAATGTGCGGTATTGCGCATACAAATTGGCTCGTAGTCGAGTAAAGATCTTTGTTAAATGAGCCGCGAGTTTTTGACGGAATTCGGGCGATGTACAATTCATATTCAGCGGTAAAAAGAGCTTCAACATTTCCAGCTCCACCTCGGTGACGCCGGAAGCGACTTTGCCAGACTCACACAAGAGTCCAAACACATCAATACGCACTTGGGGATCGGCATGGTAAATCGCGAGTTTCAGCGTGTCGATGGAGATTTTGTGAGTATCGTCTGAAGCACCGCCTACAATAACCAAGGCGACCGCCGCGGTGATTTAAGTACCCCTCATTCACCCAAGTGACCATGTACATTTTGTTCTTACCCAATACATAACCACTGCCATCCACGATCTCAAGACTTCTTCCTACTTTGAGGATAGTAATGAAAGCGTGAAGAAGAAAGTGTCGATCCAAGACTGCCCATTGCTCATGATCCGGTTTCTGTAAAATGCTCATCATACGCCAAAATGATTCAGGGCATAACTTGAATAGCGGTTGGAGAATAAATCCGCTGGCATTTCGTCGCAACACCTCAGACGTTGAGGTCAAGCATCTCAATGCAGGCATCACCCATAAATCAATCCACTGCCCAATGGCCAACTGATACAGAAACGAAAGAAATGGATGCATGAGCAGCGTACTCCTTTTGTGGTATAATGATGATCTCGACTTACTTGAGATGAAGCATCTTTTGCCTTGAGTTTTGTGTTGTGGAACTTGGAGCCCTTGTATCCGGGAATCGTCTCTTCCACTCGACGATACAGAAAAGTCAGAATAAGCGATGTGATCTGAGGCGACAGGACCAGGCTGTCCATCGCGCATAAGCATTTCCAAATAAGATCCGGCTCGGCTTGCAAAAATGCATCCGTGCCGATTTTCGGTACCAAAATATTCAACAAGGCATATTTCACCTAGAAGCATGAAATTAGAGCTCCAATTTCTTTTTCCTATTTCTGCCACAACAGGTTGCAGTACCTTGCGGTGCCAATCCATCATCATAAGGTTTTTTAACAAGCCCGATAAGAATGCATCATATTCTTTCTGCTCTTTATAGAAATCTGCCTTGATCTCCAACGTTTGTAGCGTTAATTCGAAAATAGTTCGCACCTGAATGGCATGTACACATAAGTCTCTCTGTCGATATACTGGACACTTGCTCGCTTACCTTGTGCTGAATAGCATCAATAGGATCATCCCAGTGATCCCACACGTAATGAATCATTTGACCCACGTTGTCAATAGTGAGCACGTCAGATACTTGGTTCATGACGTCGGTGTTTCCCTTTGAATTGGAAAGGATCGTGGTCGTCTCCAATAACCACATGCCCAAAGATTCAAATGCCATCACTTTGGTTTGCGCTTCCAAATCCGAACGAGAGCAAATCAGATCAAGGCTAATGAAGATGGCTTCGTACAAACTCTTGGGAACGCTATCAATGCCAAAGGGGGGGGGAAAGAAAGCCATTTTAACATCAAGCCAATAACCTCACGTGGAATCGCTTACGTTTCCAACCAAGAGACAGGACGGAACTCTTCCGGCAGGTCCGACGAGAGTAACACCTCTCTGCGAAGGCCAGAGAGGATACCTCGGAAGATCGCGAGCATTGGAACATCACGATCTTGCCATCCCTTCATGCCGACCAATGCTGAAGGTGGGGTGAGTCCGAAAACCTGGCGAAGATGAACACAGGCGGGAAGCGAACTGACACCTTGTGCAAAGAACCATCCCAGCGCCCAATCACGAGCAAATCTGTCGTCCTGAACAGCATTGATCACGGATCCCAAAGCCATGCCCGCTACTTGGCAACATTCTTTGACGTAGGTTCCTGTATGGCTGCAAATATCCAGTAAGATCCGGACCATGGCTACCAACAATTTCACGTCCTCATCATCCTCCGTATATGTGAGCGTGAATTTTGCAAACATTGTTTGTGTCATTTCATGGCTACGCGATAAGAGGGCCAACAGCGTCTTTGCCAAGTACTGAATATCGTTCATCAACTGATCGATCGTCGTGGAAGTCAGCATGGTTTCCGTATCGGTTCTCGCATTGTGTAATTGTTGACAAGAACTCTGCAGGCCTCGGACCAAAAATTGAAGCGTTGCTTTGAAGTTTTGCATGATGAGCTGCTTTCCAATATCAAAGTCTAGCGTAGCATAAATGGTCAATGCTTTCTGGGCCAACGAATGTTCTGCGAATTCTTGGAGGGACTGTGCCAAAGCGATATATCGTGTATAATAATGCTGTAAAACGGTATCGTTCCCGTACTTTGAAATAATATTGATCAGCGGCACGAAATGACGACGGGAGACATTTTCAGCGGCAGCGAAATATCCCAAGGAAACAATGGGCTGGACGACGTGAATGATAAAATCGCGATCGGTTTCGGGCACCTCGTTTGCTGAAGTACATGACTGCAACGATTTGGCTGTCGTAGGGTCAGTGATATCATTTATTTATTTTTCGGGCAATGGACTCGAAGCACTTACCGACTTGCTTTAAACAGGCGGCCTGATTCTCCCAAGACGAGTCGCGATTCTTAACGAGCTTATTCAGCGCGATTACGGCAGGGTGATCTTGGCCAATGCGTCCTCTGTCCACATAATCATCGAGAATTTTAGACCAAGTAGAAAAAACCTGAGGAGGGAATTTCACCGGCTTGGCGCCATGCTTCTTCTTCTCCGAGATGCTCATCGGATATGGATGTTCAGCCGTAGCCCGATGTAACAGGCATGCTTTGATCCATCACTTTTTTTTTTCGTCAAAAGCGAGTCACGATTGTCAATAGTTAAAAGTCCGCAGCATTAACCTACAAGCTGGAGAACCCTCCATGGCATTTCTCTCTTTCGGCATACAATGCCCAGAATGCTTGTTATTTCTCGAGGTTATTTATTTTATTTTCCTGTTTTTGTAGAATCGATGCGATATGCAAGCGATGCTTTAAAAAGGCCGCGTTATTTATTTATACGATAGTTTTAATCAGCATGGCAACCAGTAAACAGCATCTGCCTTGTCCGGGATTAACTTAAAAAAAGAGATTCATTCATGGGCACCTGATTTCATTAATATCATGTCATGAACTGATGGGTGAAAAATGCATCAAAAACATTGCTTCCAGAATTCAAAAGACATTTAACAGCCGCTTCGGTAAAGTTTTTTCTTTTTATTGCAGAGTTTCACCTTAACTTATCGCAGCAAATTTTTTCCTTTTTTTGGTCTTTTTTTTTGCTTGCAACATTCAGCAACAGGCAAGTGAAGTCTATTATGGGAAATCGTGTATGTTGGCAGCCATTCCGAGCATCCGGAACCTGCTTTGAACGAGATTCTGCATATTTCTGCATCGTCATTGTGGTACCATCCACCTGCCTGATTAATCTTGCAATAGAGTCGAAAATAGAAGGAGGAAGTGCCAAGTTTGGGTTACCTGGAAGAACTTCCGGAAACGAAACAGTAAAAGAGACATTTTATTCTTCCTCATTTGACAAGTGTCAAGTGTCTCTTGATGTCGGACAATGAATCGAAGGGCTCTTCTTCGTCGGCCATTGAAAACCAATACGTCATAGAGACACTCTCCTGCATTACATGCGGACAGTGCGTTCCTACATTTGCTTTGAACGGAATGTCAACTTTTTTGTCGCCTATTCTGGCTACGACGGTATATCATGCCGGGATGAAATGTTTTGGCGTCGGTCCTGTGTCATTCCATATAAAGTACGTGAACACTATATCATCGAACTTCGTTTCTCGCTTACAATAATTTTGCCGACTTACCGGACCTTGAAACCCCATGCAAGTCCAATTCACCTTTTTCGGGCATGAATCGACAGATGCAAGTTTTTCCGAGAAAGAAATGAAATCATTCAACTTTTTTTTTTGCATAGCCTTTCACCAAACCGTTAGAAACTTTTTTCTAAGCGGAATTTTCCTTCATCATTATTTAACTCGTATAGAGACAAATTGAAACTTCCCTTTCGAACCGATTCTTCTCTTCGTTATTACTTTGAGCCTATTTCACCCAATTCCTCCTTATTTTTTCTGTAAATTTATTCTAAAGGAAATATAGTAATCGCAACATGGAGATGCCAGCGTTGCAGGCCGTGCCGTCTGTGCGGTACGACCGAGATGAAGATTTTCATCAAAACGAACAAAATCGACCGTCATCGGTTGCTAGCGAAGATAGTCAGCCTGACAGCGCAACCGATACTGGTTCGCAATTGAAACGATCCACTACACGAGCAACCGAAGGTGGCTTCGGTGAACGATCGGGTAATGCTGTCAACATTGAAGATGCCATTTCCAACTACCAGTCACTTCGTCGCGAGATGACCCAGCAGTCCCGTATGTCCCGACGTCCCACTGAAGGAGGCCAAGAAGAAAAAGGTCCCGAAAGTGATGATTTTGATCTCACTGATTTCCTCAAGAGCCACAACGAAGAAGCACAAGCCGCCGGTTTTCATCCCAAGAATATGGGTGTCGTCTGGAAGAATCTTGTTGTGAAAGGCCTGGGTGCCGACGCTAAAGTGATTGGTACCAATTATACCTGGCTGAAATCAATGGTGCAATTCTGGAAATGGGGCAAACACGAAGGTCATGATTTCACTATCCTTAAAGGAAATAATGGTTTCTGTAAAGATGGTGAGATGCTGCTTATTCTGGGCCGTCCAGGTGCTGGTTGTACTACGCTTCTTCGTGTGATCGCCAATATGCGATCTTCTTACACCGATATCGAGGGTGAAATTTCCTATGGTGGCATAGAAGCCCGCGAGTTCGGCAAGCATTTTCGCGGTGAAGTCTGTTACAACGAAGAAGAAGATTTGCATTATCCCACTCTAACCACCAAGCAAACATTGACGTTTGCGCTCAAGACAAAAACACCCGGTAAACGTCTTCCAGATGAAAGCAAGGGCGAATTTATCAACAAGGTGCTTTATATGCTCGGAAACATGCTTGGTTTGACCAAACAGATGAATACCATGGTCGGTAACGCTTTTGTACGTGGTCTTTCCGGTGGTGAACGTAAACGTTTGTCCATTGCTGAACAAATGACAACGCGTTCCTCCATCAACTGCTGGGATTGTTCCACTCGTGGTCTCGATGCCTCTTCCGCCTTGGATTATGTCCGTTCTCTGCGTATCATGACCGACATTTTGCATAAAACTACCATTGCCACTCTGTATCAGGCTTCCGACAGTATTTTCCATTTATTCGACAAAGTCATGGTGCTTGACGAAGGTCGTTGTCTCTATTTTGGTCCTACCTCCAGTGCCAAGTCCTATTTTGAAGATATGGGTTTCTTTTGTCCGGATCGTAAATCGACCCCTGATTTCCTGACAGGTCTCTGCAACCCGAACGAACGCCAGTTCCGCGAAGGTTTCGAAGACAAGACGCCGGTCAATTCGGCTCAGTTTGAGAAAGTATTCCTGGAATCGTCACTGTATCAAGATATGATCAAAGAACGTGAAGAATACGAAGCCAAGATTGCTGAATCCCGCCCAGATGAGCATTTCAGAGAGGCTATCCGTGAAGCCCATCAGAAACACGCTCCGAAACGATCTCCCTTTGTCGCTACGTACATTTCCCAGGTGAAAGCGTTGACGATCCGTCAATTCCAGCTTATTTTTGGTGATAAAGGTGCTTTGGTGTCTCGTTATGGTGGTGTCGTTATTAAAGGTCTTATCATGGCTTCCGTCTTTTACAAAATGCCTCTCGATGGTACTGGTGCTTTCTCACGTGGTGGTGCTTTTTTGTTTTCTTTACTGTTCAATGCTTTGATTGCGCAATCAGAATTGGCCGCCTTTATGCAAGGTCGCCGAGTCTTGGAGAAACATAAGCATTTCGCTTTATACCATCCATCGGCGTTCTATATTGCTCAAGTTATTTCTGATCTTCCGTTGGCCTTGGTGCAGGTGATCATCTTTGAAATTTGTGTCTACTTTTTAATGGGTCTCGTACTGGATGCCGGAAAAGTAAGTCTTATTTTCTTTCAATGCCCATCACGATCATTCATGTGTATTGATTATATTTTATTGCTAGTTCTTTACCTTCTTTATCATTCTTGTGGTGACCAATATGTGTATGAACGGTTTCTTCCGATTCTGGGGTGCTGTATCGCCCAACTTTTTCATGGCATCGCAGTTATCCAGTATTCTGCTTATTGCGTGTCTCATCTACTGTGGCTATCAGTAAGTCATCACCATCCCATTGTAACTTACATCAATCAGTATTTATATTGAGTGATAATTTTTAGAATTCCATACAAGATGATGCATCCTTGGCTGTTCTGGATTTATTGGATTAATCCTCTGGCCTATGGTTACAAGGCTTTGATTTCCAATGAATTGACTGGTATGAAGTTTTCTTGTGAGGGCCCCAACTCGGTGCCATCCGGTCCAAGCTACAACCAGCAACAATATCAGACGTGCTTGTTGCCTGGTGGTCAACCCGGTCAACCCTATGTTCTTGGTGATACCTATTTAGCAACAGCTTACGGTTACTACACCAATCAACGTTGGATCAACTTTGTCGCTGTCATTTTATTCTTCCTTTTCTTCACCGTCATTACTGCTCTGGCTATGGAATATGTCGATCTTCAGAAAGAAGGTTCCATCACCAAGGTGTACAAGGCCGGCCGCGCTCCCAAGGAAGAAAGTGAAGAAGAATTACTTCAGAAAGTGCAATCAGCAGAGGATGAAGAAATGGAAGCTGTGTCACACGGAACGACCTTCTCGTGGCATCATATCGATTACACGGTGCCTGTCAAGGGCGGTAAACTCAAGCTACTCAATGATGTTGGTGGCGTGGTGAAACCAGGTCATCTGACCGCTCTTATGGGATCCTCGGGTGCTGGTAAAACCACTCTTCTCGATGTATTGGCTCAACGTAAGACAATTGGTAAAGTCGAAGGTCGCATCTATATGAATGGTGAACCCTTGAACCATGACTTTGAACGTGTCACTGGCTACTGTGAACAGATGGATGTTCATAATCCGGCTGCTACGGTGCGTGAAGCGCTCAAGTTCTCTGCTTATTTGCGTCAACCGGCTGAGGTGCCAAAGGAAGAGAAGGATCAGTACGTAGAACAGATTATTACGTTGATGGAAATGGAAAAGATTGCGGATGCTCTTGTCGGTGATCTGGAAACCGGTGTAGGTATTTCTGTTGAAGAACGCAAACGTCTGACAATTGCGGTGGAACTGGTCGGTAAACCGAAACTGCTTTTCTTGGATGAACCTACATCTGGTCTGGATGCGCAAAGTTCGTACAACATTGTGCGCTTTATTCGAAAATTGGCCGATGCCGGTTGGCCCGTGCTGTGTACCATCCATCAACCTTCGGCTACCTTGTTTGAACATTTCGATCATTTGGTTCTGCTTGTGCGTGGTGGTAAGACGGCCTACTTTGGTGAAATCGGTCCTAACTCGGAAACCATGATCAACTACTTTGAATCGAACGGTGGACCTAAATGCTCGCCCAATGCCAATCCTGCCGAGTACATCTTGGAGTGCGTCGGTGCTGGTACGGCCGGTAAATCCAATCGTGACTGGGCCGATGTGTGGGCCAATTCCCCTCAAGCCAAGGCTTTGGAAGACGAATTGGAGCAGATCCATCAGGACATCGATCACGACGCCAAGAGACCCAAGGCTAGCAAGTACTCATTGAGCTTCTGGAATCAATTCTGGCTTGTGTACAAGCGTATGAACGTCTCGTGGTGGCGTTCTCCTAGTTACAATTTGGGTCGATTATTCAACGTATGTTTCATTGGTCTTATTTCTGGTTTCTCTTTCTGGAAACTCGGCAATTCCCCTGGTGATATGCAAAACCGTATGTTCTCGGTGTTCACTACGCTGCTCATGAGTAATGCTCTCATTATTCTGGCGCAACCCCGATTCATGCAAGAACGTATGTGGTTCCGTCGTGAATATGCATCCAAGTATTACGGCTGGGCTCCATTTGCCTTGTCCTGTATCCTTGTGGAAATCCCGTATCTTTTGTTCTTCTCGGCCATCTTCCTTTGCTGCTTCTACTGGACCGCAGGTCTTCAAAATGAATCTAGCCGTGTTGGTTTCTTCTACATCCATTTCGCAGTGTTTATGATGTACTCAGTGTCTCTTGGTTTCATGATTGCTGCCTTCTCCAGTACTCCTCCCATGGCCGCCGTCATCAATCCTTTCTTCACCTCCATCTTGATTTTGTTCGCCGGTATTGTCCAACCTCCCAGCTCCATGCCTCATTTCTGGAGCTCTTGGATGTATTGGCTTGGTAAGTCTGGTTCAATCTTTTTTTGGATGGGACATAGCCTGGAATCGAATACTAAATGTGATTTTTCTTTGTAGATCCATATCATTATCTAATAGAAGGTCTTGTGGTGAATGTTATGGCTGGTGTTGACATCCAATGTGGTGATGGCGATTGGATCCCTGTGAATGCTCCTCCTGGACAGAGCTGTGGACAGTATTTCCAAGAGTACTTCAGCTCTCCACAAACGACCGGTTATTTGCAAGATCCTAGTGCTCAAGGGACATGTAATTACTGCCAATACACAAAGGGTAACGACTACTATGAAGGACGCATCGGATGGCACTACTCCAACAGGTAAGCAATACGAAATGCTTTTGATAATTTGGAAAGACGACTCATCGCTCATCGATTTTTATAGATGGCGTGATTTTGGTATCCTTTGTGCTTACTACGTTTTCAACGTTTTCGCCTTCATGTTCTTCGTATTCTTATTCCGCAAGGCTAAGCGTTAAATTATGTGGCATACCATGATTTTCATTCAGTTCAGTGCATAATATTATATCTACGAACTTTCAGTAGTACGGGCCGGTCGGATTATTCATAATTTACGACCCAAAGAAAAAAAAAATCAAAGGCCTCGCTCTGTTATATCATAATAATGTGTAATAAAATTAGATCTTTTTGACTGAAATGTTACGTTGTAGGGAAAATGCCGAAGATATTTAACTCCTTGGGCCCTTATTTTCGCATCACCATTACTTTGAACGCATTTAACTTGCTGATCTTGAGCACGATGAGCCGTGCTTCATGTTGCCGCTTGCTTCAACATGCTAACTTTTTCGAGACACTCCTAATTCTGCCCTTTCCATAGTAATACCGAAGGGCTGCCTTGCCATAAGCAACCACCGGAAAGGTTCACCAAGCATGTCGTCATTTCTATCAAACTATAGGTTAAATGACATTTCTATCAGATGCCAATGTATTGCTAACATCAATATTTTTGCTGTGACATACATTGTATAATGCGCTTAAGAGAATATTGACCCACGGGTGTTCTCAAGGTGCACGTGCTTTTGAACACATATTTGCTGATTTTGTATACAAAGACACATACAATTCTGATATAGATCTTCAATACATCCTTGCATGCAAATTACAAGCCCTGTCATGACCATATAAACGATGATAGGCTTCCGTACTTGGTCATGTTCAACAGCATTCCTATCTTTTTTTAGATTCCGGATTTATATCAGATTTGTGTCGCCTGCTCTCCAAAAAGAATTTATTACCTGTTGTAATAACTGGTTAGACTGCTACAAACATACGCCAGTGTCTTCATTAGTATTATGAAAAGAGGCACTGATGCACCCATGGAATTCATAAATAGCTTGCTCACTGACCAAATGTGCTGTCAGTAAAACTCCAAAATTGTATCGGAGCAACCGGGTGGATCCATCCCTTATTCCCCCCACCCATTTCTTCCACCCCCAACTTCTGGACTGTCTAGCTGATGAAGTTTCAAACACATGGTCCTGAGTTTTAAACAAGGCAGTGAGTGACGCTAGACCACGGGAACTTTGGGATCTTCTGTTGTACAGAAAGCGTACACAGTACCAGCAGCAATAATGATTTCATCACGATAGTGGCACCCATCTATGTTGTAATTCAAAAGGTAAAAAACAGTTTATTGTGATTCAATTGAAGTTGTTACTCGAAAACACGAATAAAACTAGTTTCATAACCATGTTGGAGAATGCTGTGCCGGCCCACTGGGAAGGCTTTGTAGCGGAAGTCTATAAATACAGAATGATTTAAGGTAAATGAATATAAAAGATGAGACGCAGTATAAAGGAGGTGAAATGGGAAATCTAAGCATGCTTCACGACGAGAAGGTGGTTATTTTTTCTCGGATGACATTTCCTGTAGTGGTTCGTGCTGTTCGGTAGAAAGTGGGTTATATGTAGGCAACATGGCAGCCTTGGCGGCTTTTTCCGAAAGTTCAACTTTCCTATAAGCACAGATTTCCACATGAGTAATTATGCCAGCAAGAAACCTTGTCGACAGTGTCTACTTACCCATACCAGGCACCACCAGCCAATGTTAAGAGAATACCAAAAGCGTTGGTGGCGTTGATATTCAGCTTGAAAATCATGACAGCCAGGATAATGGACAACACCTGCTTCACATTTCCTACAGAACACATTTCAAAATTCCTGGTCTGCGTCGTTTTGCGTTAATCATGACATACCAGCTACTGTCATGGTGAGAGCGCTTGTCTTTTTGTTGGCAGTGAAACTGACAATGTTGAGAGCAAATGCCAGGATACCATTGAACAAGAGTCCTACAGCAAGCTGTTTGGTCATGTTTGTTGCCGAGAATTCTTGTACTTCTGCCAGTTCGCCGGTGAAATATGCATAACAAAGGCATTGAACAAAAGCGAGCGGAGACATGCGGAAAAGCAGATCTAAAGGATGAAGCTTCAAACGACCAACTTGGACACGATTGGTTACAATGGTCTTCACAGCTGCCAGAGCGGTGCCAAGCACAGTCAATAGGAAGCCCATCATGGTGTAATCATATTCACCCGCGGTGGCAAACGCTACGCCCAGTACCACCTATAATGAAACAGCAAATGTCAGAAGTGCCGAGGAAAGATCGCGAGAATGGTGGCACTTACAGGACACAGCGACCAATAGATCATGCGTGAATATGATTTTTGCAAAAACATGAGGGAAATGAGCACGGTGAAAACTGGTGTCATAGCGCGCACCACTTGATGGAACTAAGTCGGAAAGGGAAAATTGCGAACAAAAAAAGTTCAATCACCCGAAATATTACATCACACACTGTATACGTACTGCAACGGATACGAGATTTCTATGTTAAAAATAGAGACATCAGCACAAGTTGCCTTATCTATTGAAAGATTCTCCTCTCCCTCCCCCAACTCGAGCCAGTGGTTGCAGTTTTGTTTATCTTTCCCGAAATAAGCCCCTTGTTATCTCCATGACATAACCGACCAATGATCGACTACCCTAGGGCCGCATGTTGAAAGTAATCTCGACTGATATGCAGCACACAATGAATGATCCCTCTTCTTCCCCAAATAAAGAAATAAAGCCTGCCGACCCAAGGAAAGATATGCAACACTTACAATGAGACATTGCTAATGGCGATATTGATAGTGTACAAAACTGAGAACATGAGCATGACCATGTTCTCATTGCGACCGAGCGTGGCAGGCACAAAGAAGCCAAAAATATACAGGAGATAGCATCCGATCGAACCGCAAAGGGTATGAATAGCGGTGAGTGTCCAAGGGTAGCGGAAGCCCAGAAGAATGGCTTTGTTGTAAAGGGTAAGGGACAAATTCAAGATAAAGTACAGGCCGAGCCAAAGGTATCCGGCGTCAACGGAAGAGCGAACCGATGACATTATTGAACAATAGAGAGCGAAAGAGAGAAAAAGGAAAGGAAAGGATACCGAGAATAAACGAACAGAAGAAAAGGGAAAAACCAGATGCAGAAAAACGAAAAGAATAAAAGAAAAAAAGAAGGCAAGTGCCATTTCCCAAACGATTAATACGTCCATCATCCAATCAAAATACCGTGCGGTATTTCGTTTGGCTGAGAATACTTTATTAGCTTGCCTTAATTGGGAAACTCGTTTATTGCATCTTTTTTTTTCTGGTGGATCAACGGAAATGAATCCCAGAAGGGATAAAAGCCTGTTGCCCTCCAAGGAAGATATCAGCGCTGTTGTGAGCAACTTCGTTGACTTGCCAAGCAGAGGCATGGTTACGATCTTTCTCGCCATTACGAACGCTCCATGTTTCCTAACTGTAACTGATCCCTGTTACTCTACATCCTGCAATTAGACGCTGTCTGCCTGAACCATTCTTTACCTGTCTCCAGCTCTAAAACATAACGTCATACCAAGTTGCGGTATGTTATTTGTAGCAACAAGGTTATTATGATGTTGCCCCATGTCGACATGGCAACGTGAGTGACCGATTTGCATTTTTCTACATTGGATATGCGCTTTTATTTGCCTTGCAAAGAACTCAGAGGCCATAACGGAACATAGATCCCAGAAGTAAAAGGAAAATAGACGCACTCAAAAAGTCATAAGTCCTTGGAGGAGGGCTTAGATGCAGAAGCGAGTCATATTATAGGAATTTTCTCGTGCTGATGCGGGTAACGCATCCGCGATGTGCAACATTATCAGATATGGGTGCCACGGATGCTTTGACAACAATCGAGTTCGTTCTTAGAAGTGTCCCTTTGAATAGTACCACTCGTTAAAGATTTGACATAGTATAGTTCCAGTTCTGTGAAAGGGTGCTGGATGGTTTCAATTACTCTGCATATTGCAACTATTGAAACCGAGATGTATAGTCTTCGATCATCATTCTATGTATTTCTCATCGCATAACATCTGCACACGATGCACTCCCACTATCAAAATTCCTTATTTCTCGACCATCTAGATTTTCACTGTTGTCGACTTGCTCAGCTTACCACCATATGAGCGGCAAGCAAAACAATGCAATATGCAACTCTGACTGAACAAGTATTGTATGGCGGACGTGTCATCCATTGTGGTGTGCAAACAGATTAGGATCCACCGGCTACAAATTGCGAATAACATGGGCCACTTTATTAATTCACTACAGCAAACGACCCGCTGCCGATGATAAACAACCTCCGATCATTCATTGTTTGCACCACGTCATATGCTCGTGGACTGTGGAAGTTGTTGTGAGGATACCCAGCCCACATTGTCATGCTTTGCTTTTAAACTTTCGGTTTATTGTTATTACTGAATTCTAATGGTTGCTTTCATTCTTAGTGTTCGCCTTCGGCGGCATGGCCAGCCTTGGAGGTAAGGTAGGCATGCTTAGCGTTAGCCGAGCTGTAGATGTAGTAACCGAGAGCGAATGCAGTACCGACGTAAGGCACCTGAGATAAAGTGCGACGAGCAGTGTTGAAAACGGCGTTGTACATAACACCAGCAAAAGCTCTTTGTTCGAAGGGGGAAAGGATGTAAGTGACGACACCCTAAAAAAGAAAACTAGGTTAGAATGCGCGCTGTACACCACCATGTCGTATGTGTTTCATTCGAAATTCTCGCAATAGTATGGTGTTTTTTGAACGTCAAATACGTACTCTTTGAGTGGGACCACCCATGTTACCCCACCTATACAGCCATTAGTACAAAGGATCTGTAACGATAACAGCGAATAGAGAACTTACCAGCCCATGTAAGTTTTACCGCCAGCTCCGCCCATGTTGCTTTATTAGTTGCTAGAAACGTCACGTCAGCATACGACAGAAGAGTTTATCTAATGGGACGTTGTTAAGTACCTTGATAATGTAAAGAAGAGTGGGGAGATTTTTTTGAGAGTCAACAAAAAAACAAATTGTTTTGTCGGGGTGGGATTGAAGAAAGGGTCCCCAAGGTGACCGGGATTTTTCAAAATTTTGCGTCATCCTCAAATGCTTGTCCGACAGGTTTTGCCGGACTTTCTGCGTCGATTTCGAGAATAATGTTCATTCTTGCAAAATAGACACATATTCATTGATAAGACGGCGTTGTCTGCAGTTTATAGTCTGGGAAGTGTAGGCTGTAATTTTTTACAAAGTTAAACCGAAATTTATCGTATTTGCTGTTTTTAGGAGACAAACGCACATTCCAATAAATCCACCTGACAAACAGATCTTAACGGTTGTCATATTATCGCAACGATATACTCTAAGTGAACATTACAGCGATAATCATTCAACTCCTATATCGCATATTGTACACAAAAATTGAATTTATTTTTAATCCAGCTGCAAATGTGAAGTAACCGAAGTTACAGCAAAGTTTTCGGTTGACCCAGGAAGAATCGACGTAAGCCATGATGATTTCACACGTATTCCTTTTAAGTTGTGGAGATATGCGTATAGCGACTTGATGTATGTTAAGAAGGACTTGCCAGTTTCTCGAAGAAAGATATTTTAATAACGAGTCCTTGGTCCCTATGTATCACCCGGTCATGATTACTGTGTTTGCTTATGGTGGAGATCGCAGGGTAATACGGACACCAAGGCGAATTGGGAATAATGGCCGGCTTCAAATATGCTTCCATCGGCCGTTGCACCTTGTGGAGATCTTATACAGAACAGAATAATGCATTCTGCCGCTCGATCTGCTCATACATACGTACTGTAGATGATGCTTAGTATCGCCATCGCCATGCTGACATGCATGCTTAATTTCTTTCCAGTAAATATGTGGTTTTGTTTGTCTACAGTATATGGTAAACATGAGCTAAAGTGCTGATTTCTTTTACAGTTGAGACAAATGAGTAAACCAAGAAATGGAAATCGAAACCAATTCAATACCGTGAGAGTGTTGGAACGATATGATCGTCCTCCTATAAGATAGGAATTAGGATCAACCATAATGGCGAAGACGATCATTATACCCGTATCATGGCTGTGCTATTCCGCGTACTGTAATTGATCTGCCTGTCTGAGCCTCTCATAATGTACTGATATGCTGTAGTTTTTATTTTGAATACTACACTGATTTATGTGTGTTTGAGATGCATCGATTTACGTATAGGATTTACCATAAGCCTATGTCAGTAGTCTGATATAAAGAAGTCAGCAGACTGACCCTCATTTATCGAGGTGTCGTCTTACATCCAATTTGCGAGAGTGATACAGTGTGATAATAGATCAAAACAGATATCGCATAATAATTGAATTCTTTGTATGAGTATATCGTGTCGATCTTTGGCCGTTTCAGAAAACAACTCAATCAGATGGATAAATCCTGCTTAGAGACTAAGTAATAACCCTGAACCGTGTTGAAAATGACTCGTCATTAGCTTATACCATATTTATTCGATATTGTGTAGCAGGCGCTAACCGGTATCTTGTAAGATCTAATGCTTGTTCAGAAACGGCAATATGGTTGACCTCGTCACAGGCGCGTTTCTTCGCAGGAATAGCCGATGGAGCCGTTTGTATGTCATAACACCGATATTTGATGAAATCTAATGAGAGAAAAATCGGCATGAAAAATATTTATGATCCTTAAATGCTTATTCTGATAGAGAAAAGTTCTACCCTTCTTGTGTACACATGATCTGCATTTCATCCATGCGGAAAATGAATTTCCGGGTTAAAAAAAAAGTGTCAAGATTTTTGGGGGAAAATGGCCGGTGGCGACATCATCTTTCTCTGGAACTCTAGTCTAGCATATTGTTTAATGTTTGAAACCGTTTATTCCCAAAACACGTGGCATTGATTTCGTTGCAAACTGCCCTGAATTTTTATAGGCTTACCATTGCAGATAATGTTCCATATTGGTAATGATCGGCGGATGGTGTTACGACAGCTTGTTGACTCTTCATCTGCAAAACTAATTAACTATTTGTGTTGATGCATTTTGTTCTCAAAAAGGAGTCAATGCGTGCTTGTCTGTGACGTTGGTCGCTAATGCATTCATTTAGCTGATCCATGACTTCGGCGGTGAAATTACGTCGAACAAGTACACAAGGCGTCAGCCACTGCATCAGAGAAAATACGAAGGCAGGGTTTGATGCGTGTCACCCGAAGAAAACGCTTACCAGTCTCAAACGAAATCAGGATAATGCATAGAGATTACTTTCATCGAAACATGTACAGGAAAAAGACATGCCAAGAAATCATATGGCAAATTGATTGTTTAGTCAGACGCCTCATCGCCACTCACGCTCAATGTCCGCACGGCATCTGAAAAGGCAGGACAATTACCGAATTTGTAACACGATCTCGCGTATATCACCATGAAATGGATATGCACAAACTGGTATCCAGATTCCCCTCGTTTCTGACTCCCCGCGAAAACAAGTCGGAAAAAGCTGTATATTTTCGCTTTGACCTTCTCATAATATACCTTTTCTCTTCGCCACTCTGTTTGCTTTTATTTTCTTTTCTACCCCCTTCTACCTTTATATCTTTGCTACAGTGTTTTCGACATACCGTAAGCAGACTTCATGGCATTCCGATAATGCCACTTTTCTCCTTCGGAATCCGATCATCATCGTCATCGCAACGTACAAAGCCAGTTAAAAAACGATTTCAGCACAAGCTTACCGCAGTGTTTACTGAACGGTGGTGGCGTCCAAAATCTCGTGCGGCAAAGAACGATCGCGAAAATACTTCGAATACGCGCGATTGGCGATCGTTGTCTCCTGATCGTCCTCCATTGCCAATAATGCCAGCAGTGGCGGACAGGTTAGCAAGAACGACGCTTCCTCTGCCTAATGTTACGCACACCACGCCGCCGACGGAACAGATTCCGATATTCCAGGTTAGTCAAGAAATTTTTTTTTCATCCTCAGTTCCGCGCAAAAAGGACAAGAAAGAGAAAAAAAAGAACACGGAATTGCCGAGATTGGGCTGAGAATAACAATGACCGGATTGAGGATTGAAACATGGTACAAAGACACCTTTCAAGGGGTAAATGTTATCTTGTCATTTCCGGCTATGTGAACGTGGACAAGCAACGCCACATGCTTGTTTATGTTCTGTCAACGTGACTTTGACCCAACTATTCACGACAAGATAAAGAGAAAACAAGGAGGCGAGGGAAAGAAAGCATGCCTCATTTGGTAGAGTACGTGAGTACTATTCACGATTGGTGATACAGTGTCGTTTCACTAGTATATCATTTCCCCACCGACGCCATTCAATACCTTGTCGCTGCCAGGTTGCCGTCGATTTGCTACTCAGTGGCTAATGACAGAAAACTGCATATGATTAGAAGGGGTGAAATGGGAAAATGAGCCAAGCCAGTGATAGTTGAGCGAAAAGCTTGATCTGCAATGACGAGAGAGGGGGACTATGATTGGCGGAAACGGGAAAGTGGAAAATGATCAGCCGAGGAATGAGCCCTTTTTTTCGCTATCTATTTATGCGCGATGTATGCACTTCTTTTTATGTCGGATTTTCTCACTCATTGCCTTCTTTTCTCTCTTCTTTAATTTTTTTCTAGCATCCAGGCATTGCTTTTGCTTCCTCCGCATCTTATAAATATCCCGCTCATCTAATAGAAGATCGTACGATACGTCCACTATTCACCATTGTTGAAGAAAGTGATACCGTCATGTCAGAAGATTCAGTTCACTCCAGCCAACCATCGAACAAACCACGCCACCAATATGAACCAGCGCTTTCGGTTCATCTCGACAATATTCCCCTCGACTTGTTTCCTCCTTATAACAATCAAACGACGCCTATTGTATCACGCTCATCCTCCTCCTCCAGTAATTCATCGTCGTCCTCATCCTCTTCATCGTCCGTAGCTTCTTATCACGCCCCAGCCGCTTGGCCTGTCCACCCCAAGAACGATCATCCCCTTTATTCCGCTGTCATAGGCGATGAAATCAAGTGTAAGCGAAAGTTCGCGAAAATGATACGTGCCACCCATCGTTTCCAGCAAGATTCAAAGAAAATCGTGCCTGAAAGAATGGAATTACTATTTGATACGCATGACAACGTCCACATCATGCGAGTCACCGTAAATGGGAAAAGCGAGCAACATAAATTCTGCGGGTGAGTTCTTTTTTCTTTTTCCTTGTTATTTTTGACATCCGAAAGAGTATGGATTCAGAATTTAACTTATTCTATGCACAGAAATTCCCAATATATCCCTCCAGAGGTGTTGCTTCATAACACCTATAATAGTCCCATGGCTGATATATGGGTGCTTGGTATTTCCCTCTATCGCATGCTTGTCGGTAGATATCCTTTCCATGCATCGAATGATCGGTTATTGCTGAAAAAGATGATGCATGGTGACTTTAGTATCCCATCTCACTTGTCTGAAGGTACGTTGCCGCACATGAAACCGACGCAACCTTAAAATGATCCTGATGCCATTTTTAATAGATGCCAAAGATCTTTTACGACGCACGCTCGCACCTGAGGCCACGCGTGCTTCGCTTGATCTTGTCATGTTTCATCCGTGGTTAAAGCCATACCAGCTTGAAGCCATGGTCCCACCAGCCAATGACGAGAATAAAAAACCGATCGTGACCTTACCCGCTCGCGAAGTACAACCACCTGTTCCTAAGGAGCAAGCCCCCAAAGCGCCCGAGCGGAAAAAGAAAGATCGACGGCGTATGGGACGTGCATTGACGCAAGCATTTATCTTCCTGATCGAGGGACCGTATCCTCCGCCCAAGCAACCGTACCATGAGCTGGCTCATCTCGGAAAAGAACGAGCAAAATAATCTCATACTATCATCTTCTCTACTACTCCTATCGTGTAACCTATTATTTTTGGTCTGTTTTCTTCCCACATATTCTAGTTTTTTGTTATTTCATCATACTGTTTTTCCTACGAGTATATACCATTCATCTCTTTTCACTGTAATTGTTAAACAGATACTGCCACCCCTTGCATCCTTAGACAATTTATTTAAATAGATTAATTTTATTTTGTGCATACTAGATTTAAGAGTTTTGTTTACGCTGCTTTCGGTTATCCTTTTGCGTCAGTGACTACGATATATATTAGAACGAGGACCATTAAACCAATCTTAAATCAACTATACCTTCCATTGTTCGTCAATCCGAGCCAAGCGTACTTGTGACTGGTACTGACGGGTCTGCCACTTTTGATACTCTTCTTCGTCCCGGCAACGTGTCAAATGATTTTCACATTGATGGTAATATTTTTTTCAAAATAAAGAAGATTTCGTTGCACATTGCGATTGCTTCTTCCGCACGATCGGTTGGTTTTTTTTCTGACATTTTCTTGATCATGCTTTGATGGACAGCTTCTCTCGTCGGAGCACGGATCAAACGCAAGAGGATTCGTACGACATATTCAGCCGCTTTATTCACAATAGCTCCGCTCCATCTTCATGGTATTTCTTGTAAAGACCTGTACCGGGGAACCGGTCGTTTGGGATAGACCTCTAGGCATCTTGGGGGCGTCGCTGAAGCCATCTACATGCAGTTCCTTCCACACCGGATGCTTTTCTGCCGATGAGGTTTGAGAGCTTCCCAGGTACTGTTGATGGATATATTGAATGTGCTCTTGAGTAAAAATCTTTGTGTAATCTTCCTTGTCATCCTCAAATTCTTGTGGAGGATCGACTGGTAAGCAGTTTTCGTAGTTCAAAAATCTGCTGTTACAGATTGCTGCGGCTGGGATAAGTGATGCCAACGGATAACCTGTGGTGGTTGTCGATGAGACATAACGAAGCACTGCTCCTCTAACACTGGCACTGAGCTCGCCAATATCGTCGGTTAATAATATAGCAGTTTTATTGCGTTTCCATGAATGATCAACCATTTCGGTTGGAAGATCCGATCGAAAAAGCTTCTGCAATTTCAATGAGCAAGTGCGGAGTTGCAATTCGTTTTCTTTCTTGGCTTGCTGAAGCAATCTCAGGTCCGTTACGGCCACCGACCGAGTCAAAATGCTCAAGAGCATACGCTTTCTAACCGTCGCTCTAACAGAATTGCTTATTGTACCGTATTTGCGTACGCTTCAATTGTCAATGCCAACTTTATCCGCCAGTTGCCATACACCCCTTGGCACATGTTTTGCTTGGGCTATCTCTGCCTTCTTCTTTGCCAAGGACTTGTCTGCCTTTTCGGGTTTTTTCATATCGTTAGTGACCTTGGCCGCCCGTAAAATTGATTGCAACCTGAAATGGAAAGCTTTTGTAGATTTGCTATGGCAAGTGCTTCGTCGATCATGGGTTCGTGACGTCTGGTGACTGAGGTTACATCTTTTTTGAATTGCGGCAGCGGGATGTTGATGGCTGAGGTATCCCGCTGCTGCCTTCTGGCTCTTGAACGCCCTGACAATTACTTGTCTCTTTATGTATGGCTAAGCGTTTTCATAAAAAAAAAAAAAAAAGTAAAAGAAAAATAAAGGAAGCAAAAAAAAAAAAAAAAAAAAAAGTTTTTGCCTTACCTATTTTTATGGTCACTTCCATCTGTATTCTGCACCGTTGGTTTCTCACACAATGAATATATCAACACTCTGTACTATTGGCCTATGAAACAATCAATATCAGTTTATCCTTCGGAACTGGAACAGGGATGGATTTCGACACTTGAGAAGACCCCTTTTTTGAGATTTCGTCATCCGTGCATGCCCCATGACAGTCTTTCGCTTCATTTTGCACATCAGTCTTCTGATCAGACAGCTTCGACTGGCCAAATTCAGGTCCGACGAACGTAGGTATACCTGTGGAATTCTGGTGCCATATTTATGCTTGATCCCAATCAATGATATTTTTTTTTCCTGAGCCGCGTCTTTATTAAATTGATTAAATTCGAGGAAAAGCCTCATGATATACGATGTTTTTAGTGATTCGCAGCTCACCTTGTTTGTGTGCCAGTGTTACTTTTAAATTTTGCCCATCGGTTACCCGAGAAACGGCAACGTATAATTGACCATGGCTAAACACTGGAACCGGAAGGTAGAACCCCACTTTGCGCAATGATTGGCCCTGCGATTTGTTAATTGTTAGGGCAAAAGCCGGACGTAAAGGCAGTTGTCGACGTGAGAGCTTAAACGGAAGATCAGCTTTCTCATAGTAAAGCATGATGCGAGGTATGGTGACTTGCTGGCCCACATGGTTCCCAACAGTGATGGTGGCAGTGACAAAATGACCATGTAAAGAGTTGAGTATCATATGCGTACCGTTACAAAGTCCAGCTTTGGTATCCAGGTTGAGCATCAGCATGACAGGCATGTTCACTTCTAACGTCAGCTGTGTTCCGGCAGTTCTACGTTAAAGAGCAAATGAGACGGCTAATCAGTATGCATAGCGTGTGATATAGCATACCTGGGAAATAGAGCGGCCAAAAGCTCTGGGTTATTATGTTTCTTGGTTGAGAGCCACATCTGCGCTTAAATATACCTTCTCTTGTCCCGGGAAACGGTTGCTACAAATGCTGTTGATTGCATCGGTGTCTCTATTTGTTGGGGCCAAGAGGCAATGGTTGGAAAACCGTGTCATGTCATCCAATGTAGCGCTCTCCAAACTTGGGTATATAGCAGCAATGAGATGATGAACGTTCGTTGTAGGCATGTACCACTCCCTAGGAAGGCGAATATTCTCCCGTGAAGGTAGACGTTCTTGACCGGGAAGGGTATGTGTCGTTCCATCGCCTATAGCGAGACAAAATGAGGGAAATGAACGTTGCTGCATGGCGTTTATATCATTGCCTTGGTTATTCTGCAGTCGCATGTTGATAGCAAGGCGCAGGGTATGGATAAGTGGCCACAAAGAAGAGAAGGATATGGCAGCATCGACGGTGTCGGAACTTGTGCCTTTTCGGATTACGGGTAGGACTTGCCTAAAGTCGCCTCCAAAGACCACAACCTTCCTTCCGAATGGAATATATGCTGCGGAAGGGTCCGATACCCTCATAATATCACGTAGAGCGCAATCGACAGCCTCACTGCAGTAACGGTTCAACAGTGGCGCCTCGTCCCATACAGTTAATGCAGCATCGCGGACTTCACCGATCTGACGATCGTCATGCACATTTAAATTGCATGTAATGGTATCATCCACTACCTGAGTTACGGGTATTTTGAACCTAGAGTGGGCGGTCGTCCCTCCATTGAGCAATAAAGCCGCCATCGCAGTTGAATGGCCTTTTGACCGGAATAGCGAACATGTGCCCGAAGGGCATTGTACAAAAAGCCGGGACCATCAACAAAGTACAAACTTGGGAGAGCAGTAGACGGAATGGCATTAAGTGAAGCCATGAAGGCATCAAAAGCAGCTTTTTGATCGGGATTGAGACTTGCCACTGGGTATTGATGTCTTTGGTCGACCAAACGCGAGTCATCATCGTCCTGCTGGAAGTCGACACCCCCTGCATCCCGGAGAAACAATGCATAGTCCTTTTGCGTTCCAGGTATAAGCGAAGTAGACAGGAAATCGGCCAGCGATTTTCCGTGGCGTGCCAGGAGACGATGAATATGAAGCAAAGCCCGCGCTCTACATAATGGGATATCTGGCTTCTCTTCGCGGGATCGGTAACGATACTGATAATCGAGACAGAGCTGCTTAGCAAAAGAATCCCACAGAAGTCCAGGATTGTCGGAGTGTGCCCAAATCAAAAAGTTATGAACAGCACGAAGGCGTGATATGCTCGTAGTAACAGCCGTAGCTTCTACCAGGCACTGGAAGTGCTCTCGCCTGGAATTGATTAGTCCATGGGTACGTGCAGCCTCTTCAAATGAATGGATATAGTACACCGCCGTGTGTCCGCAGATATTCAAAGGATGTTGGTCCAGGCACATGGTGCAACAGCGAACGCAAAGCGAAGCGTTCCCTATCAATCGGAGGGGCAAAATAAACACGCCCAACTGCTGGCCGTCCGCGCTGGCGCCTGCGCCAGGGACCGCGGACATGCAGGGAACCCTTGACGAAAATATATTCTGATGGGAGCTGGTGACAGCAAAGATGTCTATCAGACTCGTGTTCCCGATTCAGGATAAAGTAGGCATTTAAAGTCGTCAAATCATTTTCCATGCGTAGGAGCACATTCTCCAAGGTATCATTCTCGTCAAAAATGACTGACTGGCGATCAGGCAAATGAAGAGCCAAATGATTAACCGCTGGTGATCGATGGTGTATGAGAAATAGTAGATCCGCCAGATTGCTTCAGGTGCAGAGATATATGGAGCATCCTGGTACAATTGGATTTCATCGATTGTTCGCTCATTCATTCCCGCATCCGCTTCTTGCTGTTGCTGCTGTCGCTCCTGTGGACGTAAAGCGACCATGGTGCGGTCGTGGCCTTTGTAGACGTATTTAAAGAGAGATATGATGGCACTGATTGAGGAACAAATCTCGACATTGATGTGAGCGTTGTATTAGGTGCAAAGGTATAAGTTGTAAGGAACAATGTTCCTGTTGTCGATCGGGATGTATCGTTGCACCAAAAACGATCGGCCATCGTTGGGACGTTTGTAGCGAGGGTATTAATCTTCGGCAATGACCGTTTCTTCGGCAAACTGCTTCGGGTATTTTTTTGCTGCAAGTGCCGTCGACCATACAGGGGGAATTAGGGTTAAGGTACCCACATGGTCCATGCACCATGTTTTTAGTCATTGTATTATAAGCAGCGGGGTGGCGTTGGGGGTCTGGTATTTGGGCACAGACAATCCGGTCGTAATCCTCTTGTGTTCGGGGTTTATCACGTTCATGAACAATTAAAAGGATACGTGAATGAGGGAGACTCCGCTTTTGCAACTCGACTACGTGAACGGACGCGGTGACTTTGCCCAAAATGTGTTTTTTCTTGAGGTCATCCATCAACGATTTCAGCTTCAGCTTGAATACGCGAGCACAGAGATCCGGACGATCGGCTGGCCGTTGTAAAGGCTTCAGCTCACGGGGGATCTCAGGCCACTTTGGGTTACACGTAAAGGTAACAAAAATCAGGCTTCCCGAAAGGCGCGGACAATGGCCATCGCGTCTTGGTATCGTTGCACCATATCCCGTGGGCTACCCGTGAAGAATGAAGGTAAAATGACCCGGCGACCCACATCGTCGGCCGAAATGGCTCGCCCATTGGATATATCCATCAGCCCGTCCAGCATGGCGGGACGGAGCTGTGGTTGCATTTTACTGCGGATATATTCCAGTCAAAGTTGTTCGACCTTCACCCACATGTTGACAATAAACTGTTGGAGGCGCCGGCCGTAAAAAATATATAACAGTCGTCCCCACGCTCTTGCAACATATGCGCGTAGTACAGGCACTGGCGCAGGTGGAGCGACATCCCAACGTCTGCTGTCATGTTTCTAGGATTATAGGGACAGAGCGAGCTTGCCACGCGTTTTGGTGGTCTGTACGGCCACATTGACCAAGTAGAACTATCGGGATCTCAGAAATTAGAAAATATCCAAGACAACTGTATACAACGCGGCATAATTTTGAATAAACTACTGCCAAGAGAATATGTAAAATACCTTGTTGGGTGACTTGAATAAACTCAGCAGTTGTATTCATGCGATTCAACGGACACCGTGAACTCGTCATTCTTTGATGATCCGAACGTCCACATTGGCAGCGTCTGATGGTTTATCAGGATTTCCAGAATTTCCTTAAAAATGCATTTTGAAATATTATCAAGAAAAAAGTGTATATACATTGTGGAGAGACATGAAAAAAAACTGCTGCGCTTGTGCTTCTTGAATAAACGGCTGCTCTTGAATAAACTGTCCAGCAGTTATATTCCTTTGCTCTTTTTGTGCATATAATTTTATCCATCAGTTGTCTATCCTTAACCATAATAGAGGGAACAAAAGGCTTTGCCACTGCCATTGTACGAGGGGGCGTTGTATTATCTAGTCACAAGAGAGATCACGGTAGATCCGAAAATTGCTCATATTCTGGGAAAAGGAGAAATCGAATCATTGTACAAAACGTTTCGGTATTTCTGGTAACATGCGATTCTCAATATTTCTAATTGACTCCATACCAGGAGTTCCAATAAGGATAGAAGCGATGAGCGTGAATATTCTAGCGATCCCGGGTGAATCTCTGATTTTTTCTCTGAAAGATTGCCTAACTACCGCCAATAAACTACCCAATCAGAACACCGGTATAGAAATCACGCTTATACATTGCTTGTTTACAGGTCGTCCCCTCATACAGTAGCATGTTCATTTGGTCATATCATATGAAATATTTCATCATCGAACTTTTGTGGCTTTACTCTGTTTTTTAGGGAAAGCAACGAAAACCTTCCTTCTTCAACTGGGAGCAAAAACATCTCTCTAGGATGATCCACCATATTGAAGAACTTCCTTCGAAACGCCAATATATTAAGCGCTACTTTTGAGCTTTTACTGTACTTTTTTCTCCTTCTCTTGTCCAATTTACTTATTTTAGGCTGTCGCAATTGCATAAAGCAAATCGGCGACGACAACATGTATGGTTAGAACCATATAGCAAAGTTAACCACAATGATTTAACACAAGTTCCTGTGCCTTACCGTCCATCTTCCATGTACAACCTCGCCACCTTTTTCTAAATTTACTGAAGCGAAAGAAAGAAGAGATAGATTAAGTGGATAATCATTTCACTTTGAAATTTTATCCAGAATACTACATTTGCCTCGAACCGCTTCAAACGGAGGTAATTCGCGTCGGCCTTGGATTCCTAGAATGCGGAAATGTTCATCCCAACCATGTCTGTATACAATGCGTGTAGCGTATATCGCTTCCCGTGAATCATGATATAACTGAGATCGTGAATAGTGGCGAAGGCTCGAGTTTCAACGAGTATCTACTTAAAACTTTCGTAAGCTGTCGTTCCATTCGACCTCCCGGTATCACAACTTACAAATACGATTTTGCAACGATCCATTTTCCGCAGTCAGTTACCCAAAAGTGTTTATACCTTGGTCCTGTAGATCCACTGAAAAAATTCCGACTTACAGAGTGATTGCATATCCTTGCTGGCTTTTAATATTTCGGAATCAATGAAAAAATTGCATGTTTGCTTCCAACTACGTTTGTATTGCTCCAAAAGAAAGCTATCCATAGGTACAGCAAACCTTTTTGTTGACCCAGGAGTGGCCAGCGAGCTGCTTTACCCTGCAGGCAAAAGAGTGGCTCATTAATCAAATGCCGAGAGTCCAAATTCCTTTGCCACAATCAAATCGAATAAAGATCATCAATTATCCATCTTCCAATTCTACTTTGTTTCTTTATCTACCTGCGCGCAATCTACCCTTGTTTTTCCCAAATGGGGGAGGGGTTTTACAGTAGTACTAGGTCCCATAGATCCCAGGGGGCGAGCAATAGTCCGCAACGGATGTGTGTTCACTCCCCTTTAAATAAAAAAAAACTTTTGCTTTATTTCTTTATATGTTGTCCGTGGAACCAGCATACGGAATAGATCTAGCGAATCTCGAAAACGATGCAAATACCAAAAAAAAAAGGATACGACAAAAGGCTGTAACAATGCACGTCCGGTAAACTTAGAAAAAAAGGTCGTGCCGAGGATCGAACTCGGATTAGTGGATTCAAAGTCCACTGTGATAACCATTACACTACACAACCGAGACATTGTCGAGGTCGCGCGCGTATCTTCTTTGTTCTTTTATAGTTTTTTCTTTCGCCGAAAACAGCAATTTTTACTAGTAACATTCCGCCAAGAATACCTCAAAACAGTCACCCAACCTTCCCCGAAAATACCTCTTTTTGTCCCGAGTCAAAACACCGAGTCAAACTGACAAAAAACGCAAAAAACAAAAAGCCTATCGATCCCGAACTTATCGATATCCCGCCCAAAGTTCTCGGCAAACGCCAGATTTCCGCAATTTCCGAAATTTCCAACCGCCCAGCAAATTCGAAATTTTCATTCACCGACGTTCCCTCGATCACGAAACGACGTACCCCCAACATGTCAGAAAATAATTCTGTCGCCAACACCAACACCACTGCCACGCCCAACCCTTTTGATTTCGGACCTACTGGTCTACCAGTTGATCCCAATCAATTGCCACCTGCCTTGAATACATTTCTTGAAATGTTCAACTCCCGCTTTGCGTCCCTGGAAAAATTGTTCCAGGAGGAACGTGCTCGTGCCGCCCGCCTTGAGCAAGCAAACGCTGAGCTACTGCAACAAAATGCTGCTCTGCTTCAACAATTGCTCAGCTTAAAAACAGCGCCAAATCCACCAAAGCCCGCTCCCAAGCCCAAGCAGTCCACACAGACAGCTACTCCCCCGATCCCAACGCATCTTACAACCGCCGCTTCTAAGCATGCGCCTAAACCCTCCAATGAGGCGAAAAAACCCACCTGGGCTGATAAAGCCAAAATCCACCGCCCTGCTACCAAGCCCAAAAACAATAAGGCTAAGCGTCCCATCACCTCTGCAACGATGCAACGGTTGTTTTCCGCCCCCACGGGCGCATCACAGTATACTTTCGTATACTTGAATTGTAAACACCGTCTCACCCACAGTGAAGTGCGTAAAAACCTTGCTACGGCCAAAGTTCAGCAATCCCGAATTTTGGATGTCCAATTCCCCGCTCGTAACATCATCGCCCTGCTTGTGAACCAGGAATATAAATCGGATCTCATCACGTTACTCAACAAACAAGGCATCCAAATAAATCCGGACTTCAATATCCTTGACCCCAAGGTGATTGCCGATCCTATCCATGCCACCAAGACCAACGCTGAAAAATGCGACCTTGCCCAAGCACTTGTTGCCGATCGTCTGTTGCGGCTGGGTTCCCGGCTCCCTTACCACTTAATGCTCAGCATTCTCCGATCATTTACTCAGCCTGACTCCGCTGTGCAACTCTCTGAGACCGTCATCCAACGTTACCTTGATTCCCGAAAACCAGCCCTAGACAGAGAACCCGTACAAAACAGTGCTGCCACCCAAAGCGACAACACCGACAACAATGACACTGCCGCCCATATCACCACTAACACCCAGTCTTCGTCAAATGATGGTCCTGAAATGGACGAATCTCAATGAGTGCTGAGCGCCTAAAAATCGCTACTTTCAATGCCGCTGGTCTTAGGACCAAACATTACGAATTATTCCAAGAATGCACCACCTCACAGATCGATATAATTTTAGTTACCGAAACTTTCCTGTCAAAAGGAAATATCCATACCAAATGGAAACAATTCCACAACTATGGCCAGGTATCGGCTCATCGACCATTCGATGGGCTGTCCCTCTTTATCCGTCCCGATTTTCCACACCATGTTCACCATCTGCCAATCACTGATCCTTATGTTATTTCGTGTAGGATTGGTCCCTATACCCTGCATGGCCTGTACCTCCCTCCTCGACTTTCTCTTGCAGAGGCCGAGAAAAGGTGGCGTTCCTTGGAGATTGACGATCACACTATTGTGTTTGGAGATCTGAACGTACGTCTGGGCAGTGATACTGGAGATCACCGTGCCAACGACAGAGCCCCTGCGCTACGCAACTGGATCAGTACATTGGGTTTAACCTTGTGGAACTCAGAATTGGCGTATGGCATACCCACTTTTGAAGGTCACCAAGGAACAAGCATCATTGATTTTTTTATCTCGATGCACACAAACATTCTAGACGTGCAAATGCAAATAAGGAGTGACTTGTCACTTAGTTCCGACCACCACTTGTGTGAGCTATCCTTTGTACCTGTGCCCATACCACAGCTTCCCAGAGCAAATGCTGCCCGACGCCACTGGAAACTTCAGCGATTCCAAGATCCTGAGGTATTAGCCAGGTACGCTGACAGGCTAAAAGATCTTACGGGTGATCTTTTAGAAGGGATCTCAGTTGCGCTTTCCGAAATTGAAAACAACCATGCGTCGCGCGCTTGTAAACTGGAGGGCTTTGTGAATAAACTCATTGAGTCTATTTACGCCGCCTTGGATCACAGCGTTGGACCATCCGATTCCCGTAATAAAACCTGGAAATGGTTTTGGAACGCCAATTTACAAGCTCTAGCCAACCGCCGTCAAGCCCTCTATCAAAGGTGGAGACGGTCTGGCCATGACTTTGAACGCCTTACAATTCGTCGCCGGTATGAGGCGGCTTGTGCCGAACTGACACAAGCGATACGAATTGCGCGACGCATCACCTGGCGACAATTTTGTCAAAAGATGGACCAAGACCCTGTGAACATGAGTAGTGCGATCAAACGGATGAGGCTTCGGCAACGTTCAAATGTGACCCTCTCATCACCAGAAGGACCACTCCATGATGCTAACCGTATGGTGACCCATCTGGAAAGTGTGTACGGCGGCTCTGTCGACCTACGTTCGGAACCCTCACCAGAAATGGATGATTTCCAGGACAGTACACGAATCCCATGGACTCAGGCCACTGTTTATCAAGCGATCCGGAACTTGCCGTCCCGGAAAGCACCAGGTATTGACCACATACGAGCAGAAATGCTCAAACCTGTGGCTGATCACATGAGCGTCATTCTCCATAAGCTTTTTCACTTATGTTGGAGGTGGTCGTGGACCCCAAGGCAGTGGCGAACTGCACAGGTAGTCCCGATCTACAAGAATAAAGGTTCACCATCGGACCCATCCAGTTATAGGCCCATCAGTCTTACCTCGGTTTTCCGAAAGCTGTTGGAGCGTTGCCTGGTACCTGAGCTTCTCTCAACGATGCCTCAGTTAGACATTGCGCAAGGTGGTTTTCGTGCCTCTCGGGGTACTCTCGACCAAGCACTTTGTCTCGATGAACTCATGCGGCTTTATACTCGTGTCCAAGGGCAAGAGCAGTTGCCTACTCCCCCGGTGGTTGTTTTCCTCGATATTAAAGCTGCATATGACAGTGTCAATCGCTTGATCATATGGGAACTTTTGGGACATTATGTATCCCAACGACTGCTTCGCTTACTGCGTAATCTCTTTGATGACATTGTCGTCCAAGTCATATTACAAAACGTAGCGTCCCGGGAAATTTCGCCAAAGCAAGGTGTTCTTCAGGGCAGTATTCTTTCTCCTTTTCTTTATTCTATCTTTATTGATACGTTACCCCGCTTATTGCGGTCCGTATCTTCTTTTCCACAACTTATTCGCATACCTAAGCCAGCCACTGGGCGTTCGCTCAACCTGTGCTCAAGGATGCCTTTTTCTTATTCTTCCACTCATGCGAACCCGCGTTCTCTTATTGATGAGCTGCGGTCTAACCATGATCCTTATTCTGCTCCCCATGATCCTCGCCGATCTTGGGCCCCCATTAATAGTTTGCTGTATGCGGATGACGTGGCAATTATTGGTTATCCAGTAGATGTCCATCGGATGCTTGCAGTAGCTGAAATTCATTCTTATCTGTTTGGATACCGTTGGAGTCCCACCAAGTGTGAAGTCCTCAACGCTCCGGCTGATTCTTCTTTTTTTCTTTACAACAACGAACTCCCTGCTTGTACTTCTTTTAAATATCTGGGGATTCCTTTTTCTCAGTGGGGTATAGATCGTAAGGCCTTACTCGCGCACTCTAATCGCAAGACAATCGCAGCAATGCGGGCGTTGAGTGAGTCAGGTGTGCACATGTACGGCTTTGGTCTCACTGCCTCACTTCGGGCTTACAAGATTTTTGCGAGACCTATTCTCGAATATGGTTTAGCGATCTGTATCCTTTTCCGAGCTGACTTGAAGGAACTCGAGGACACCCAACGGTGTTGCCTACGGATGTGTCTCAGGCGCCCTGCTTTTTGCAAGGCAATAGGGACCGCCACTGTGGCCTCACTCGCTGCTCTCCCTTCTATGTCTTCTCGTTTTCTTATTCTACAGGCCAAATTTGTTGGTCGTGCTCATACACTCCCTGCTGATACACTCTTGCGCTGTATTATCCCGCAGCTTCAGACTCGCCGAGGGAACGCGACATGGAACAGGCTACGTCGCAACACCCTCTGGAAAGAAGTCAAGACGATCCAAGCTGAACAAGCACGTTCGTCTTCTCGGAACCAGCCATTGGATCCATTTAAAGTAGCCATCCGAAACCATCTTCAAGGGGAAATAGACAAACGTCTTGCTAGTCGCCACCCACCAGTGACGATTTCACGTGGACTTTGTCGTCCTGTATGGGACCCAATCCTGTTATTGCCGGCCACCAGCAAAGAAAGACATCGTCTTATCCGTTGGCGTATGGCCTGGCTCCCACCCACTCCTTCTGTTGCCTGCCGATGTGGTGACCCCAAAGCCCATCGTGCTCATTTTCTGGTTTGTCCGCGCACGGATTTCTTTATCCAAAGGATCCTGCAAATACTGCCATCGTCACCGCCCGACCAAGTCCATCCCATCGATTTTGCCCTTAATCAGCTCCCCCGCCGACCAAAGGTTAATCTTCGTTACTGGCAACAGCTCTGGCCGATCCTCTTGGAACTCCTCCGGGAGATCGATATTGCAACATCTGACACCGACTTTGAATCAGAACCTCCACCTGGTGAACTACTCCTTAATGCATGTGTGGCACGTCAACAGCCCACATTGCCTCATTCCAATCATTAACGTACCTCTCATCCTTTTTCCTCGTCATTATCCTCCGCCCTGGCCATTAATTTGTGCGACTTCGCTCCTTACTTTTT